CTCCAAGGTTAAGCAAATCCTTCGAAGATCCATTTGCCAACATAGCCCACATTAGAGGCTTCGTCACCTAGATACTTGCTGTCAAAATCTGACCAGAGAGCTGTCCAATCTGTTCTGTCCTCCATGGTACTAGACATCCTCTGTAGGCCTCAAGGAACTGGTTGTCATGTCCTCCATGAACATCCAGGCATGCTGTCGGTTGCACAGGCCTCAGCAACCGTGGAGACCCAGTGACACATATACTCCATGATCCTGTATTTTTCACCATGGTTGGAGTTCTGAGTCCAGTGATCCAGTTGGAGGAGTCCACAAAGAGACCTTGTCAGAGGTGACCCTCAACCTGGTCAGTTCTATTCCCAGCCCTATCTCATACACAAACCAATGGATGCTGCAGCCCAGCCCAACCCTGCCCACCACACACTCAGCCCTCATGCACACCAGTGGGAATAGCATCCCCGAAGCCTGACACCAGCCATGGTTCCTGTGTATGCCAGCATGTGCAGCAGACCAGTCTAGGCTATCCTGCATCTCATTCAGCCGTAGGACACATCAATAGGCATTGCAGCCTACCTCAGCCCAACTAATCCCACTATCCAGCCTATGGTCATACTGGTGGGTGCCATTGCCTGTCCACCCAGGCCTTCTCCCAGCCTTGGTTCCCATGCTCATTGGTGGGAGCTACAACCCATCAGAGAGATGCCCACAATTTCCCTACTAAACCCACTCCCAGCCCCAGTCCTTGTACTTTCCAGGTGGTTCTGTAGTTTATCCTGGCAGGGTTTGTCCCCCATGTCAGCACCTGCTAACTGATGCTATGGCAAAGTGCAACCAGCCTGCACTTACTCTGGTTCATATATGCACCAGTAATATGATCACTAATCCCAACCTAGCTCTCCCCCAACTCAGCCCACATGCAGGCCAACAGGCTTTGTAGTCCTGCCCAGTCTGGTCTGTCCCCAGTTGTAGCTCATGCTCACTAGTGGGAACAGTGGTCCAGCAGAGAACATTCACAGCTCCCCTACTGGGTTTGTACCCATTCCAGGTTTTACATGTGCTGGTAGGAGCTGCAGGCCAAACTGGCATGCTGCCTCACCTTGGCATTCACCAGTAAATGCTGCAGCTTGTCTTGGTGCGGTCTGTACTGATGGGTGCTACAGCCTAGCCCAGCCCATCCAGAAGCCAGTCCCATTCCTAATGTGAACTGGCTGGTGGTGTGGCCCAACCTGGCCTGTCCTGCACCCCATCCTGATTCTCACGTTTGCCACTGGGTGCTGTGAACTGGCCAGGCTGGCCTGTCCCCAGACCTAACCCACATGTATGCCAGCTGATACTATAATCTTGCCTGGTCTGGGCTGCTCCCTCCCAGTTTTAATTCTCCCTCTCACTTATAGGGAGTGTGTCTTCATAAATGAGTTCCCCAAGCTCCTCTATCAGGTCACCTTCCAGTCTCAGATCTTGTGCATACCTGTGGGTCCTTGTTTTAGCCTGACTTGGCCCATCTCCTGTCCTGGCAAGTACAGTATGCTTGCCTGACCAACCCACACTGTGCTACAGTACAGTCTTGCCTGATCCACCCACAGACACAACTCTCATGTGGTTCACTGGGTGCCAAGACCTAGCTCAGCATTTTTTACACCCACTTTGGCAAGCCCCAGTGGAACCTGGAATCACAGCCCAGTAAGGGACATCCCAGACTCAGGCCACATCCATGCTGAGTGATACTGTAGTAATGTCCAGCCCAGTTTACTGCCCCCAGCCCAGCATAGCCCATCACTGGTCTTGGCCTTTGGCATAAGATACTGCAGCCTGGCCTGGCCCAGCCCAACCTCCATCTCAACTCTTGCTGGTGAATGTTACAGCCTAGCCATGTGCATGCCAGTGTGCTATGGTTTGGCCTGGCCCTGACTGTGCCCCCAGAACCAACACACACACACCTGCCAACAAATGAAGCAGTCCTGCCTGGCTTGACCAGCACTCAGCCCTGACTCACATGCTCACCAGCGGGAGCTATGGCCCACCGGAGGAGTTTCCTAAGTTCCCCCACCAGACTCATTCTCAGACCCTGACCTCATATGTGCCAGTAGGTGCTAGGCCCTTACCTTGCACAGTCTGCTCACCAGCCCTAGCCTTTGTTTGTGCTAGTGGATTTTACAGCCCAGCCTGCCCCACATCCAGTTTTTGGATATGCCTATGGGTGCTACATCCTGGACTAGCCTGGCCTGTTCCCAACCTTAGTGCCCATGAGCATTGTTCAGATCCTTGTCAGCTCACCACTACCCCAACCCTCAAAAAATCAGTTGATATGACATTCCCACAGGGGTCAGCTAACAATCCCTTACATAATCTGCTCCCAGATCCAGTTCTCTCACGAGCTGATTACTGTCATGACCTAGTCTAACATGCACCACACTCTGCCCTGACATTCACTGATGGTTATTATGGTTGAGCCCTGCCAGTCATCCCCAGCCACGGCCTTTGTGTGCATCAGTGGGCAATGGTGGTTGATATCGCCCAACTCAGCTCCCACATGAGTGGGTGTATTTGTTTGGGCTCAAAAGATTCTCCAGTCTCCCTCCTGTAAACCACCCAATCTCAGCTCCCTCATTTACTTGCAAGTGCAGTAGCCTGGTTGGTGGAAGTCCCCCCAGAAGTCATTCCTCACCTGTCATGTTCTTCTTCAGCAGACTTCCTTCCCACACATCTCCAGAACCCCTTCCTTGAGCAATCCACAGACCCCCAAGCCTGGTGTTCTGGCAGTGTGCTGTGCCAGTCTGATGTCCTGCCTGTCTACCCACCCTACCCAGCTACCTCGCACACTTGGGCATGGTTCCCCAGACCCTATCTGCTGGAATTCTGGTATCTGTCCCTCACATATCTTAGAAAAAGAAAATAGGCAACTACGCTGTGACACTGGTATAGTTAGCACCAATTTGGCATTAACCAAGCCCAGGACGCCTACCAGGTATTAGCTGCTTTTCTCCCAGCACTGTAACACTTGGTTAGGTACAATGCAACCTAAGCAGTTGCTTACAGCTGGGGTATAATATATTTTAAAATCAGGCAGTGTAATAACTCCTGTTTTACTCTTCTTGTTCAAGATTGCTTTGCCTTTTCAGGTTTTTGTGTGTGTGATTTCATATGAATTCTACTAGTTTTTTTCCCCTAGTTAAATGTCATTGGTATTTTGATAGGGATGCATTGAATTGGGTAGTATGAATTTTTTAAACTATATTGATTCCTTCACTTCATGAACCTGAAGAATCTTTCCACTTTTAATGCCCTCTTACATTTCTTTCATCATGTGCCTGCACCTGCAGTGTCTGCATCTCACAAGAAGGTCAATTCTAGTCCCATCTGCTCCACTTCTGATCCAGCTCACTGTTAACACACCTGGGGAAGCAGCAAAGGACAGACCACGTCGTCTCACCCCCATTGGAGCCCCAGAAGTTCCAGGCTCTTAGCTTTAGACTGTCCCAGCTCCAGCCATTGTGATTGTTTGGGTAGTGAACCAGCAAGCGGGAGAGCTCTTCTTCTCCTCTTCTTCTCTCTCTGTATGTCTGCCTTTCAAATAAAAACAAATCTTTTTAAAAATTTCATCAATGTTTTACAGCTTTCATTGTAGCGATCTTTCGTCTTTTTGGTTAAATTTATCCCTCAAGGGACTGGTGTTGTGGCATATCACATTAAACTGCTGCTTGTGACACTAGCAACCAGTACTGGAGAGCTGGTTCAAGTCCCAAGTACTATTCTTCCAGCCCAGTTTCCTATTCCTGGGAAGGCAGCAGATGATGGCCCAAGTGCCTGGATGGGACACCCACATGGGACACCCAGATAATGCATTGGTCTCTGGGCTTTGACCTGGCATGACCCTGACTGTTGCAGGCATCTTGGGAAGTAAATTCACAGATGGTATAAGTTGAAATAGCTTCAAATTATCTTGGATTTTTTTGTTGTTGTTGTCACACCAAATCAATATACTGCAAAGTAATAAAACTCTAATCTTGTTCCATTGTACAATACAAATATATTCCCCAAGTGGAAATCCAGCAAAACATTCACACAAATTGATAGATTATAAAGCACAATTTCATGTAACACAATAATCATGGATTGATTAAGGAGGAACTGGGGAGAGGGAGATGGCGAAGATAAGAGCTGTGGCATTCTGGTTAGGTCAACAGCTGGCATCCCACATGGGTGCTGGTTCAGGTCTGTGATACACCTGGGAAAGCAGCAGAAGATGGCCCAATTGCTTGGCTCCTTGCACACATGTGCAAAATTGGGATGAAACTCCCAGCTTCCACCTGCCCAGCTCCAGTCATTGCAACCATTAGAGGAATGAACCAGCAAATGGAAGCTTTCTTTTCCTCGACTCTCCCTCTTCTTCTGAAAATCTTTGAAATAAATAAGTCTTAAAAACAAAAAATGAACTGGGGAAAATAAATGTAAACGATGCAAAAAAGCATCCCTCTAAGGGTAGGCAAGAGGAAGGTTATAGCAGGCTTGCAGAAATACGTTTTCATTTCTTCTGGAAAAGGTGCAATGGGTTCTCCTAAGTTTGCGCTGGATAGTACATATTGCCACAATCCCTGAAGCCAAGGAAACAGCCTTTCATTGTGGCCTCTGCTACATTTTGAGCCAACGTGACCAACGACGGCCCAGAAAGAAGCAGAGGATGCATAAACCGAGGAATAAGAACATTTAGATACCTTCCAGGGGACTTTTGTCAGGGATCCCGCAGTCGAGCGCCAGGACTGTGTACCCACGAACACCCCTTTTGCTTTAGCAAAGACGAATGCAACACCCAGGCAGTTCCCCCACTAACTCTGGCTCGCCCGTGCCCTGCACATGCGCGCTGAGCACCTCTGGCCGCTGGGGCAGCTGTACGCACGCGCAGCGCATTCTCTCCCTTCCCCACGCTAATCCGCAGGAGGCGCGCCTGCGCACTTGCGCTTAGCAACTTTGCTTTTCTTCTTTTTTTCCCCTCCCTCCCAGTTACAAGCGTGGAAGTGGGAGGCCTCGCCGCTTTCCGGTGGCGGTGTGGTGGCGGGCCCGGTCTGCTCGTCTGCCACGCCTCTCTTGGCCCCGGAGGGCGGCGGGAAGCCGGGCGGGAGCTGAGGCGCGCGTTTGCACCGCAGTCCTGTCAGCGATGAGGAAAATCTTCACTTTGGCGAGTCACCGGGCAGAGTCGCCCGCGGTCGCGGCCCAGAGTTGGAGCGGACAGGACAAATCACGGGCCGGATACCACATCCGAGACAAGGATCTCGGAAAAATCCACAAAGCGGCTCGCCTCGGCGATGTGGCCCGCGTGCAGCAGCTCCTGCTGCTCGGGAAAAGCGGCGTCAATGACCGAGACAAGATGGACAGGTACCGGGGGCCGCGAACCGGCGGCCGAGGGGTCAGGGTCAGGGTCAGGGGCGGCGATCCCGGTGGGGGCCGGGGGTCGTGGCCAGGCATGTGTCAACTTGCGGGATAAAGGAGCAGAAGTGTGTCCGTGCGTGCCCGTGTGTAGGTGCTCCTTACCTGGTGTTCTAGAAGGTAACTGAGGTGGAAGTTATTCTCAGTTTTACAAGCATCAGGGTGGTTTTGAGTTGCGACATGCTTTTTCTGTTGGGACCTCATTAGCTAAGCCACGTGTTGAAGATTTGTCCTTGTAGATGTGAACACGCACTTTAATCTCCACAAATACATCACTAGCAATACTGACAGTTGAAAACACGCATACATGAATGAAAAGAAAATTCAGAAAGACCCAAATATATGTCAGAATTTTGACTCTTGAGGCAAATTATGCATTTTATTCTCCGGACTTTTTAGACACAGAATTAAGTTCCTGGAAGAATAAAATTTCTAGTTTTAGATATATGTCAAGCAAAAGGGACCAGAAGAAAACACAAAAGCCTGTTAATACCTTATGTCAGCTAAGGTGTTCCTAAGAATGACCTCAAAAGCAAACATGCTGAAGGTTGATTTACTAAAGTAAAAACCAAATATGGAATCTATGAGGAAAAATAACAAAATAAAATGACAACATTTTCCGAAGATGTTTGCAACATATTTCAGATGAAAAATGTATCTTCATTTTACAGAAGATTTTTTGGAAAAGAAGAGTAAAAATCCAACTCCAAGTTGAAACTGGACAAATTACTTTTTTGCAGATCTATTACAAGTAAACATAGAAAAAATATTTAGTGTTCCTGGTAAGAGAGAGGGAATTTAATTTCAAGCAGGATTGAAATACTGTTTTCCATCTGCCAAGTTTTTGAGAATATACTTAAAAAGTGTATACACACTTCAGTTCCATTTTACTAAAATATCTTTAGGAAATAAAGACACTATTTGTTTTAAAATAACATTTTTAAATAATTTTTTTTAATTACATTGCATTATGTGACACAGTGTTATAGGCACTGGGAGTCCCCCCACCCCTCCCCAAACCCTCTTCCGATGGTGGATTCCCAGTTCAAGTTCAGTTGAGATTCTTTCATTGCAAGCATATACCAAGCATAGAGTCCAGCATCTTATTGTCCAGATAAGTTCAACGGCTTCTTGTTTAAATAAAATTTTAAACAAAAAATAGAATTAAAATTTACAGTAAAATTTTAAAAAAATATTTCTTTATTTGAAAGTCAGAATTATAGTGAGAAAGAGAAACACAGAAACAAAGAGCTGAGTTGAGCCAGCCTGAAGCCCGGAACCTCTCCAGCTCTCCCACACAGGTGGCAGTGGCCCAAGGATGTGGACCATCCTCTGCTGCTTTCTTAGGCCATTGGCACGAAGCTGAGTGGGAAGCAGAGCAGCTGGGACACCCCATGTGGAATGCCAGCGTCACAAGTAGCACTTCTTACCTGCTGCACTACAGTGTGGACCCAAAAGTTTATTATGAATCATCAGGAAGAGCAGAAATGTGGATCTTACAGATAAAAATAATTTCTATTAATTTTATGTAGTTATTTTTTCTCCCTGTTGATACCGGGAGTCTCATCTGTGCTCATAGGTTTTAATATGTGTACCTTTAATGTTTATGTTTTAAATTACAATTAGATGCGCTACACACAACACACACACAATTTTATTTTAGTGTGTCCTTATATAAATAAAAAATGGCATGATCATTATAAATACTACAGAAACCTTAAAGTTACTTTTTTTGAAAGATTATTTATTTGAAAGGCAGAGTTACAGAGGGAGAGGTAAAGAGAGAGAGAAGCAAGGAGAAAGACAAAAGTCTTCCATCTACTGATTCACTCTCCAAATGGCCACATTGGCCAGGGCTAAGCCACGCTGAAGCCAAGAGCCAGGAACATCATCAAGGGTCCCATGTGGGGTGCAGTGGTCCAAGTAATTGAGCCATCTTCCACTGCTTTCCCAGGTACATTAACAAGGAGCTGGATTGGGATGCTGTGTCTCCCTCACCTTGTCTCTGTGCAGGTCAAAACCTGCCATGATGACACACAAGCAGGTACCTTAGCGAAGAGCTGTTAGCAAGTAACAGCTGGAACTTGAACTAATAAGCATATGGGATGCCTGCATTGCAGGTAGCAGTTTAACCTATTTCACCTCAACACTGCTCGCTCAAAGTTACTTTATGAAAAAATTTTAAAATATTTTAACTCAACCATATCCGCTCTTCCAATTCATGTAATCATCAAACAGAACTTGAATATTTATTATGTAGCAGACATGTTTTATCCTTCAGGATCCTTGTGTCATTGAAAATTGTTTACTTAGCCAGTTTGAACTAGTTAATATTTAAAATTGAAATAATAGGATTTGATCTTGAAGCTCTTTTTCCCTAGGAGCGTGGTGGCTCCACAGACTAATCCTCTGCCTTGCAGTACCAACATCGCATTTGGTTGCCGATTTGTGTCCCAGCTTCTGTGCTTCTGATCTAGCTCCCTGCTGATGACCTGGGAACTTGGACTTCTGCCACCCACATGGGAGAACTGGATGAAACTTTTGGCTCCTGGCTTTGGCTGGCTTAGCCTAGCTTTCATGGCCCTTTGGGGATTGAACCAGCAGATGGAAGATCTTTCTCTGCCTCTCTTTCTCTGTAACACCGCTTTTTACATACATAAATAAATCCTTAAAATAAAACATAGCTGCAAAAGTAAAGGGATAATTGTACCTTTTTTTCTCAATTGAAATATTATCTTTGTTAAATAGTAATATATCTAATAGTTTATCTAGCAACTACTCTAAATACTTTGCATCAATTCACCCATTGAAGCGTCATGATTTTGCTAACTACTATTTGTCCCCATTTTATTGATGAGAAAATTGAGACATAGAAAGGCTAAATGATGGTACTAGACTTAAAGTAGAATCCAAACAAGGTTATGCTGAGTTTAAAGACATGCCCTTTTAATTCACATAAGCTGCTTTTTCATTAAGGTAATGAGTAGTAAGAGCTCATAAATACTATACTTTCTTCAGAAGAAAAGAAGGGTCTGTTTAGAAGACAGAGAATAAAGCAATGAATGTGATTGGAGCCAGAAGCCGGAAGCCACACCTCCCTGCTCTGTGTAGTCCCATGTAGTCCGTCACATAAGATTGTCCCAGGATGATTCTCCCCTCACGTTGTACTTGGGGACAGTACCATGTAACCACTCCCCTTCCCAGCCTCATAAGAGGCAAGCAACTGGGAGGGGGCTTGCTGGCTCTCTCTGTCTCTCTCTCTTTCCAGACAAGGCTGTCTTCACCTTTTAAATCTACTTTTTCACTTTGTGCACTGCATTTGTGCCTCTGCTTAGAATGCTTCTGTAGATAAAAGGTGGGGACCCCTGGAATAGTGATCTGGACCCTTGTTTAAGAGGCAAAACATACTCTCTGATATTTACCATTACATGAATCATTGTGTGCTATGAGATGTCCTAAGGAGCCCTCTGCCTTTCACAGGACCGCTCTGCATTTGGCATGCGCCAGTGGCCATCCGGAAGTGGTAATTCTGCTAGTGGAGAGGAAATGCCTGCTTAACGCCTATGACAGTGAGAACAGGACACCCCTTATGAAGGTATACCATGGCCAGCCGTTTCAGCTTGAGCTGGATTTAAATGATTAGGGACAAAATATAGTGGAATGTTTCATTTGTGTTCCTAGATTTGACAGTCTCTTTCTTGGTGTAACCCTGACAGGCTGTCCAATGCCAGGAAGAAGAATGTGCAACTATTTTGCTGGAACATGGTGCCAACCCAAATCTTACAGATACTTTTGGAAATAGCGCCCTCCACTATGCTGTGTATGGTCAGAACAGAGCACTAGTAGAAAAACTGCTCTTACATCATGCAGATATTGAAGTGCGAAACAAGGTACGGGATTCACCAACTTTGCCTTCAAAATATTCAGAATACATTTGTTGACATATTTTCGTAGGTATGTTCTGATTTCCATACATGGAAATATCAGCATTCCTACAATGAAAATATGCCAAAATAGTTGTCTGAGATTAGATTTCATGCTTCTCCTTTTATTAAGATTTATTTATTTTTATTGGAAAGACATTCACAGAGAGAAAGAGACAGAAAAATCTTCTGTCCACTAGTTCACTCCCTAAGTGGCCACAACAGCCACAGCTGAGCTTATCTGAAGCCAGGAGCTTCTTGCAGGTCTCACACATGGGTGCAGAGACCCAAGGCTTTGAACCATCCTCCACTCCCAGGCCATAAGCAAGGAGCTGGATGGGAAGTGGAGTAGCTGGGAAAAGAACCGACACTATCGGATGCCGGTGCTTGAAGGGGAAGGATTAGCTAGTTGAGCTGTTGTGCTGGGCCCTACAGCTTTCTGTTACGCATTTATGACAAGTATTTGTGAAAACACTGAGGTTGTTAAAGGTAGAATTTTATTTTTCAGGTGTTTATCTTACCATTTTTTTTTTCTAGTTAGTATGAAAAGCACAGGAAGGCGAAATGTGCATGGGAAATAGAACTCTTTAGCTTAAAATGTTAAACAGAAATCTTGGGCTGTTGACAGGCTGCACAATAGACTGATTTTATAAAATGACTTCTCTGTCAGTTGCCTAAGAGGGGAAAATGGAAGCGCAATTAGGACTATGCAGACCCCGTTTAGAAATTAAATAATAACGGCAAATACTTAGAAGATTTTAACTTTTTTTTTTCTTGTAGTTTGTGTAGATGAGCTGTTTTCCATTTTGAGAAACAGTAATTCCTAGTCTGGGAAAGAAGAGTTGACTGTCAGTTTGCTTTGCAATCAATTTTAAGAGGGTTCTGAGGAAATTAGAGTAGTACCCTATACATGGTGACTAATGTAAACAAGAGGGAAAATGAAATAATTTAGATGAAGTATAGTATTCTGCAGAAAAGGTAGGAAGTAGATATATTTTACAATTTCTTGTAGAAATTGGAATAAAACTCTAACCTCTGCTCTCAAATCTGGAATGTCTTAATGGGCAGGCAGCAGAAAAACAGCTTTCAATAGCAAAATCATGTTAGGTTTTGACTGTTTCTACCCCCAAGAAAATTACATGAAATTTTCCCATCAGAGATTTTCACTCCTAACTCTTCCCCTGGTTGATTTGTTTGGGGATTTTTGCTTGTTTTGCTTTGCTTTTAGGACTAATTTATTTGTTTATTTGAAAGACAGTGTTAGAAAAATACAGCTCTCTTATTCGTTGATTTCCATCCCAGCTGGCATAAACAGCTAGACAGGCCAGGCCAAAGCCAGGAGGCTGGAACTCCATCAAGATCTCTCGTGTGAAGCTGCTGTGATGGCTCAACTGGCTAATCCTGTACCTTTGCCGTGCTTGCATCGCTATCGGTACTGGTTTGTGTCCCAGATTCTCCACTTTTATCCAGCTTCCTACTTCTGGCCTGGGAAAGCAGAGGAAGATGGCCCATGGGACTGGAACACTGTACCCACATGTGACTAGGAAGAAACTCCCTGCTCTGAGCTTTGGATTGGCTCAGCTCCAGCCACTGTGGCCTTTGGGGAGTGGACCATCAGATGGGAGATCTTTCTCCCTGTCTCTCTTTCTCTCTGTATACCTGCCTTCCCCTCCGCCCCAAAAAATCTTTAAAAAAAAGTTTAATTGAGAGTCCTTCTTGTATTTGCAAGTAGAGACCTAAGTAGGTATTTACTCCCCAGTATGCTAATCTCCCTTGTACAGTACGTGTTGAATTAATATATATGTACATACATATGTATGTGTTTACATATTACTATATATGTCTATTGTACTTTACACATTAGTTGCTTTATATCAGAGCTCTTATGTCTTGATCTTTCACTGCCATTCAAAGGGTCTTTAGAATTTGCTTTTATATTTTACTCAGTAGGGGCTGGTCCTTGAAAAATTTAGATCATCAACAAATCTTGATTAAGAGTTACATTTTTGTGGTTCAAATTATGAACCTAATTTTCTCTAACTGAAATGATATGAACTCTCTCACCATGTCTGTTAAGTTTATGGAGCCCCGACACATAATTCAGATCAGCTCAACTTTAGCTGTTGTGGCCACTTGGGGAGTGAATCAGGAAGATCTTCCTCTCTGTCTCTTCTCTGTATGTCTGACTTAGCAATAAAAATGAATAAATCTAAAATAAAAGTCTTCCATCTGTTGGTTCAGTCCCCAAGTGGCCGCAGTAGCTGTTGCTGCACTGATCCGAAGCCAGGAGCCAGGAGCTTCTTACAGGTTCCCCACGTGGGTGCAGGGTCCCAAGACTTTGGACCATCCTCTACTGCTTTCCAAGGCCATAAGCAGAGAACTAGATGAGAAGTGGAGTAGCTGGCAGGACATAAACCAACACCTGTGTGAGATCCTGGTGCTTGCTGCTGAGCCATTATACCAGGCTCTGGTGAATTCTTGTAGTGGATGGATTAGGGGGGCTGGAATCTTGGGAAAACTGATATAGAAGAAAAGAAGACTTGTCGTGCAAATGGTTGTTTCATGTATAACCATTTGGAAGCAGCTTTTAGCAAATATAAAAACACAATGGTAGCCAACTACATGTGGCCTGTACATGTGTTTGGTTTGCCTTTGTAATTGAGTCAACATGTAAAATGTTGGAAATTTCACCCTTGTAAAGCATCTGGAATTCCTTCTTCCATATTCGTTATTCATTGGCTGTTCTTTTCCATAAGGCTTGGTGCTTTTCCTACATGGGTATGACACTTATTCAGGTCACCTACTTTTCCTCCCTAAATATTTGAGTTCGCAGATCCTTTTTTGTGGCATGTTTTGATAAAGCTTGGAATTTTTCAAGGTAGTTTGCAATAGTGTAGTCTATATTTTATATCAATCTTTAGAAATGGGTTTGAATTTTAGAAGTTAAAAGCTGCATTTTACTGATAAGACACTGTATTTTTATTTCTGATATATTGTTTACCTAAAAATCAATTATAATTTAAGTAGTAATTAAAATAACAGCCAAATAAAAATAAATTTACAAACCTAAATATGCGTTATCATTCCAAGATTATCATTATAATTGAGAATAAAATTTTGGCAGTGAGCTTTCTAATGACACATAAAACTAATCATGTTATACTAGGAAAAAAGCTTCTGGGACTTTCATTAATAAGCAATAAAAAATTCATTTAGAGCCTATGCCTTTTAATTCAGAGCCCATTGGTTACTGACCCATTTGGAGGAGTGCCCAGCATTTTGGGTCCAGCTGTCATTGATAAAAAAGAATCAAGCAAGTTTGCAAAATGCTGAAGAAACCACTCCTTTTATTAGAAACCTCTCAAAACTTTATTACTGAAATTCTTAATTTATCAAATATTAATGTTTGCTATAAAATTATAGCAAATAGGCATTAAGCAAAGTTAAAAGATTTGTGTAATATGGAATATACCTTGCATAATTATACAGTGCTTCTCAAGCATAGGTCAAGGAATCCTTCTCTTGGGAAATAGTTTATAACTTCTGGAAAAGTAAATATTCTTTTATATATAAATGTAAATATATATATGTATGATTTATTTTTCTTGGAAAGGCAGATTTACAGAGATAAGAGAGAAAAATCTTCCATCCACTGGTTCACTCCCCAAATGGCTAAAACAGCCAGAGCCAAGCAAGTTCAAACCCAGGAGCCTTTTCCTGGTCTCCCAGACAGGTACAAAGTCCCAAGGCCTTGGGTCAGCCTCTACCACTTTCCCAAGCCACAATAGGGAGCTGAGTGCAAAGTGGAACAGCCGGAACACAAACCATCACCCATATGGGATCCCGATACAGGCAAGGCAAGGATTTAGCCGCTAGACCACCGCTCCAGGTCCAAAGATAAATATTCTTGGGAGTAAGGATTGAGAAATACTGTCCAACTGATAATGATTTATGTCATTATTTCAATCAAAATACTCAAAGCCTTTATTACTATGTCTTTACAGATTTGGGACACAGGGGTAGGAGATATAGCCCTTGCCCTCAAAACATTCTGGGTCTAAATGAGAAGCAGTCAGATGGCTGTGTTGTACTATAATAGATGCTTTCATTCTTTTTTTTAAAAGATTTTTATTTTTATTATTTTTTATTGGAAAGGCAGATATACAGAGAGGAGAGACAGAGAGGAAGATCTTCCGTCCGATGATTCACTCCCCATGTGAGCCGCAACGGCCGATACTATGCCGATCCGAAGCCTCTTGTGGGTCTCCCACACGGGTGCAGGGTCCCAAAGCCTTGGGCTGTCCTCGACTGCTTTCCCAGGCCACAGGCAGGGAGCTGGAAGGGAAGCGGGGCTGCGGGATTAGAACCGGCGCCCATATGGGATCCCGGGCGTGCAAGGCGAGGACTTAACCACTAGGCCACCGCGCCGGGCCCGATGCTTTCATTCTTATTTGGAGCCAATGACTGCTGGAAGTGAGCTTGAGAAATGAAAAGGAGAAGCATATTGGAAGTCGTGGGGGTGAAGAGGAAAAGGCAGCTTGTATTTATTCACTAACTGTGTATTCTAAGTTCATAGGATCTTTTGTAAGGCTTTCAGTTCAGTTGAGATCGGTGTATTTTTGAGAATTGTAAATTGCTTTACAGAATGGCCTCACACCACTTTTACTTGCTATCAATGAAAACAAAGAGGAAATGGTGGAAATTTTAGTAAAGAAAGAAGCCAGTACTCGTGCCGTTGATGAGACAAAAAGGTATGGTAGTTTGTTCTCTCTTTTTTTTTTTTAATCTGAGTGTTATTCTAGTGTGGTAGTAATCATACAAGTCAGAAATAGTTAAGTATTTATGAGATTAACAGTAGTGGGATGCAGTGAAAAGTATCAATGCATATTATCAGGTGAAAAAATGGTTTGGATGAGCAACACAACGTTATGGAGTGTGGTTTATATTCTTGTGTAATATTGACTAAAGTTTGTTACTTATCAGCAGATTTCTTTTGTCAGTTGCTCTTATATTAAAGGGATTTTATGAAGTGTAACTTTAAATTTTTATTTACTTTATGACTAAATATTGAGCTTCTTAACACTGTTATAGTATTTTAATCACTATGTTAAATATAGAAATTGGAAATACTTTTTCTTGTGCCTCAATCTTTGCTTTAAATTGCTCTGAGAAAATTTATGTTTATTTACCCCTAAGTGACCACTAATTGCTGTTGCCAAATACTGGAAATTCATCACTTTTTTTTTTCCTGTTCAGGACATTTTAATATTTTTATTGACATAGAGAAAACAAATTTCATATATTTCATGGATACAATTATAATAATCATACTTTCCTCCCTCTAATAATTCCCCCATCCTTTTTTCTTTAATTTTCACAATAACATACTTTCGGTTTATTTTGTAATCACAGGCTTAATGCATGACTAACCATAAGGTATAATAAGGAAAACTATAAAGCCTGCTGTTCCCCAGAAATACAGACAAGGACTGTAAGCAGGGACCAAATCATGAGATATCAGTTTGATTCTCAGACATGGTGGAGTTTATTTTGTATTATGTATTAATTACCAGGTCTTAGAGAAAACATTTGTCTTTTTGGAATTGGCTTATTTCACTAAGCATAAGTCTTGATTCTGTTGCCTAAAACTAGTTGAACATACTAATGAGAGAGCCAGAGAGAGCTTCCTTCTGCTGGTTCACTCCCCATTTATCTACAGTAGCCCATAGCAGCTTGGAATACAATCCAAGCCACCCATGTGAGGGGCAGGAGCCCAGCTCTTTGAGCCATTGCTGCTGCCGCCCAAAGCTGGAGCAAGCTCTCAAACCCAGGAACTCTTATCGGAGGCAACAGCTGACATTTTGATTTTTACTTGGTATGAATAAGAGGGAAGAAAGATAGTTTTAACTGGATAAACTTCCCTGTAATGAAAACAAGTCATGGGTGATGAAGAGAAAAACACATAGGAATGGATTTGATACAAGTTGTTCCTCTTGCTAGGAGTGCGACCTTGATAGTATCAATTGTTGGTAAATATTACCTGATATACTTGAAAAGGATTTAAATAATACATCCTTTAAGGATGGATATATGTATGTAAGATTGTGCCTACAACATTTAATTTAGTGCCTGACACACTCATATTTACTTAAAATTATGATTATTATTACCATTGATACTGTTTTATGCCTGATAGTTGCTTTTACTAATCTGACTTCTGATTGTGAATTACAATATATCAATCACTAAATGAATGGAGAATTCTTCATTTAAGTCTTTACATACTTTAAATAAGTGATCTCAGAGTAATGATTGTCCGATAAAGGACTGAGTTCCAAGGAAGACCATCCAAGTCAAGTGGAGTAGGTAAAGAACATTCTAATCCTTCTGTCATTTCTATTGCTGAAGTTACTCCTGTGGACTGGTAATGATTGGCCTGTGCTACCAAGAGGCACTTACTGACCCAGATCCCTCCGACTCCATGGCGATCCACAGTTAAGCATCCACATTTGAATTTTCATCAGTTCATACTGTGCTCTTAGATGCTCAGCTGTGCTTCCCAGGGTAGCAGCACCCCACCCTGGTAGCTGAGTCTCCTAGCCTTAGCCACACACACAGTGAACACACTGATCCTCCTGCCACCTTCAAAACTTTCTGTGGAGCCTACACCATAGGCCGTAGTGAACTGTCTTTGGAGACTATGTGTGTGTGCCTTGTGCTAACATTTATCAGTTAGGCTCATTCTGAACTGTGGGAGAGTTTTAAATAATGTTGCTGGAAAGGATTAGCATTTCCTTCCTTCTCTGCTCCCAGGTCTGTGCCCCAAAGCCCCTTAGTAACTTGGGTAGGACCTTTTCCTTGGTTGTGAGCGTCCATGTCACTCTTCCCCAGGTTAGGCACACACATACAGAGACCAGTTTTCTGCAATAACTAGAATCTTATCGATTGAGTATTTGATCCCTACCTCAAGTTTTCAAAGTATTTTCAAATTCTGCACTACCTGGAAGCCATTCAGCAGATTCCTCTGAATCTGACATAGCTTAGAGTTGACAGTGGTGATCCCCAATCTAGAACTCACCAGTATTCATGTATTAAAGTAGGATTTGGTCCTCTAACTCTCTTGGAGTTGAACATGGAACATCTAACAAAGACTTGCTGGTTCAGTTTGCAAAGGCAGAGAAGTAGTAGTAGTCCATGTTATGCACTCACATCTTTTAGTTATCTGTTAGTGTGATTGACTCAGTAATAGGGAGCCTTGATTTTTTTAAAGAAATAAGTTGTTACTAATTGTGAAATAGTTGAGATACTCTGAGGTACAACCACAAAGAACAGCCCTTAATTACGGTTACAATTTACTGGCATTTTCTGAAAGCTAAATCTTTGAGTATTAGAACTAACCTGTAAAAAACACATACTAGATTTTTGGAGCAGATTCCAAATTGGTTTCAGCAATAAAGTTCACCGATAAAGAACTAATTATTTCTTTGCATCATTATTTCTTTTAACATTTAAAAAACATTATCTCATTATTTCTTTGTAACAGCCTAAAGAGGGGCGGAAAAAAAGGCAGTGAAATATTTATTTTTACAAGACTTCAAGGTTGATAGAAATGACTTTCCAAGAAATAGTTGTTGGCTATAGAGCTAGGACTTCTAAGTTCAGGACATTTTACATTATGTCAGAAGAATTCCAGTGAATTTACCAAACTATACCAACTTTAATTCATGAGTTATTCATCTTTTTTTTCCTTTTGTAAGTATAAGCTTAATAAAAAAAATTGTGGTGCTTATGTGTTTGAAATCCATTAAAGTAATGAAAGTTGTGATACTAGTTCTGATATTATCTGATATTATCAACTCTAAGAATTGAATGTATTTGTTCACATGTTTTTTCATGTCAGTACTAAAACAATAATGTATCACTTTCTAAATATATAGCAATCAACAACTTATTTCTGAATATAGAGAAGAAAAGAAATGTAAAATGTTTGACAATAGCAATTCAGGTAAGATTTCATATGATGAAATACTCCTGTTTTGATCATTAAAAAATAAATCAGTGTTTAAACTGCATATATATTTTTCCTTAATCTTCCTAATAATCTTCCTTAATAGTTTATTGCTTAGCAAATTGACAATGCAAAATAGTATTGCCTGGAAAAAAAATTCTTTCTTTATTATGGCCCCTTAACTTCTATATGGTATCTTTGTATATAGGGTTTCTTTTTTTTTTTTTAAGATTTATTTCATTTTTATTGGAAAGGCAGATTTATAGAGAGAAGGAGATACAGAGAGAAAAATTTTCCATCCACTGGTTCTCTCCCCAAGTGGCCGCAACAGCCAGCGCTGAACCAATCTGAAGCCAGGAGCCAGGAACTTCCTTTTAGTTCTCTCACACAGGTACAGGGTCCGAAGACCTTGGACCGGCCTCTACTGCTTTCCCAGGCCACAAGCAGGAAGCTGGAAAGGAAATGGAGCAGCTGGGACACGAACTGGTGCCTACATGGGATCCCGGTTCATGCAAGACTAAGACTGTAGCCACTAGGTTACCACACCAGGGCCCTGTGTGTAAATAGTTTTTATTTTTTGAGTTTAAAATTGAGTTTAATAGGAGTTTAAATACTCTTATTTTTTGAGGAACAGAGATGGAGCTCCCATCTTTGATGTACTCCTAAAGTATCTGTAGTGGCTGGGACTAGGCCAGGCCAAAGCCAGGAACTAGGAATTCAGCTTAGGTCTCCCGGGAACATGGCAAGGACCCAAGTGCTTGTACCTTCAGCTGTTACCTGCCAGGGTGTTCATTAACAGAATGTTGGAATTGGAAGGGAAATTGGCATTGAACCTAGACACCCCAGTTATATGAGGTAGACATCTTAGTGGTATATTAACCAGCATGGTAAATGGCCACCTCTCAGTGTTTCTTCTTAAGCTCCTCTCTGGTTATGAGAGGTATGTTCCGGGTGCAGAAAATCTTGACAAGTTTTCCTGTGATTCTTACCGTAGGAGGTCAAGTGGACCATGTATGTATAAAGTGGGGAACATAGCCAGAATGAGAATGTCCCAGAACATTTCTCAGGGGTGGATGAGTTAGCCTAAGAACAATAATTTATCTTGCATTCCTCTCCCCTGGCAACTGGAAATTTTAGCAAGAATCTCATCCCCAGTTCTGTTGCTCTGTTTTATCATATTGCAGAGTTCAGTGTCCTTGATCTAGCTTCCTTGTGATAGGTTGTTTCAGCCTGAACTCAGCACTTTCGCCTGAAAACCTGGAGAAGTTGTGATGTGTCACAACAAAATAAAAAGAAACTCTCTTCTACCTGTTCTCACTGCTGCCCCTCAACGATCGTGCTGATTCAGTTTGACATCTGATACTGATCACTACCAATGACACCATCTTCTGTCACTCTGCTTGAGTTCCGTTGAGATTATGGCCGTTGTGCCTACATAGAAGTCCACTTTTTGGTATGGAATTTTGATAAATCCAGTTCTACACTTTACTTTGATGAGTACAAAGCAAGGGCAAGGAACAGTTTTTAATATATCAATTGACTGTCAGTGTTATAATTATTCTAGAATATTTTACAGGCTTGGTCCCAGAGTAAAAGTTTATAACAAACCATCAGAGACTTACCTTTTTAATATTCTCGATTTTTCTCTTGGTAATTTAAAATGTATTTTACTATTTTTTTAATAGAGCACGAGAGTTCTGAAGATTCTGAAAGCAGGTAAGATTTTACGTATTTTTAAATGCAATATTAACCAAGGAAATATGGAGAATTAGTACATGAGCTATATGTACATTATGGGTTAGGCAATAGCTATGACTCAAGCAGTATGCTTTATACTTAGCATTTGTGACTTTTCATGCTCATTGCAACAGCTTTTTAGACTATATGTAATCATAATCTGCTTTTTACTAGCAGTTGGACAGCGAGGTTCAGAGAAGTTGACTCATTGTTCCATGATCCTAGACTTAACCAGTAGCCAACCCTGTTAGTCTGTCTGGTGGCAAGTCCATTCTCTTGCTCCTTAGCAGCTCTGGCATCAAGGTACGGACAGGTCCACATCAGGGCAACTCGGAAAGTCAAATCTAACTGCATGCCAACTCTGCTTTAGAGTTCTCCCAGGAGCATTGCTTATTTCAAAAGTTTAACATTTGACAATTGCCGTGGGAATTAGTATATTGTTTTGACCAGCAAAGATTTCAGGGCCAGTCTGTCTTAGCTGTGGCCACAGAACCGCAAGTCATAACCAAGCACATAAACATGACTGGGCCATACTGGAGAGAAATTATTTACTGTAAATGAAGCATACCTGCAGATACACTTCTTAGGCTGTTTAGCATCTTTCCCCCTCCCCCCCTTTTTAAACTTCTTTTTATTACCATCATTTTATGATAGAGTTCCATAGATTGTGGGACTTCCCTTATCCCCTCCCCAATTCCGTCACTTAGTTCCCCTATACTATAGTACTATAGTATAGTTCTTCATACACAGTCATATGGTCTTATGTCCATTACTGGCATGGACAGTGGCAGAGAATCCAGTATCCTATTGTCAAGATATAGTGAACAGTTTCATTGTGAGTCCAACTTTCTCTCGAAGTAGATATGTAGACTGCGATGTCTCCTCACATCTGGATATGATAGTCTCCATTACACAGTTACTATGCATTCTCTTCAATGAAAAGCCACAATACAAAATAAACAACAGGAAGGAAAAAAAAGAAATTTACAATGCCATAGAGTTAAATAACATGTTACTAGATATGATAGTCTCCATTACACAGTTACTATTCATCCCCTTAAATGAAAAGCCACAAAACAAAATCAACAACAGGAACAAAAAAGGAAATTAACAACAGCATGAGTTAAATAACATGTTACTTAATGACTAACATGTCGCTGAAGAAATGAAAAAGAAAATCAAGAACCTTCTTGAAAAAAATGATTCTACTGTATGATCTATGAGTCATTGAAGAATTTAGTCAAAAGAAAGTGTTTTCAAGAGATGAAACTAACAAAAAGAATCAGAATCCATGAGATATAGTTTCCGCTGATCTTTGTTGGTGAAATATGTCTCCTGTAGACATCAAATAGATGGGTTTTGTTTTTTAACTCATTCTACTAATCTATGATGTTTGATTGATGAGTTTAAGTCGTTTACATTCAGGGTTAATACAAATAAGTGGTAATTTGGTTCTGTCATTTTAACAATGGGCTGTTCATTGATTTGGTCTTCTGCTGTTATTTTACTGGGATGTTCTTCACATTTGCCTTTGGATTTGGTGGGCGCTATTTCTTTTCTCTTTCAAGAGAACATCTTGAAGTATCATTTGTAGGTCAGGTTTGGAAGAGGCATATTCTTTTAACTTTTCTTTACTGTGGAAGACTTTTATTTCATTTTCAAAGACAAAGCAAAGTTTTGCTGGGTACATTATCCTGGGCCAACAATTTTTTTCTTTTAGAATCTGGAATATGTCACTCCATTCTCTTCTAGCCTGTAGAGTTTCCTGTAAGAAGTCTCCTGTGAGTTTAATTGGCATTCCTTTATATGTCAGCTGATTTTTTTTTCACATGCACATTTAAGGATCTTTTCCTTATGTTTGATTGAAGAGAGCTTGGTTATCGTATGTCTTGGTGAAGATCGCTTTTGGTCAACCCTGTTGGGAGTTCCTGTGCCCCTCCTGGATGTTGTTTCCCAATTCTTTCTCTAGATTAGGGAAATTTTTCTTTATTATTTCATTAAATACATTTGCAAACTCAGCTTCTCTTTCTGCATCTTCTGGGACTCCCATAACTCTTATATTTCGTTTCCTCCCACCTGGTTGGTGATGGAGCTCCAGCTGCTGAGGGGTTCAGATCGCCGTTTGCTGAATGCTGCTGGGATATCAGTCACTACAATACCACACCATTGTGTCTGCTGCTTTCCTGTGTCTGTCAGTCTCCAGGTCCCCTCTGCTGTTGTTCTGTCCTCTTCTATTTCCTGGGATGTGCCTTCTCTGCTTTGCACTGGCTAATATTTCTCTGTTTAAACATGTCCTTACCCCATTCCACCATTTTGATTCTCTCTCCCAATTAACTTCTTTATTTACTGACTTTCCACTTTGGTTTTCCCCTCAGGCTAGTGCTCCTGCCTTAGTTCTACAAACTTTGTTTTCTAGAGTCTTTTGTTGTTCTATGAATTTTCTGTAATCTTTCCTTAATTTTCAACTTTGTTTTCTGTTTTGTTTCTTTTGTTTTACAATTTCTCCCATTTCCTCTAGCTAAGCATTCTACATTTTTCTATAAACAAAACCAACATCACATGGCATTTCAGGATTCTTAGAAATCTTGGAGACTATGAGATCTGCTAGTGCTTCCACCTGTAGAACATTCTAGTCCAATGGTGGTTCAGATGGGACATCTGAAACTCAGGGAGATTCAAGTGATTAAACTGGATATATTCATTGACAGAAATGAGGTGTAAGCCTCTACTACCTAATTATAAGTTCAGTATTCTTTGCTGTTGTGTAGACGAGTGCTTTAATTTAGAAATTGTAAGAATGAAAGTGGAATTAGCAGTGTAAGAACACTGGAATCCAGTGTAAGAACATAAGAATGGAATTAAGTAAAAATGACCAAATTTGAAGAATAGCATTGAGAGCAATGGAAATAGAAGTTTTAAGGGAGAGGTCAGCATATTGGAGTTTGTGGTCGGTTTGATAAAGGCAAATGGCAGCATTGAAGGACACAGATGTTGGAAGGTATGTAGAAAGACATTCTGAGATAGGAAATTCAAAGGAATTGTAAACAGTTCACTGCATTTGTTTAATTGGAAGAACTGTCAAACTTGAATGTCTCTGCTGAAAGATTCTCAAGCAGTGTGAGCCACTGGGAAGAGTATCCGTGACACGTATGAAATGGTGTCACACCTTTCACCCCAACATACAAGAAGAAGCTCAGCATCATTTGAATGCTAGATGACAAGAGCTTGAGAATTGCATAGAGCTAAGGTCCAGAGAAGGGATCCACTTCATTTCTCAAGTTGCTAGTGTCCTTCCCAAGTCCTTGTATGGGTAGGGAAGTGTTAAGATTGGCTGGCAAAAGAGTCAAGGAGCCTCACTGGGTAGCTGGATCTATGCCTGTGTGGGAGGCAGATCACTGAGACTCTGTGCAGCTTTTTTCCCTCCAAGTGCCGGGAGATAGATAATACTCTTGTATATTTGAGATCATCGTTGTTTTAAAACTTGGAACCTCTTCAGCTGCAGATTTAAGGGTTGTAAGCTGCCTGGGTTAACTTTGTGCTTCTTTACCCGAAATACTTCCTGTAGGAAGAGGGTTTATTTCAGACAGCCCCCGTAGTCTGATGATTGTCAAGGATGGTGTAACACATTTAGAGGGAAGACGACATGATCCAAGAAAGAGAGAAGTTGAACTGGACTGAGCTTCTGTAACCAGTCCTCCTGCACTGGGCCTGCATTGTAGACACTGTAATAATGTTATCTCTACCGTTAGTCCATTGGCTGCTATTAGTCTGTAAGTCTTTGCGGACCCAAGCCTCCCAACATATGGGTCTTGGTGGGACACCCAAACTATTAGCCAAACCATAACATGGCCATTAACCCCTGCACAAAAGGGATCTGGGAGTGGGAGCCCAGAGGAAGGAAGAATTTTGATAGTAGTAAAGGAACTGGAGGTATAACTACTGTGGCTGTTGTTTTGCCAGCATCTTCCCTTGGAGCAATGTGAAAGATCTCTATGAAGTGTTAAGACCGTATCTGAGGAGGCTAGAAGTATATGGGGGAAGTCATTGGAGTTTACGATGTTTACTATTTTAACCTGTACATTTATTTTATTTCTAGTAACAACATGCACATTTTGTCTTTGTTTTTTTGTACATTTACTTGGAAACATTTTGGAGGCTTTAGAGGATCCCTTGCAGTATTTTAGGGTTAAAGGGAGCAGTGCCTTGTTCTCCATCGTTTCCATGCTGCAGAATCCATATGGCCATCTTTGAATTATGCAGATTAGTTATTGAACCAAGGGCAGCCAATGGAGGAGCGATGGTGTATCTTTCTTCCTTATCTTAGCTAGTTGGATTGGTACAATTCAGGTAGCAGAAATTATATTAGCCTTGGTTGGCTCTCAGCTGAACCATCAGGATAGACAGTTTATGAAAATGAATTATTGTCAGGCTCTTCTACTATACTGACTTAATACTAAGAGTGAGCGTCTTCCTTGACTATATCAAGTTGGAAGCAGACGTAAAAGATTTTTTAAAATATTGAAAAACATCATCTGATAATCACATAAGTCAACTTTACACCAGATTAAAAACATTTTTTTTGTGCGTGTGTGGAATAAAATCACTGATTTTCATATGTTTGTGCTCTAAAGGCTTTCCAGTGAACCTGATATTGATGACCCGTGGCCTACATCAGTTGAGGAAGACTTAGATTTGGAGACTAAGGTAAAATGCTCTTTTGTGAACTCTATTTTCTTACTCTGAACTGAGCTTATTGTACTGTTTACTCTTAAAATTCACCAGTGATCTATCTACCATCGTTGTAATTTTAGCCAACTAATGAAAAGTTGGTTAGAGAAAATCACTTTGTAGAAACATGACTAATTGACTTTTAAAACATTTTTACGGGCCCGGCGCGGTGGCGCAAGTGGTTAAAGGTCCTCGTCTTGCACGCCCGGGATCCCATATGGACGCCGGTTCTAATCCCGGCAGCCCCGCTTCCCTTCCAGCTCCCTGCCTGTGGCCCGGGAAAGCAGTCGAGGACGGCCCAAGGCTTTGGGAACCTGCACCCGCGTGGGAGACCTGGAAGAGGCTCCTGGCTTCAGATCGGCATAGCATCGGCCCGTTGCGCTCACTTGGGGAGTGAATCATTGGATGGAAGATCTTCCTCTCTGTCTCTCCTCTCTGTATATCTGCCTTTCCAATAAAAACATAATAAAAATAAATCTTAAAAAAAAAAACATTTTTACTTTGGTAAATACTAAAGGGTTATTAAATACTTAGAGAGTGGGTCTAAAAAGAAGAATGGGCTGGAAACTGCATGGCAAAAGAAAATCATTGTAAAAATCTTTTCTGCAAAGAAGTAGGACACTTGTCAAGGAATATTTGGGCAAGTATTTTTACTGCAGCTTTTGGAGTCATACCAGCATTGCTTTTATATTATTCAGCCCAAGTGCGTCTCCACTGACTCCATTACTTGTTAGAGTAATAATCTTGGAATCACCATTGTCCCTTTCAGCTCCAAAACTGTAACATATAGCATAAAAGATTTTTTTCTTTTCTTGGAAATATTTTATTTGTGATTTTTAGGAGAGCTTTTTGTTCCTTTTTATTCTTGGTTCCAGATAGTACATGAAAAAAATTAGAAATTATGGAAATTTAGAAATGTAAATTCTGTTTCAAAATATGTTTAACAAAGCTTTTCACTCTGTTTTCTAAGGCAGTCCATTAATGTACAGTGAAGGCTCTTCATAAAATTGGAGAATGTGCGTTTATCTCATGTAATAAGCAATTTTAGAAGCAGAGATTCTGAATAATTACATTATAAAACTTTACTTTGAAAACTGTTTGCCTTCCAGTTTTTAAAGTATTCATTCAGTGATTTCAAATAAAATACTTATTTATTTGAAATGCAGCCCAACTGTTGGGGAGGGAGTAAATGAGTTGCTGTATTCTGTGGTTTCCTCCCCTTAATGTCATCTGGGCCAAACCAAAGCCAGGCGCCAGAAACTCCATTCCGGCCTTTCCTGTGGGGGACAGAGATCCACGTACTTGAGCCACCTGCTGCCCACTTTCTAGGTGTGTTAGCAGGAAGCAGGATTGGAACCAGTACAGTCAGAACTTGACCAAGCACTTCCCCTGGCATTGCTTCATGCACTGCTCCTCGTGCAGCCCCTCCTCTCAGAATTCTTGCATCACATTCTAAAGTTTCAAATGTTAGGAGTTTTCTCTTACTAAAGTTTTCATTTTAAGCTACCATAACACTGAGAATTAATGACAGTTTGGAAACATCTGTATTTGCCCCAGAGGATCTAGGGATACAGCCTTACATGTAAAAAGCATCTTGATGTCTTCATGTGCGAACAAATGGCTTTTTAAAAAATAGAATTTTATAGGTAGTAAAACATTCATGGTCTAGCTAATAATTGAGTTAACTGAATTCATAAGAATGTGGCTAATACTTAATTTCCTTTTAATGTTAAGAAGGTATACAATCAGGGCCTGGTGTGGTAGCCTCGCAGCCAGCCCTTTCCTTGCACACACTGGGATCCCATATGGGTGCCGTTTCTAATCCTGGTGAACCCCCTTCCCATCTAGCTTCTTGCTTGTGGCCTGGGACAGCAATCAAGGACAGCCCAAAGCCTTGGGATCCTGCACCCATGTGGGAGACCAGAAGAGACTTCTGGTGCCTGTCTTCAGATCTGCTCAGCTCCAATCATTCCAGCTTCTTGGGGAGTGAATCAACAGATGGAAGATCTTCCTCTCTCCTTCTCTCTCTGTATATCTAACTTTCCAATAAATATAAACACAAATCTTTTAAAAATGTATACATTCAAATGAGTTATATTGAATAAATATGTCATAAATAAGAAAGAAAAATTTTAAAATTCACAAATAGGAAAGAAGGTTGTGTTTTCTAGTGTATTTTGTGAGATTAGATTAGTATTTTAGATTACAATATCTTAATTTCTTAAGCTATAACCCATGTTCTGTTTCACACCACACATTGTTCCGTAGAACACTGATTCTTTTGCTAAGTGAAAAACTTAGGAAACATTTTTTTCAATTTTCTCCAATAATAATTTCACAGATTTTAGGTAGTGTAGATGACCGTAATCAGATAATTGAATGACTTATAGTAATGCAAGTATCTCTTTCTTGCTGTACTACATATATAAAAAAATTGTAAAATAGAAAAAATTTAGTATCACTAGCGATATACTATGAATGAAAGTCTTACATTTCTTTATACATTGTGCTGTTCTTTAGGTTTTTCCTTTTCTTCCTTGGTGTAAATTCATATTCAGTTGACTGATTCAGATCTCTTTTTTGTTTGTTTGTTTCATCGTCTCCCTACTTTTATTTCTTTTTTAAAGATTTATTTACTTTTATTGCAAAGTCAGATACACAGAGGAGGAGAGACAGAAAGGAAGATCTTCCGACCGATGATTCACTCCCCAAGTGAGCGCAACGGCTGGTGCAGCACCTATCTGAAGCCAGGAGCTCTTCCAGGTCTCCCACATGGGTGCAGGGTCCCAAGGCTTTTGGGTCATCCTCGACTGCTTTCCCAGGCCACAGGCAGGGAGTTGGATGGGAAGAGGAGCTGTCGGGATTATAACTGGCGCCCATATGGGATCCTGGTGCATGCAAGGCGAGGACTTTAGCCACTAGGCTACCGCACTGGGTCCCCTCCTCCCTACTTTTCAAAAATGATTCCTATTCCCTGCAGACAACATTCCTTCAGTGCCTATTCTTTCAGTCAGGCAGTGTCTCCACTGTCAGCACATCTAGTTATCATTTTCTATTTTATAGCTCTTTGAGGCTTTCATTAATCACTGCCACAAAAAGGGTAGTCTTGTTTTTTCTTCCTTGGAAGGAACTGAATTTATATATAATTGTTTTTATTTAGTTTTTTGACAGACATAATGAAAACAACCAGTAATGCAAGTCATCTAAATAAGATACTACCGAAAACTATCACTTCTTTTTCCACAAAAGATAACTCGTACAAATACAAATTGTTCACAGATATTTCAGTTTACTTAAATGTCTTTATTCATTTTCTTTTTCTTTTTTTTTTAGTAATCCTTTTAATTATTTAGGGATTGACTTTGTTTTGACTCAGAAAAGCATCTAATAATTGTCACGGTACTTTTACAGTCAATTAGAAGCAAAAGGATTATCATTTTGATTATATCCTGTCTTCTCTCAATCCTTATCACACAAGAAGTTAGGGCTAAGTAAATAAATGGCAGGATTACAGTTTGAATGTTTATCTGATTCCAGTACCTGTGGTCTTTGGTTAGATTATATAAGAAAAATTAATATTATGGCTATTAAATTCAATTTTTCTATAGTCTTAAAGCTGTTTTTCTTTTGTTTAGACTGTTCCCAAACCAAACTTAACGAAGTTCTTGACTGCTTCTCAACAATTCAGGAAAAATAGTAAGCTATTTGAAGACAATTTTTCTTGTGTTATTTTACTGGTTTGAAATTACAAATATTCTCCTAGACTCCTTGCTTTGTTTTTACTCTAGTGGAAGCAAAGCCTGACACTGTGAAGCCTGAAAATGCGACTTTGCTTGACAGTGGTAATTCGAATGGTCAAAATGAAGATGAGATTAAAACCTTTCCTACGTTGGCCAAAGTCCAGAGCTTTTCTCATTCTGCCTCCCCATCCCCCAAGCCTCTTCTAAAGTGTTCCTTCGGGTCTACAGCCATCCCTGGCCCTGCCAAGGTAAGGCTTTTTCTCCCCATATCATCATCTCTCATTCTCATAATGATGAGAAGGGTCCTAGTAATGCTACAACTTAAAAATCACAGAAAGCCAAGATACTATCAAGTCAGATATATGGAAAACATTGAGATTTATGAAGGTTAGTGGAAGTAAACAGTTCTTCAGTGTGCTATTATGGAAGGTGAGGATTAGAAAGCTACCCTGAAAAGAGCTTGACAAATGTGAAAACAACAGGGGAGAATGATGGGAAGAATCTATTGGAGGAAGGCAAGGGCCAGGAGGATGGCTGAAAGAGAAGCTCCAGTGACCACCTCCTGACGGAGACACCAGTGTAGGCAGATGCCCAAGCGCCAAGTCACCTTAACAAGATCTACTGGAACCAGGTGAGATGCCCCAGTGCCTCATCTTGGAATCATGGCACAAGATGCGTTGAGGAAAGAATTGCCTGTGTTATTCCTCCCCCAAGTCCAAGGAGCACAGCCTAAAGGGATGTCTCTGTCATGGGAGGACGGTGAACTGGATCCCAGTGCCAGGTCCTCTGTTAAAAAAGAATTCATTTGCGCTGAGGCCATCAGCCCTTGCCCCGGATCCACCAGCCAGGCAGCCTCCACCATCCCTCCCCTGCAGCTGCCTACAGAAAAGGAGACTCCAGCCACATAGAGAAGCCAGGAGAGGGAGCTTAGGAGGACACCTTGAGCTCAGAGCAGGCCTACTGCCGAGACCTGCCACTTGATAAAGCGCCAGAGCCTCTGCCACCCAGCCAGTGCTCCCAGACTGAGCCTCTACACCTGCCCCGCTTCAGGTAGACATCTGTGCTCCAGTAGGTTGGATTCATTTGGTGCGTATTATCACTTGTTAAAATCAGGTGGGCCTGGAGGTCATTCCTGGGACCTTATGAGGCCCAGGGACTGTGCAGCTCAGCTGTCACCAGCCTGGAGCCAGTATGGGAGGTCTTATCCCCTTTATCACCTATCTCCAGCTTTTAGCAGACAACAAGAGGCCTGCGGGCCATATGTTGGACTTCGGTGCTGAGCTGGCAAAGCCCAGTGATGGGCAGATCCTGAGACCTTCAGAACCTAGGCCAGTGCCTACAGATGCAATCTGTGCACCTGCCCCAGTGTCAGATGGAGACCCAAGCTGTGGTGAGACAGACTTGTGTTGGCACATACCACCACCAACCTACAGGCTAAAACCCAGATGTGACTCATTTGGAACCTGCCTGAGTAGCTGAGGAGCTGTGTCATTCATCCTACCCACCACCTTGAAAAGATAGCAAGGAAACAGAACGGTTTCAGAATTGAGTGCCAGGCTGATAAATCCAGCCTGGAGCAGATTCTAGCAGTTCCTTTCCACAGGCCATTGTCTCAGAGCCTCTGGGCCTGCCTTAATGCCCAGGAGTATTCTGTGGTCCTGGTTGATCAGCCAGGATTGGCGTGACTGATAGGTGCAGCATCTGACAGCCAGCCCACACCTGAGCTGCAGACCACCTCAGCAGAAAACAGACTTCTTACAGGGTCTACAAGAACAGGTGCAATCAAAGCTAGATTACTAAAACTAATCCTGCAGTACAGAAATGCTGTCATTCCCCAATAACCCTCAGGAACTTGCAGGGAACTATGACCCTTCTTGAAGAGCAAAATGGGGTACCAGAGATCAACCATCTAGAAGGTGGAATTTCCAAATTGTTGGATAAAAATTATGAAAGAACTGCTTTATGGAAACTCTACAATATTCAAGAGCACAGAGAAAAATCATTTAGTATTCTAATAGTGATTTGGTAGAGATGAAAGTAATTAAGCAACATCAAGCAGAAATTCTTCAATTGAAAATACACTTGGGTGAAATTCAAAGCATCATAGAAGACATCAACAGTAAATTAGATGGGACAGAAGAATCAATGAGCTCAAAGACAGGCTTTTTGAAAAGACTGGGAGGAGGGGGAAAGACAGGAAGTATAAAGAAGGCTTATGAGAATTATGGGATAGTATGAGAAGAAAAAAACTGATTAATTGGGATTCAAGTGTTGCTTGAGGATACTGAAGAGATATAAAGTACATTCAAGGTCTGACTAAGCCTCCAACTGTGATGCCAGCATCGCTTGCAGTACCAGTTCTAGTGCCAGCTTCTATATTTCTGCTCCAGCTCCCTGCTTGTGCCTTGGCAAAGGAGCAGAGGATAGCCTAGGGGACCCCTGCCCCAATGTGGGAGAGCTAGAGGAAGCTCCTGGCTCTGGATCAGCTCAGCTCTGCTCATTGCAGCCATTTGGGGAGTGAATCCGTGGATGCAGGATCACTCTCTCTTTCTACTTCTCTCTGTAACTGTCTTTCAAATAATAATTTTAAAAACAACTCTCTTTTAAAAAAATGCATTCAAAAAATTACAGAAAATTTGCCAAAGCTAGAGAAATATATGTATCTATCCAAGTATAGGAAGGCCACGAGTTTAGAGTTACATTCAACCCAGCTGACTGTGCCCCAAGACATATTATAATAAAATTCTCCAATATTAAAGGTAAAAAGAATTCTCAATGCTACAATGGAAAAGAAGCCAGTAACACATAAAGGAGTCTCAGTTGTCCTGACTACACATTTCCCAACGAAAGTCTTGGGGAAGTGGGATGAGACTTTATAGTACGAAAGGGGAAAAAATGTCAGCCAGTAATACTATATCCAGAAAAGTAATCCTTCAGATAAAAGGGAGAGATGTAATCATTCCAGATGTACCAATGCTGAGAAAAATTATCACCACCAGACCTGTTGCAAGAAATGTTAAAGGGAGTTGTTCAAGCTAAAAAGCACTAATAAATAAGATATGATTAAAAACTCACTGATTGGGGTCAATGCCACAGCATAGTAGGCTGAACTTCTGCCTACAGCACCAGCAAATCATACATTCTCTGATTTGAATTGCGGCTACTCTGTTCCAGTCCTTTTGGCCTAAGAAGGCAGTGCAGGATGGCCCAAGGTCTTGGTACTCTACACTCAGATGGGAGACCCAGAAGTTCTAACTTCCTGGCTTCAGATCAGCTCAGCTGTGGCCTCTCTCCTTATCTCTGTAACTCTGCCCTTCATATAAAAATAAAATAAAACTTATAAACCTAATTGATAAGAGTAACTACTAACAATGCCAAAATGCTTTGGTTTTGTAAACATTGTATAGAAATCACTCATGTCTTTATTGTGAAAATTTTTAAAAAATGTAATGACTGCACTAAAATGTTGGGGGAGATGCTATGGATAGAGAACATATGTAACATCAAAACTTAAAACTGACAGGAGGAATTGAGCATAAATGTAGGGTTCTATATTGGAATTTCCCAGCTTTCTCCTCCTGTGCTTATAATCAGCTAAGTTGTTACTATTGCAAGATGATTTGTTATAGCCTAACGGGTAACTTAAAGCAAAACCTATTATGTAGAGACTTACCAAAAATGATACACCAGGGATCAAAGTGTACCACTGAAAAAAAAAAATCACATAACCACAAATGGGGATTGTAATCTAGGAATCATGAAAGGAAGTACAAGAAGAACGCATTTAAAAATATCCGATTTTCAGGAGAAAGACATTATGTATCAGTAATTACCTTCAAAGTCAATGGAATAATTTCTCTCATTAAAAGACAGAGCAGGGCCCAGCGCAGTAGCCTAGTGGCTAAAGCCCTCGCTTTGCACAAGCCGGGATCCCATATGAGTGCTGGTTCTAATCGCAGCAGCCCCGTGTCCCATCCAGCTCCCTGCTTGTGGCCTGGGAAAGCAGTTGAGAATGACCCAAAAGCCTTGGACTCTGCACCCACATGGGAGACCCAGAGGAAGTTCCTAGCTCCTGGCTTCGAATCGGCACAGCTACAGCCTTTGCAGCCACTTAGGGAGTAAATCAACAGATGAAAGAACTTCCTCTCTGTTTCTCCTCCTCTCTGTATATCTGACTTTTCAATAAAAATAAAATAAATCTTAAAAAAAAAAAATAGAGTGACCAAATGGATTAAAAAAACAAATGGACCCAACTATATGCTGCTTGTAACCAACTCAGTTCACCTTAAGGGTATAAGTAGACTGAGAGTAAAAGGATAGGAAAAGATAGTCCGTACAAACAGCACCCCATAGAGAGAAATAGCTATACTTCTGCTACTTAAAATAGATTACAAATCAAACACAGTTAAAAAAAAAATGACCAGGAAGGAACATGAAGTGCACAGTACAGTAAGAGAAAATAAAACTTGTAAATATTTGCATCTGATATTGAGGTACTCAAATATATTAGTAGATCTAAGGGAGAAGTAGATTATAATACAATAATAGTAGCTACTTTATCACTCAGCATTCAGAAATTGAGAAATGAGCAAGATAGAAAATCAAAAAAAAAAAGAAACAGCAGAGTTAGATCGCACTCTAGCCTGATTATACCTAACACACATCTACAGAAGTGTCTGTAAAGCAGCTGCAGAACACACATTCTCCTCAGTGGTCAGGGATAGATCATATATTAGGTCACTAAACAGAGCTGAACCAACTTAAAAATAGTACAGGTCATATTGGGTGTCTGCTCTGATCAAGTGTAATAAAAATAAATTTTAAAAATCGGAAACTACACAAACGCATGGCAACTAAATAGTTATTCTTGAATAAGCAATGGCTCAAGGAAGGAATGCAGGAAGAGACTAAAACATTTCTTGAAATGAATTAAAGTGGAAGAAAAGCATCAAAAGCTACGAAATGCTGCAAAAGCAATGTAAGAATTGTATAACAATCAGAACCCGCATTTTAAAAAAAAGGCGGGGGGTGAGGGGATCTCTCAAACTAATTATTACTGCGCTCAAGAACTCAAAGAACAATAACGAGTCACATCGTAATTTGTTAGAAGGAAACAATAAAATCCAGAGCACAAAGAAACGATAGAGACTAATAAGACAATACAAAAAGGTTAATGAGACAAAAGGAGGGAGAGCTGTGTCTCAAGGGCATGGGATTTGAGGTGAAAGCAGAGACTTGAGGACTGGCCACACCCAAATAAAAAGGATTATGAGTGGTGATTATAAGTAAATATGGTAAGAAATTTGATAACTTAGAATAAGCAGCCAAATTCTTGGACATACTCAGCTTATGTGGATTAAGTCATGAGCGTGGAGGATACCTAAATAGGCCAGTGAAGAGGAATTCACACCAATCCTTAAATTATTTCAAAAATAGAAGAGGAAGAAATTTTTATAAATTCTCCCATCATCCACGACCAGCATTACCAAAGCGAGACAAAGACACAGAAACCAGAATTCTCATTGACAATGGTGCATTGTTGGAACAGTTGGATGTACATATGCAGATGAATGAAACCATGCCTTTTTTTCATTAGTTAGAAAAATTATCTGAAAATGAATGAAAAGACTACAGTATGAGACTTGCAAATGCTAACATCCCATATAGGCACCAGTTTGTGTCCCAGCTGCTCCACTTCTGATCCAGCTCCTTGCTTAGGGCCTGGGAAGGCAGTAGGGAATGGCTCGAGTCCTTGGGCCCTGCACTCGAGTGGGAGACCCAGAAAAAGCTCTTGGCTCCTGGTGTTATCCTGTCTCAATCCTTGTCATGAGCGTGGAGGACACCTTAATAGGCCAGTTAAGAGGAATTCACACCAATCCTTAAATAATTTGGGAAGCGAACCAGTTGATGGGAGATCTTTCTCTGTGTCTCATTCTCTGTAAATCTGCCTTTCAAATGAAAATAAGTGTTTAAAAAAAGGAAAGAAAGAAACATTAGAGCTGTGAGGGAACCAAAAGTTCACAGTAGTGAAATGGAAAGATGTGTATGTTGGCAGCATTGGTTTGAGAACCCTCCATCCCTACTTCACTGTTGATCTGGGTACCGTTAGTGCACCAGTGAAAGATGATGCAAATACTGGAGCCACTGCCAACAACATGGGAAAGCCGGTGTAGTTCTTGGCTTCTGGCTTTGACCTGGATTATCACCGTCTCTTTCAGCTGTATGAAGTGCAAGCCACATGATGAAAGATAGCTCTTTATTTTTCCCCCTCTCTATGGCACACTGCCATTCTAATAAATAAATCGTTTTTAAACTACCTCTAGTTACTTCAGCATTTCTCTTATACAACTTATAACTTTGTAAGGTTCATTATTTTTTTTTTTTTAGTTTTACTTTTTATGTCATTTGTATGGTTGACAAGGATGCATACGCATGAGTTCTACTGATTAGAGTGGGAAGGGTCAAGATATAGGGGAAGAAGAATGGGACAAATGCTTCTAATTTTTCTTTTCTTCCCTTTTATCCTGTATCTGAAACTGGAAGGAAGGGGAGTCACGGAGGAGATGGGGCCTTCTCCCAGCTGCCAAACTCTTACTGCCCAGTGATGGGGGGTGTCCACTTGATGTCATCTGACAAAGCCTGATATGGAGAAGAATGTTCCGAGGGTATTGCTTGAGTGGTTGATAGTTCTGAGACACTGTTGGTTTCATTGCTGCAAGACTGAATAAATCCTTCCAAGGTTAAGGTATTGTTTTTTTTTTTTTAAGATGTATTTATTTTGTTTGAAAAGTAGGGTAACAGAAAAGAGAAAGAGAGATCTTCCAATTGTTAGTTCACTTCTCAAATGGTTGCAGCAGCCGAGACGGAGCCTGGCCTATGCCAGGAGCTTGATCTGGACACTCTTCCACCGTATTCCTAGATCTATTGGGAGCTGTATCCGAAATGAAGAAGCTGGACTCTGAACTGGTGCTTATATGGAATGCCAACATTGCAGGTGGTGGCTTAGCCCAACCTGCCACTAAGAGTGTTAATTTTTAAAAATTAATGACGTCAGGTCATATACCATGACATAGAAAACTAATCCTCGGGCCCGGCGCGATGGCGCAGTGGTTAAGGTCCTCACCTTGCACGCCCCAGGATCCCATATGGGCGCAGGTTCTAATCCCGGCAGCCCCACTTCCCATCCAGCTCCCTGCCTGTGGCCCGGGAAAGCAGTCGAGGACGGCCCAAGGCTTTGGGACCCTGCACCCACGTGGGAGACCTGGAAGAGGCTCCTGGCTTCGGATCGGCATAGCATCGGCCGTTGCGCTCACTTGGGGAGTGAATCATCGGATGGAAGATCTTCCTCTCTGTCTCTCCTCTCTGTATATCCGCCTTTCCAATAAAAAAATAATAAAAATAAATCTTTAAAAAAAAAAAAGAAAACTAATCCTCCACCTGTGGCACCATCAGCCTACATGGATGCTAGCATGAATCCCAGTGCCTCCACGTCTGCTCCAGTTCCCAGCTAATGTGCCTGGGAAGAGAGCAGAGGAGCACTCAAGTCTGTGGAGCTCCACATCCAACTGAGAACCCTGGAAGAAGCTCCTAGTTCCTGGCTTTGGACCATCCCAGCTCTGTCCATTGTTTTCATTTGGAAAATACTGATGTAGTTATTATCAGTTTATGATTTGGCCCTTACTCTCTTGATTATTTTCCTATCACATTCACAATTAGTGTAGTCTATTTTTTTAAGTTATTTAATCTTATTGGAAAGGCAGATATACATAGAGGAGGAGAGACAGAGGAAGGTCTTCTGTCTGTTGATTCACTCCCCAAGTGGCCGCACCAATCCGAAGCCAGGAGCCTCTTCCAGGTCTCCCATGCAGGTGCAGGATCCCAAGGCTTTGGGTCATTCTCAGTTGCTTTTCCAGACCACAAGCAGGGAGCTGGATGGGAAGTAGGGCTACTGGGATTAGAACCAGTGCCCATATGGGATCCTGAGGTGTGTGCAAGGCGAGGACATTAGTCACTAGGCTACTGGGCCAGGCCATAGTGTAGTGTGTTTTTATCCCATGACTTCAGTATCCCTCTTTGCTGTCTTATACCTCATCCTTCTGTTCCTGCTGCCCTGCCTTGAATGCGCTTCACAATGTTGCCACATTATTGCAGTATTTCCTAGGTTTTCCAGGTAGAACCCACTGTTCTTCCCTTTGTCTCCTTTATTCACTTCAGTTGCTCAACTAATAGAGTATACTTGAACAAGTGAATGTTTTCTTTTCCTTTTTTTTTTTTTTAAACTAAGATTTATTTACTTTGGTGAAAAGTCAGATTTACAGAAAGGAGAGACAAATCTTCTATCTGCTGGTTCACTCCCCAAGTGGCTGCAACTGCCAGAGTTGTGCCGATCCAAAGTCAGGAACCAGGAACCAGGAGCTTCTTCCAGCTCTGCCACACAGGTACAGGGTCCCAAGGTTTTGCGCCTTCATCTACTGCTTTCGCAGGTCACAGGCAGGGGGCTGGATGGAAAGTGGAGCAGCTGGGTCACAAACTGGTGCCCACATGGTCCCCTGCACATGCAAGGTAAGGATTTAAGCAACTGAGCCATCATGCCAGGCCCATGAATGTTTTCTGAAATTGTATTTCCTTGTTTTCATAGGAAGAAATGCCAAAGCCAGAAATTGGAAAAAAAGAAATTGACATTGGTAGTGAAAGTGCCACAAGAGAACAAACAAATAATGATGGATTGACCCATACTGATGAAGTACACAAGAGTAATAGAAGGGGTGAGTTGGTGTATGTTTGTGAATTTTTTTTTCTGTGTTTAAATGCTATTTTAAAAGTAATGTGTCTAGATCCAAACAGAGCACTTTTTAAAGATATTCTAGTGTTTTATCTGTATAGGCTGCTGTGGCATTTCTTGCTTGTGTACATGTGTACAGGTACACGATAATCTGCATTTCTCCTTCTTTGGCATTGCTTTATCATCAGAGGCTCGTAGCTTCTTTCTTTTTTTTAATAATTAATTTATGTTTTTATTGATTACATTGCATTATGTGACACAGTTTTACAGGCACTGGGATTCCCCCCTCCCCTCCCCAAAACCTGCTCCCCCCTATGGTGGATTCTTCCATCTTGTTGCATTACCACAGGTCAAATTCAGTTGAGATTATTTCCTTGCAAGCATCTACATGTAGCTTCTTTCTTATATTGTACAGAAAATGCACTGTTTGTTATTGTGAACTGCAGTCTCCTCCTATTCTGTATAAAACTAGGAACTTATTCATTCTAACTGTTGATCTGCTACTCACTTTCCAAATCTCCACAGTTTACCTCTGGACCTCCCAGCCCCTGCTAATCACCAATTTCTGTGCAGAGTGACTGTTTCTGGTTTTGTTTGTTTTTAGCTTGCATGTGTGAGTTTAAATATGCAGGACTTATCTTTCTGAGTCTGCCTTATTTCACTTAAAAAACAATGTCCTCCAATTCCACCCATTAATGCTGAAAATCATAGAAGTTCAGGGTTTTTTTTTCCAGCAGAATAAGCTCCCATCATGAATATGAACCACAATTTCTTTATCTATTTATGATGGAACTGGAACCTTGGTTGATTCCTTATTTTGGCCATTGTGAACAGTGGCACAGTATACATGCTGGGGCAAAGATGTCTTAATACAATAACTTAATGTCTTTTGAATTGCTAGATCCTAAGACAGTTTCATTTCTAGTTTTTAAAGAAATATCCCTAGTATTTTCTGCAGTAGTTGCATTAATTTACTTTCGTACCACTAGTGTGTAAGAATTCTTCTTTTTCCCATCCTCACCAGCACTTGCTACTTTCTTTTTGATGGTACCTATTCTAATAGGTAAGGGGATATCTCACCTGTTTGGTTTGCATTTCCCTAATGCCTAGTGATACTGATAATTTTTTCCATTTGTTTGTTGTCTAGTTATATCTTTTCTTTAGAGGGCTGTCTATTCACATCCTTAGCCCATTTCTTAATAGTTTTGGTTGTTTTGTTGTTGTTGTTTTTCTTGTGTAGTTTTATGGGTTCCTGATATTTTCTATGTGTTAATCCTCTGTCAGATAAGTAGCTTGCAGACATTTTCTTCCTGTCAGCTCTCTCTTCAGTCTCTTGAATGTTTCCTTTGCTGTGCAGAAACTTCTGAGTTTTATATAATCCCATTTTCTAGTTTTGCTTTTGTTTTTTGCACTTTGAGTTCTCCAAACTACCATTTTCTATACCAATGTCTAACAACTTCATATTTACAATTCTTGCATTTACATCTCTGATCCATCTTGAGTTGATTCTTGTAGGTGTAGAAGCTAGGTATCTTATTTCCTTCCTCTGCATTTATATATATAAAATATATATATATATATATATTCAGTTTTGCCATTACCATTTATTGAAAAGACTCCTTTTCTTTCTGTGACGTATGTTCTCAGTATCTTTGTTGATTGTAAAAGCATGGACTAGGTTCTAGGATCTGTATTGTGTTCTGTTGATCCATGTGTCAGTTTTCATACCAGAAACATAATGGATTTTTGTTTTAGGATTTCTTTATTTGAAAGCTACAGTTAAGAGGAGAGGGAGAGATCTTTCTTTTTCAGAATCTCTGTGGATGTTCTGGATCTTTTGTGACCTATTTGAATCTTAGAATTGCTTTATCTAATTCAGTCTGGACATTCCACCAAAAAGCGATTGAATTGATAAATTAATTGGGTAGTCACAGAATACAAAATATCTTTTAAAAAATTTGCAGCTTAACTTACCATAATGAGTCTGCTTAAAGAGAAATCAAGAAAGAATTCCCATTCCAAATAGCTACAAAATTTTGAATAGTTAGGATCGCATTTAAGCAAAGAAGTGGGAAATCTCCAGAATGAAAATTTTAAAACACTGTTGACAGAAATTAGGGAGGACACACACAAAAGTAGAAAATATCTCTTGCCGATGTGTTACAGTAACTAATATTATTTTTGTTGTTGTTTAGTATAAAGAGAATTCCCAGTGAATATGCAACTGTACAGAGCTTATATTGTCAAAATACTTATATTACCTAAAGAAATCTGCAGATTCATGCAGTGCCTGTCAAAATACCAATGAATCTTTTACAGAATTAGAAAAAAAATTCTTTTTTTAATATTTTTCTTTTGCTGTCTTTCTTCATACTACCAACTTCTTCCTAAAACTTCAATTTCTTTAACCCTCTGAGATTTACTCTTGCCATTGCTTTGTTGTTGTTGTTGGAATAGTCATGAATGGAGTTTACCTATGTGTTTATTTAAAATCCTTTGTAATAAATGTTCTCATTAATGGCTGTGTGGGTACCTTTTCTAGACATGATGTCTGCGTTAGGATTTGGCGAAGAGGAAGACATAGAATCACCTTGGGATTCTGAGGTATTGTTGCTATTTTTAATACAGTGATTGATACATATTGAAACAAAGAAGGGGATTTTTTTTTTCTTTTTAGTTATTTGAGAGACAAAGTAATGCAAAGAGAGAGCTCCAATATGTTGGTTTACTCCCCCAAATGTCTGCAGTGGCAATGGTTTGGCAAGGCCAAAGCCAGCAGCTGGAAACTCACTCCAGGGCTCCCAAGTGGGTAACAAGGACTCCACTACTTGATCCATCAGCTGCTGCCTCTCAGACTGTGTGTTAGCAGGAATGTAGAATCGGGAGCCAGAGCTGGAGCTGGACCGGTTTGTCCAGTATGGGATACACATGTCACAGCTTGCATCGTAACAGTTAGGTCAAATGACTGCAAAGGGAGCTTTCCTTTCTTACCTTTGTAACGCCCTTAATGTTTTTAACTCACAGTTTATAATGTAAGTTTGTGCCGAGTGTATTTCTGTTGCATGGTACAGTCCTACAAGCTGCAGGTTTTATTTAGTGAAACCAGTGAAGCATGCTTCAAAAACACACAGAATCAGTTTGGTGTCTGAAATCAAGTTTGCCATTGCTGTCTGAAAACCAGTGAAAATTTCAACATCCAGTTCTTTCTTTCGGATGTTGCTTTCTCAAGTTGCATGTTGGTTCTGGTGGTCTTTTTATGATTCAATCCTAAGTGTACTGTGACCAGTGTCGAAGTGTGAAGAAGAGAGATCAGATTCAGGTGTGGCTGTATGAGCCGGCAAATACGTGGCTATGCTCCATATCATTGTCTCTGATGCGTGTATGAACCTTGTATTAGATGATGTAGAACCACAACCTGGTTCTCGTGCTAAATGGAGGCAATATAAGTTTTTTGTAAACTATCTCCAACAGCTGCTCTATGAAGTGAGACACTGGTAGAAAAGCAATACACTTTTTGTTTCCTGATTCTTTGGGTATACATTATCCTAAAGCATTTCATCTTGTGCTTTTGATTATCCTAATGTGATTCCAGGAAGCCAATAATTGGGTGGGATTTTTATTTTTAAATTGTATAGTTTCTTTCTAAAAATAATAAATAAATAAATAGATAATATTAAAGAATTATCCCAGCTCATCCGATATTCAAATGGATGATTCTGTCACATGCATAGACCTAAACCTAATGAAACTTCAAGAGAAAGAATTTGCACTGTAGTTTTTTACAATTTGGAACTTGTAAAAATATGCGTAGAAATTGAAAGTATTGTGTATCTGGATTGTCAAGTATGTATCTACAGGGAACTTTCCAGTAAAAAAAAATATATACATATATGCATATATATATATATGGAGACTAGTAAGTATGTGGTATTGTAATAGCAACAGTTTGGATTAGTGATATTTTAATAAAAGAAACTAGAAAATCAAATTCATTCAATAGCTTTGTAGTAGCCATGCTTTTAGTAACACTGGTTTAAAATAATGGTGACTTATTCTGTGGTGATACCTGCAGACACAGGCAGCACTGATCTCTTACATTTAAACAGTTACTGCATAGTGGTCCCAGCACTACTGATTGATTTAAAGACAGACAGTATCACAGTCGGTCTCTTACTATCACAGTTGGAAAAAATGATTTAATGTCAATGACTTCATTCATAAAAATGTTACTAAAGACATGCGAAAAAACACTCTAATTGTCAATTTTTTAAATTATACATAGAAGCCAAAATGATCACAGTGATATCCAGTGACTTAATTTATTGGGTACTTTGTCTAAAGGTTAAGCATAGTAAAGCAGCAACAGGGTTGAAGAAAGAACGTGACAGTCATAAACGATACATGGATTTCTAATTTGGGGTATGTTAAGTTTTGGTAGACCGTTATTGAAAATTCCATGTAGGAAAATAATGACTTGCCACTTGACTCTATTGTGAAATTTTGAATGTTTTGACCTTAAATAAATTTTGTTGTTGAGTATCAATAATGTGCTTGGCAGAGTCAGTAGAAATGGAGATAAGGCAGACTTGATACACATCTGGAGTTGTCTGTTGGAATGTTTTGGTTTTCAATGCTTTACGTCTGCTTGCTTCAAGCTGGGTAATCTTGGTGTCTTCATAGTAAGTGGTTAGGAACCGTCCTACCAGCTCATCATTGACTTTAATTTTGACAGAGTGTTTCTGAAAGCCCTCCGCATAAGTCTACTGATGAGTCTGAAGCTGCAAACCAAAGAAGTATAAATAAGCAAGTAGATGGTAAGAACTAAGTTTTATTTATAAGTTTATTTGACAAAACGCTTATTTAAAATAAAAACACAGCTGCATTCTGACTGCCAAGATAAGTCACCTATTAAATGCATGGTGAGATAAAAGAGAAGCGAAATGAGGATAAATTGTGTGTCTTGCCACATGTCAGCAATGGATTAAATTGTGAATGCTGCTAAAAGAGCTAATAGTCCCATTTCAAGGCATTTTATGATCTGAGGAATGTCAAGAAATAAAGTCAAGGAAAGGAGGAAGCAATGAATGAGAAAGGCAGAGTGTACAGGAGTGAGGGAAAAGAAGTAGTGATGAGGGAAAATACTGCTTTTGTGGTCAGCCATCTATGTGTGCAATTTGACGTCATTTGAAATGCTATTACTTCATAGAATAACATCCTTAATGCCAAAATTAGAATTGGAAAGAAGAGAGTTGGGTTAATTATGGAGAGGCCAAGAAAGTGTTTTATATCAACTTCAGTTTCAACTTGGGGGATTTAGTAAGGGAGAAACGTGAGGCTGGATTCCAGAAGGATCAGTTGAGGGAATGGAATCTGGAAGTAGACTCAGTACACAGCACATGTTGTCAAATGAATGAGCCACCTTGTTAAGATTCAGCCCATGTGGGGTTCTGCAGCTGTGACGAGGCCTCAACGTGACATCTGTGCTGCTGCTGGTCCTCACACCCTGCCCTGAGTCGCATGGATAGAGAAATCTGGAGGAGGAGCCACTGGATGATGGTTCAAGACCTACCAGGATAGAGGGAAAGATTTATTTTGCTTTCATTTCTGAGCGTGTTTGTGGCTGGAAAGAAGGAACAAAGTGCTGAACAGACAGAAATGTTAGATGCAAGGTATAAATGCTGGGTAAAAAGAAAAGAAGTGATGGGGATAGTTTAAAGAAAGATGGTAGAGAGATGTACAGAACCCAAGTCAGGAGATTCCCTTGGAAAGTGAAGTAGGGGAGGGGAAGAGAAGGGAGGAAAGAAAGAAATTAGCTCAGTGACTTTGTTGTTGATGAGAAGGGAATTAAGAGAACTCTTCTTCAAATGACTTCAGAACATGCACACCCAACCAGAAGCCTGGAGATTCCTGGCAGCAGAACGTAGTGCCAGAATCAGAATAAAGTACAGCCACTCAGTTCTCTCTCCTTAACTGTTAAGCATTAATAATATATGTGGCTTTGATGTTAGTTATTACAGTGGAATTAATTTGAAGATTGAAGCATTAACTAATTTTTTAATGACAACTGATATTTTTTATCAGAGAGATGTTTCGTAAAATCCTTGTAAGGACTGACACGGTATATCTAACCAAATTGCTTTTGGAAACATAAGACATCATAGAGTTCATTCCTTTAATGTGGATATTGTACAAATGTTGGAGTATAAAAGGATGTTGATAATTCTGTGACAATTCGACTTATGTTTTCCTTTTTGATAGCTACATTTCAATACTGAAGTCTTAATATGCCTTATTTCGTAGATGTGTTTTATATACCTTCTTGCATCAGTGGATCAAGAAATACTAAGACGGCTAAACTAGAAAATACAAGAAGTATAGGCATACCAGTAGCCCGCGTGGGTATGGAAAAAAGATGCAAGTTCTTATGAACCTTTATTCTACAAGTGTATATCCAGTCTGATCAATTAAGAAAACCTTCTCTGGCTTAACTGTCATTGCAACTGTACACTTCCCAAATTATCAGACATGTTAAAGAATACGATAAATACTTGTAGTATAAAGGTAGAAGTGATTTTCCGTGTTGTATTCAAAGTGAGCTCTTGCATTCTACCATCAGCTTTGGCATCATCCATTCTTAAAGTCATGTTTGCTTCTCTAATTAAAGAATGCTTTCCTCCTCATCACTCAGCATATTCATAGTGGTAAATGCGCACTTTTCTTTTTTTGATTACTGTCATTTCAAACATAATCTCATTTTTGAAATCTTAACTGCATGTTAGGTATTAAACCTACCTGGCTCTTTTCTTCAGATTCTTTCCTAACCAAAAAGCAAATCTCCAAACTAAAAGTGATCATTTCTGAAGCCAGGCTTGAGGATTCAGCTCAGTGCTAACTGCATCAGTTTGTGGCTGCCTCTGCCTCTACCATTTTTACATCTAATCGATTATGTGTCTATTTGCTTTTTAGAGTCTCCTGAGAGATACCCTCATCTGAAGGTAATTAAGTTTTGTATTTTTGTCTTGAATTATTAACTACATACTGCATGAGGTACACATTAGTAATCATTTTGTTTTAAAACCCGTTTAGCCTGCTGTTGAAATGGAAGATTCCATTCCAAGTAAAGCAGCAGGAATAATGGATATACTAACCTCCAGAGCAGGTAAATTGTACAATAGAAATTTTAGTCTGGGAAGAAGTCCACAGAAATATTTACAATGTTCCAAGTCTTTATATTCCTAGTGCTTTATTTTCTTTTCAGTTTTTATGTAATTAATGCAGATTGAAGGTGTGTATATTTGAGAGAAAAAAAGGTATTTATAAGCATAAGAAAAGGGGATTTTAAAAATGTAAGCTTAACTTAGGTGGAAACTGAATCTCATTCTCTGTTCCTCTGTCTTTTGAGTACATTGAAATTACATCAACTAAAAAAAAAAAAAAATAGAGCAAAGATCCATGAACCATTAGAGCTAATGGATTATGACAGGTCATATCTGTGAAACACTCCACTACATACTTAGAAGAGACTCAGAGTGACAGTGGCAGATACCATTTCATATACTTTATCCTGCTGTCCTCTGGACAGACCTTGAACTCCACGCTTCTCAGATCCTAATCTAGAACCACCACTTCAAACCCTGTGAAAGGAGAGCCATCATTGCATCGCAAGAAGTTAGCTGCTGCCTGCTACCTGCAGCGTCAGCATCCCGGCTAATGAGCAGGGAAAACAGCAGATGACCCAAGTGCTTAGGTTCCTGCCGCCATCTTGGGAGATTTGGAAGAAGCTCCTGGCTCATGGTTTTGATGTTCCCATCTCAAGAGTGAACCAGCAAACAAAAGATCTTTCTCTTTTTTTTTCTCTTTCCCTTTCCTTATTACTCTTACTCTTTCACTGTCTTTCAAATCATTCAGTCAAATTTTTAAGAAAAACCTGTGTAGGGTTCTTAGTTATCAAATAATCAAAGGATCTTTGATGATGATGATGATGATGACAATGGCGACAATGATGATAATGGTGCTGAAATGATCTTTAAAGCATAACTTCTGGGCTTCTGACTTTTTCCTTCAGTTTTCCTTTATAAAAGGAAAAGGCAAGTAGTTGTGTTATGTATTCATTTCCTGTCTAATTTCATTATGAGCCACTTGGTTCTAGCCTGGATCTAGACTTATCCTACCTTCTTGTGAAAACAGTTAACATTACTTTAAGGCTATTGTTTTCATACAGATTTAGGATATTCATCCAAGGCTGAAAAAGTTATCTGTGAAGATTCTGGTGTATTATAAAAATACCATCTCATTGAAATTAAAACTTTTTATATTTATTTATAGAGTTGTTTGAAAACCCATGTCATATATATTTAAATTTAAAGTGGTTGGATACATTTTTTGTTTGTTTTAAAATTTTTTTTAATTTTATTATTTTATGATACAGTTCCATAGGCTCTGGGATTTCCCTTCCCCCTTCTCATACCCCTCCTCTTCAACTGATTTCTCCTATTATATATATATATATATATATATATATATATGTTTTGATGATATTTACATAGTTGATCAGGGTGGGAAGGATCTAGGGTTAGAGAAAAGTGGGTGTGACCATTGTTTCCAAACTTTCTATATCTTCTTCCCATTTGGCAGGGAGAGATAAGGGCATGGGCCATACCCAACCTCCCCATCATCCCAGTATCCAAGAATGGGGAAAGGCCACCTAATATCAACCCAGAGTCACAATGGTGCATGTTCCAAAGATTCTGCCCAGGAGGATGCGATAGTTCTGAAATGCTATAGATTTCGGTGATCTATGGGTGACGAATCCCTTCCTATGTCCATTGACTGACACAATCAACCTTTTAATCTCCAGTCACCCAGATATTTGCTGTCATTGTTTGGCTGGGGTAGTTGTCCATATGTTCTGTTCTCCATTCACTGCTACGGTACCAGATGTCCTCTGCCAGCCCTGGTGAGCTACCATGTCTTCCATGTGCACCATGGTCTCTTGTCCAGTACTTCATCCTCTGCGCTGAGGAAGACCAGGTCTCCTAAGTGGACTCTGAGTCAGGCGATCTGAGCTGTGCTGGACCTCACCCCCCCGACCCTTGGGGCACACAGATCCAGCAACCACCTTGCAGGCAGTCCCACAGCCCTGGGACTTGTGACCCAGAACCTGCCAGAACTCCCACCCCCGAAACTCATGGGTCCAGCCTCCACCACATCAGCGGGCTTGGTGACCTGACACCCCTATCTCTAGGGCTCACGGATACACCTACCATGCAGGTGGGCCCAGTGGGACCTGGGTGTCCTGGCCCAGGTCCTTGGGCCCACCCTCCCAGGGCTCACAGAGCCGACACCCACTTCATAATGGGTCCTAGGACCTGGACCTGAAGACCCAGGGCCAAACCAGACCCCCACCCTAGAGGTAACGGGCCCAGCATCTACTATGAAGGTAGGCTCCAGTCCCCGGGCCATGCAACCCAGGACCCACTGGATCCTCCTGCCCCAGGGCTCATGGACCCAGCCCCCACCACACAGGCAGTCTCGGTGACCTCGACCAGGAGACCCAGGCCCCTTCTTGCCCCCATCCCTTGAGTTCATGGATTCGGTACCCACCTCACTGGCAGACCCAAAGGTCCCTCTGTCCCTGGGGCTCACAGACCCGACACCCACTTCCCCCAGACTAACATGACTCATCTTCCCTCAGCATCCATCAGTGGGTTCTTCAGAAGACCCCAATTCCAGCTCAAGTTTAATGTGGTTGGTGATGTGACCCAACTCAGTCCCTCCCACACCCCATCCTGGTTCTTGGATCTGTCAGTGGATGTTAAGAACTGTCTCAAACTGGCCTACCCCCTGACCTGACCCACATGTATGCCGACGGGTACTGTAACCTGGTCTGGTTCTTGGGCTTACCTGCAGGGACTGCAACCTGTCAAAGGAATTCACCAAGTTCCTCTATCTAGTCTCTTCCCAGTGGCAGATCTTGCACATTGTTGGGTCTCTGGCCCAATTTGACTTTGTGAACCTGTTGTCCTGGCAGGAAGACATCCTTGTCCAATCAGGCCATACCCTTTCCAGTTCTTACTGTTGGGTGTTGCAGCCCATGCATGTTTGATCAGTGCCCAGACACAGCTCTCACATGGTTCAACAAGAGCCAAGACCTAGTCCAGCCCATTCTATACCCTACCCTGACTCTCAAGTACCAATTGGTGCTGGAGTCTAGCCCAGCCTGATTCTCACCAGACCCAGGCCACACCCATGCCAAAGGAGATTGTAGCCATGTACTGCCCAGGACAATGTACTGATTGGCTCTCACATTCACCAGTGGGAATTCCAGCCCAGCCAGGGCAACCCTTTAGCTCCCCAACCAGGCCTATTCCCAGCCACAGTTCTTGCACATGCTAACGGAGATTGCCATTCCACATGGGTGAGCCCACATATGTCCCTGCAAATTCTACCCCCAGACCTGATTCATTCACGTATTTGTCGACTTCATGGCCCAGCCTCACAATACGTGTTCCCTTTTCTAATGTTGTCTGGTGGGTTCCATGATGTAGCCCTTCAAGTAGAGTAGCCTTGTCCATGGAAGTTCCAGAGAAATCATTCCTCATCTGCACATGAACCCTGCAGTTCCTGCTCATCCCCACCTGTTTCCAAACTCCCTGTAAACCCACACCCACAATTTCCCAGGGTGCATCACTGGGTGGCCTGCGGGCTTGGCCCAGTGTGAATTCCCCCAACCAAAGCCACATGGCTGGGAGATTCAGACACCTATGCCTCTGACCAGACTTACCTGGACTCCTGGATATGTTCTATAAACTAAAAAATATGCTTAAGGAAAATGTATTAACAAAAGAACTCTTACTAAAAAACAAAGTGTGCAATAGAGATTTCTCAGTGACTCAAGCACTAAAAAACATGGCAAAGATGACAGTTAAGTAGTTCAGCTTATCTAAGTGAATGTCAGTATAGAACGTATAAGGTATAATCAATCACTGAGCAGCAATGCGTCAAGAAAGGGATATAGAGCTGGTTCTCTGAAGAAAGAACTGGTACAAGTCAGATTTGTATGTTCTTTACAGTATAGTCATCTAAAACCTTGTTTTCGGAGTTTGTGTGATCCCGGTTTGATGCCAAGTTGTGTGACTTGTCAAAGCTCAGGGACTCTGAAGTTGGTGATAAGTGTTCCTTTGTATCACAGTCGATAGCCAAGATCAGTCAGCATGCAGACAATTGAGACAGATGACCTCAGCATTGGAAGTTGGGTTTCTTTTTACTTTCCATGGGTGCTTTTGAATTGTGGCTACCAGAAGGCAGAGGGCAAGAAAAATAGCGAAATGGATGGCCCATTCCATCCTGACATCTCTCTGCATGACTCTGTAATTCCGATAACCCATGACTTTTCATAATCACTTCATGGCAAAATTTATTCCATCTTTGCATCCCTAATGCAGACTTCAATCTTCCTAATACATTTAGTGAGCCGTTTGTATTCTTTATCAAAAGTAACATACAAATAACAAAGAGAATTAGGGAAAATGGGAAATTTTTAGGTTAGTATTCACATAAACTTGACAATGGGTACAAGGAGTATATTTGATCTTTAACTAGATGGGAAAACTAGGTAGAAATCTTAACAGCTACCTACTCAAACCCAGTGTGTTTACTTTGTTTCATTTTTGCAACCCTGGATGCACGAATGTTAAAACTACATGCAGTGTAATGTCTGAAAGAGCCTTTCAAGACCAAATACTGATTGATTTCTGAGAGTTTCTGTTACTTTATATATGATAGAATTGACTTACCTGGTATTAATGGGAACATGTGAGATTCTGCTATCTAGTGTCTCCTCAGCTGGATCCACTTGCTCTGCCATTTTGGTTTTTTATTTCACCAGAAATACTGGTTTTAAGGCATGCCTTGTGTGTATGTGTATATATATGAACATGTATGTATATTTTTAATCCTACTGGACACTGACTATCTCTGGAAGAATGGTATCTGATTTGTTGCTTTATATACTAATAATGTAGTCTCATGACCAGCTGATAGTAAGAGTTCATATAATGTTCTTCAACCCTGTGGTTTCCTTTTTTTCTTTTACTTGTGGAATTAAAATTATGTTTCATAGAAGTTATCCATTAGCTCTGAGTGACTGTAAGTTGTAAAGCCAAAGCCACTGACCTATCCCAGGGACCTGTGTGCTCGCTCTTTCTTTATGAGCTTAGAAGATCCTAAAAGCAGGAGTTTTAAACCAGAACACCTAAATGAGTACCCTAAGTCAGGAAAATAGGAAAAAGGAAAAGTGCACAAAGTAAACTCCAGAGTCGGCTACAGTTCTTGTAGATCATTGTGTTCCTGTTGTGAAGTCCAGCCGTGAATGGTGTGGGGAGTACGCACGGCTGTTTTCTCTGGGGACCCAGGTTTTTGGATTGCTGATCCCAAATGTTCCTGACAGCATTCGCTCCATTTAGAGCTGTGCCATCTTGATCTAACACTTCTACCTTATATTTCCACTCCTTTCATTTACTCCCCTGCCCCCCTCCTGTCATACTCCCCACGCCATTTAAAGTGAAAAAGTACTGCCTACGACATTGGGAATCGGTCTCGTGCTTATGTCTCCAGCTTTGGCGCTGCTCCCTGTCTGCCCCTGTCTCTGGTACTGCCATTCTGCTTGACAGTGCCCTTCCTTACCAATCCTTGTTTTGGGTTAAATACACCCCCATTTCTTACTTCTCCCGTTCTCTTGCTGCTGCCTTTCATGCTCACTTTTTCCTGCCCTGCACTCATTTTAATATGGTTATGAGATTTTTTTTAAAAAGATATATGTTTTAACTTTATTTGGAAAAGTGAGGAGGAGACAGAATCTTTTATCTGCTGTTTCACTCCCCAGATAGCACAGTGGCTGGCACTGGGATTGGGCCAGGCTGAAGCCAACAGCCTGGAGTTTCCTCCAGGCCTCCCATGTGAGTGCAGGTCACAGGCATTTGGGCCATCCTCCGCTGCTTTCCCAGGTGCATTAGCAGGGAGCTGGATCAGAAGTGGAGCAGCACCCATGTGGATGCTGGCATTGCGGGTGGAAGCTTATAGTGCTGTGCCACAATACCGGGCCCTAATCTCCATCTGTAAGTCTCAGCTTAGACATTATCTGTAGGAAAGCCAGCCCTGCCAATTTCATCTATATTCTTTAAGCCCCAGTGTCTAACACTTAGTTTAAACCCAAAAAAGAATTACTGGGTAAAATGCTCTTCCTATGAAGATGGATTAAGGGGTTGTCTTCTAGCAAAAAGGGAAGACATAGAAATAATTTATCATTCAAATGGTAAAGATACAGTAGAAAAACTGATTCCTAAAATATCTTAAAGAAAGAAGCATATGTTTCTCGGGGAAAAAAAAACAAACATAATCCAGGATCATTTGACAAAGCAAGCTGAATCTTGAAGAGAGATTTGTCCAATAAGAGGGGAAAACTTTTCAAATAAAAGGAAGAATATTGATCACTATATAAGTCGCAAGAATATTGATCAGTATATAAGTCATTTTGGAAACACTAACTGAAAAACATGCTTGGCAAGTGATTAGAAACATACTGTTATGGGGGCAGAGATTAGTGGACCTTGCAGCTTTGTTTCCACTGTGTTTCAAAATTTTGCTTTTGACTGTTATTTCCCTCTATGTTAGATAATGGTATGTCTTGAACCTGGCTATATCTAATAGCTCCCCAAGTAGTTTGCTCTATTTTTGGATAACTGGAAGTATTTCTTAAAGATATCAATATTCAGGCAAAGATTGTTACATATGTATATCTTTTAAAATTTTAAGTTTTTAATTAATTCCATAAAAATGCTTATTTCCCTGGTTTTGTAAAGATTATAGCTGTTGTCTGAATTTTAAGTAGTTTATGTTAACTAAATATATACTTTCATAGCAGAAGTAGATTCAGAAAAACAAATTTAAAAACACCAAAATGTCATTAATATCTGGATATTAGACCCTCAACACGGGCCCCGGCCCAGTGATCCTGCACTTATCTGCTCCAAGGCAGTGAAGCGTGTGACCTGAATAAAACACTAACAACACAATGTTTCTGCTGTTACAGACACAGTCAAGGAAGCAAAACCAGTACGAGAAATATGCCAGAAGCCGAAGCTACCGGAGCCGTCAGGTGGGGATTGCAATGCTAATAACTCTAGAAGTGTGGAATCCGAGCTAGATCCTGTGAGTTCTTGCCCAGCGCAGAGTGACTTAGATGTGACATCTGAGGAAGAGCAAGAAGGACTTGAAGGAAGTAAAAATAACGAGTCACGGGTATGTAGAACTTTACATTGAACTTAAGTGTCTGATTTATTTTCATTTATTTTTATTTGAAAGAGTTACAGAGAGGAAGAGAGACAGAGGAAAAGAATCTTCCATCTGCCGTTTCACTTCCCAAATGGCCATAATAGCCAGGGCTGAGCCAGGCTGAAGCCAGGAGCTTCATCTGAGTCTCCCACGTGGGTGTAGAGGGCCACATATTTGGGTCCTCCATCCTCTGCTTTCCCAGGTGCATTAGCAAGGAGTTGGATTAGAAGCAGAGTACCAAGAACTTGAACTGGCACCCAAATGGGACACTAGAATCACAGAGATATGCCACAACACCAATCCCCCAAGATTTTTTAATTTAATATTGTTTTGTCTGGGATAAAAACATAGCCTTGTCTAAATGAAGAAATTGCTTTTCAGTCAAATCTGTTAAATACAGGTCACAAATTAATGTTTTATCTACAAATCCTCTTTAAAAATTATTTATTTTAGAGCTAGAGAGACGGAGAACCTTTTCTCATCTGTTAGTTCATTCCCCAGATTTTCACAGAAGCTAGGACTGGACCAAGTCAGCACCAGGGGCTTTGATCACCCACCTCATGTTTTTGGTGTTTCCACAATGTCTTACTTGTTTGATTATGCCCATAAAGTCAGCATAGGAGCCAAACCCAAGTGATGGTTAGCAGGTTAAAGGGTCATGTCTTAGTGAGAAGTGGACTACCTGGGGCAGTGTGCGTTAGGTCTTAGAGGGCCAGTGCAGGTGGGTGCGTTCACTTCAGCCACAGTAAGTTCTCCTTCAAGTTTTGTTCTCATAGCTACAGGAGCCTGGCCTCAGCTTCAGAGGGTCACGGAGCTGCAGGCAGGGTGCCAGGAGGTTGGGCCACCTGCAGCCTCATGAGAGGAAGGGCGTTCCCGTTCCTGTCTGGGACAGACCTCTTTTACACATACTATTCTCAGATTACAGAATCAAGTCTGTTTAATTCCTTTTACTGTAGCCTTATCTGTATTCATAGGTGCAGACCTAGCATTCTAAGACCAAGGTTCTGTTTCTTTATATTGTCATTATGCAGTTTAAAAACTTCTTGCTTAAAAACAAGTTGCAAAAGCAAAACAGGGTGACTCACGTCAAAGAAGAAAAATGGAGTAGGTTTGTCCAGCTTTAGATGTGCTCTGTATAAGTCAGAACCTCAAGCCATGTGGGTGGCATCGACCCATCTGCTTGAGCTGTCATTGTCACTACGACCTCCCAGTATGTGCATCAGTAGGAAGCTGGGATAATGAGCAACACCAGGACTTGAACTCAGGTCCTCCAAATTGAGTGCAGATATCCTTAGAGGTATAGCTTCACTACACCCAACGCCTACCCCTAAAAAATACTTCACTTAGTTGTGAAACTCTAAATATTTTTTAGTCTGTAATAAGTTGTAACTGATCACTATGCTTAGAACGGAAGCCAAAAAAAATATTAAATTTTCATGAAAATAATGTGCAATATAGCAGGTGATGGCCATTGAGGTCAATTCATGTTAAAGGGGCAGTCATTCTCATGGTTCAAAATTTGTAGTTTCTGGGCCTGGCATGTTAGCCGAGTGGCTAAATCCTCGCCTTGCGTGCACCGGGATCTCATATGAGCACCTGTTCGTATCCCGACTGCTCTACTTCCCATCCAGCTTCCTTCTTGTGGCCTGGGAAAACAGTAGAGGATGCTTTCCCAAAGTCTTGAGACTGCATCCACATAGGAGACACCTGGAAGAAGTTCCTGGCTTCAGATCACGTCAGCTCTTGGAGAGTGAACCAGTAGATGGAAGATCTTTATCTCTTCATCTCTCTGTAGATCTGCCTTTCTAATTAAAAAAAAAAAAATTATACTTGCTTTGCTGATTACTAGTGCCAAGATTCTGAATTATTCTGTCTATAATTGGTCTGTCATTGATTCAATGTCCATATTCAAAGAGAGAATGGGGTCATAAAATCAACACCCTAGAATATTAACAGAACCACACCTTCCAGAATGGGACTCTTATTGTTAGGGTACAAATACATTTCTAATATATTTTAAAGGAGAAATTTATAAATACGTAAGCATCATAGTCTGCTCTCATTAATGGCCATTACCTTATATTAGAACTAGATTTAGGCAGATAGTTTAAATAGATGCATAAAACTATAGTATATAATGTGAATTAAACTTTAGAAATTGCTTTCCTCTGGAGCTAACTGACTTAGGTCCTAACAATTTAATTTTTATCCACAAAAAAGTTCTGAAATCTGCCTCCAAAGAGGCTCATCACTTAGGGTAGGGCAAAAAGATTTTTTTCTTTTAAGATTATTTATTTTTATTGGAAAGTCAGACTTTACAGAGGAGAGTCAGAGAGAAAGATCTTCTGACCATTGGTTCACTCCGCAAATGGCCACAGTGGCTGAGCTGAGCTGATCCAAAGCCAGGAGCCAGGAACCTCTTGTGGGCCTCCTACATGGGTGTGGGGACCCAAGGCTTTGGGCCGTCCTCGACTGCTTTCCCAGGCCACAAGCAGGGAGCTGGATGGGAAATGGAGCAGCTGGGACACGAACCGGTACCCATATGGGATCCTAGCACATGCTCGGTGAGGGTTTAGCCACTAGGCTGTCATGCCGGGACTGGTAAGATCTTTTTAACTGAAGAAGGCTTGATAATATTTTTAAAATCATCTGCTAATTCAGTTTTTGTCAACTTACCATGTGGTGAATTAAGTTTAGCCCAATCAATGACAAAATTAACTTCACTTGTTCATGTTTTTTCCCTGTTTGAGGCCCACGTGAATTATTTTTCATTTATTACTTAGAACTCAGTGATTTGGGAGAAATCAGATGTCTTTTAGGAAGTTTAAAAGTTGAGTAAAATTGTTTTTTCATTTTTCTTTACCCCTACTTCAGAATAAAGAATACTTAAGAATAAAGTTATTTTAAAAACATGAACCATGACAGGAAAGTACATCTGAAATTCAGACCAACCCAGTTAATCTCCTTTTGCATCCGGCAGTAAAGGTGTCAGAACCAGAAATAAGTAAGAATGTGGCAGAGAGGATACACTCTCTAATTGGGAAAAAAAAAAAATGCACTTGAATATGAAGGGAATGATGTTTTAGGAGTGCCCGACTCTCTGTAAGATTCCAGGTATTTCCTGAGAAAGGAGACTCTAGTCTTAAGAATGTGTCTCCATCTCATTCATGCCCCCAAGTGCACTTGCCGGTGATCTTCCAAACTGGATTGCTGTTTGTTTGTTTGTTTGTTTGTTTTTTCCATCCTTGGAGTGGCCCAAGCTGTATTACAATGAAAGTGAATTGCACCATGAGAATAACAGACCAGATCCTAAACAAATGCGAGTTTTTAGTGTGATACAGAGAATTTAGAGTCAAGGGGGCGGGCATGGAGGCCAGCAGGTCAACCGTGTCCAGTACAAGAGTGACTTGTTTGACTTGCCCTCTCTCAAAGAAATAAAAAAAAATTAAAAGCTTAAGGAGACCAGAGTTAGCTAGAATTGAAGTAAAAGACCAGGAGTTCAGAATGCAAATTCCAAAAATACAAAGGAATGTGTGGATTACACGCTGCGAAGAAATGAAGCATGTGATTCACGTAAAAAGACACTGTGTCTCTGCTGTTAGACTTGTTAAAAAATAAAACTAATGCAGGCAATGTTGACAAGGCCATGAGATGATAATTGCAGCTCTAATTCGTATAAAAGCATAAAAGCAAAAATAGAAAATGTGAGCTATTCTCCACTGGATAATAATGACAAAACATCAAAGAATGATTAAGTGGGCCCGGCACAAAAGCCTAGTGGCTAAATCCTCATCTTGCGTGCACTGGGATCCCATTTAGGCAACAGTTCATGTCCTGCCTGCTCCACTTCCCATCCACATCGCTGCTTGTGACCTGAAAAAGCAGTGGAGGACAGCCCAAGGTCTCGGGCGTGGGAGACCCAGAAGAAGCTCCTGACTCCTGGCTTTGACTCGACTGAGGTCCAGCCGTTGCAGCCACTTGGGGAGTGAATAAAGTGGACCAAAGATTTTTCCCTCCATCTTTTTTTTCTCTTTGTAGATCTGCCTTTCCAATAAAAATAATAAATATCTTTCTTTTAAAAAAGAATACCTAAGTGAAGAATTGCAGTAACATGTGGAAAGGCTTTATAAAGATAAGGCAGGCAAGCTGTAAGAAGATGTCTTCTCTTTGGAGAAAGAAAAAGTTTAGCTTTAGGAAAAGATACAGGTCTACTTGCTGCCTCCTTTCTTTTTATCTCTTTGTCAGTTTTCTGATCTATTCTTAATTTTTCTCCTAATGAAGATGTATTTAGAAACACATTCCTTCTGCTATCTAAAATGCTGGGTCAGGGGTCAGGGCAGGGTGTTGGCTCAGTAGTTAATCCTCAGCCTCGGAGCACCAGCGCTCCATATGGGCTCTGGTTTGTGTCCCAGCTGCTCCACTTCCCATCCAGCTTTCTACTTAGGGTCTGGGAAAGCAGTGGAGGACAGCTCAATGTCCTGGGCCCCTGCACTCACATGGGAGACCCAGAAGATGCTGCTGGTTCTTGGCTTTGGATCGGCGCACCTCCGGTTGTGGCCACCATTTGGGGAGTGAACCAGCGGTCAGAAGACCTTTTCCTGTGTCTCTCCTCTGTAAATCTGAGAGTCAGGTGTCAGGAGTTAGGTATTTGGCTTGGACGTTGAGCTGACCCTTGGGGTGCTTACACCTCAGGTCAGTGCCTGTATTTCACTTTGGGAATCACTCCCGATTCTCACTTTCCTGCTCATGTATTCCCTGCCCAGCCTAGGTAGTGATCAAGCTATCAGATTCCCACCCTCCACACTGGACGTCTAATTAAATTCTCCCAGGTTTGGTCCGGCCATCCCATGGCTGTTGTGGGCATTTGGGGAGCAAACCGAAAGATGAAAAATATTCTTTTCTCTCTCTGCCTCTCAAGTAAGTTTTTAAAAAAAAACCCAGCAAATTAAAATTTAGAAATAAATAAATAATAGTTCAGGAACTTCTCTCATTGTCTTTGTTTTTAAGTCAACTTAAGTTTTTATCTGTCTTCCAAGTGTGCTATGAACTGGGAAAGTAATTCAGCCGTTATTGCGTGCACCTTCTGAAATAGTTTAAATGTAAAGAGCATTGCTAAAATATTAACTTTTCCTATGCACTGAAAGATAAGTTGCATTTATTTTAAAAAATACAATGGAATATAATGGGAAAGAAGGACTGGCTGAGGGGACGTATAAACATGAGTTGTGGCAGGTGTTTATGTGGCTAAGCCACTGCTTCAGAGGCCTGCATCCCGTGCTGGAGAACCAGTTTGAATCCTGGCTCCTCCGCTTGTGATCCAGCTTCTTGTTAATGTGTCTGGGAGACTGCGGGCGATGCCCAGCCTTGCGGAAGACCCTGATGGAATGCCTGTGGGCTCCAGGGTTCGGTGTGCCCCAGCCCCAGCTGTAGGAGGCCTTTGGGCTAGGCACCTGAGGAGGAAACATCTCTCCTTGTAAGCCCTGCATCATTCTGTCAAAATGATAAACAGACCTCTACCTTGGCAATTAAGAAAATGATTGTAAAATGATTGTAAATGATTGTAAGCCAAACTGTTTGTTTTGTTTTCATATATACAAGGTTTTCCATTTCAGTGAAACCATTGGATCATGTGATTCTGATGTAACCACTTTACATATTTTTGACAGCCAGTATCCCGAATCACTTGTTTCTTTTGGATCAGTTACATTATGTTTAACAAAGTATAAAAAGTTTTGGAAAGGATGATTTTATCACACAAATCACGTAAAACCTTTACTAAAAACTTAACAATTTAACTCCAAAGCAGAAAGTTGAGTTCCAAGTACTAAGTTTTAAAGTATGAAGAGCTAAAGATAGTCTCTTTAACAGTGAAAGTCTATGAGCCCTTCCTCCCCTCACTAAGGCATTGAATCACTTTGCCAAAGTACGGTTCTGATTTGTTTTGTTGACTTTATCCGGTGATTTATCTAACTCAGAGGTATGGCACTGCATCAACTCTGTTGATACCATGATGTGCTAGATGTAAAACTGCTTTGAGAGCTCCAAACAAATTCCTGTTTCTTGTTTTGTTTTTTTCTCATTATCAGTGGATGACGAGACTGAATAGACAATTACTTAAATGTCCTCGGCTGTAAAATTTTACTATTGATAAACGTAAAATTTGGAAAGCGCCTTATATTCCAGAATCTTACCTCAGTAGTAGTTACTCTACTCCTTATCACATGGGAAACATATATTTCAGCAACAGTCATGATGGTTAACTAAACTAGTAAAATAAATGGAAGCAAAAGATTGTGGGTTTTTTTTTTTCTGTTTTTGGATAAAGTAGTAACAACTATAATGTGAAATTTTCCTTAAAGTTTCATGAAGAAAACAAGAACCAAAGTAACCCAATGGAAGTGTTGGGAAACCCGTGTGCTGCTGCTGCTTTTGATGACCGTGCTGAGGGATCAACTCAACAAAGAGAGGGCAGAAAGACCAGTGCCCAGCGCGTTGTGACTAAGGAGAACGAGGAATGTGACAGGTAAGCCGGTAGCAGTACTGAACAGTAGCGGGCAGTTGTGCTAGAAACCCTTTCCTGCTTTGAGCTAATATTCATCATGATTAACAGCCTTTATCCTTTCACTCAGGATCTCCTGCCTTTCCTAGTAATCAGCAAAATACAGATTCACAAAGAGATATGCTTTCCCCAATCATATTGAAAATATTCAGGTTGGCACATGTGAAGGAAAAGATATTCTCATAAATGGTTAGTAAATGAAATTCCTACATCCTTTTTAAGTGTGATTTTGTAGCATGTATCAATATTTAAAATACATAATCTTTTTTACTTTATGACACCTTCGCTTGTGGAAGTTGGTCCTGTAGAACTCTGTCCCATAGAGACACACACGCCCAAGTTAAAGTTATGTATTCTATTCATAGAATATTAAATAGAATAGTAATACATAAAGGGTATATGACATATACATTAAAGATATAAAACATGTTAATCCTGTTGAACTCAGTCCTATAGAAGAATACATGTGCCTATATTAAAATATTTATTATGTGTTCTATTCATGTAACTTTAAATAGAATAATGTAACTTTTAATAGAATAAATATAAAATATATACATTAAGGTTACATTATGAATATATAAACATGCTGCACACATGTGCATGTGAAACATTTGTTATAGCATTGTCATATCGTGGAGTTGGAGATTACCCATCATTTGGGAAGTAGTTGAAGTGTCAGGTCTCTAAAAGAACATAGTAGGCATTTCTTAAAATGAGGTTAGAGCTATAGTATGCTGATTTTTTTTACCGTAAAAGTGTATGGAATGCGTTTTGTCTGATGCCATATCGTAGCCTAATCCGGTTAGATTGCACGTAGCCTCTGCTGAGTTGCAGAAGTCCACACTCCCGGTCATGCCTTGTGAGAGAACAGCAGAACGCAGCATCCCTGTGCAGGCCCCATCACCCGCCCACTGCAAATGGATCTTCCCTTCAGACCGCGGTCAGGCTGTTGTGCCTCTGCTCCACATGTTGCAGTGTCCTGTCACTGCACTCGGAGCACACAAGGCCTTCTTCCTGCAAGGCAAGGATGCGTGTTCCACCCCATCATGCTTGCCGGAAGCTGCTGGTTTTCCGTCCCTTTCCTTGGCTGCAGGAACACTGTGTTTCCCCTCGATCTTTAAGCGCTCCTGGAATCCTTGGTGGTTGCATCCTTTCCCTTCGTGTCCTCCTGCCTTCTGCTTCTTCAACACCTCAGTTCCTCAGCAAGGCCGTTCTGGGCCACCATCCCTCCTACAAAATATAAAAACTTCCATTTGCTTGCTTTCATTTATCTTTTCTGACCTATTTCTCTATCTGTTGATTGTTATTGCATGTCGAATTTTCATCTGTTCGCTGCCATATCTTCCATGCCTAGGGCCTAGCATCCAATAAGTAGCTACTCAACAAATGTTTATAAATGAATGAATGGATTTGCCCCAGCTGTATTGTGACATTGAACCATAAAAGACAGTTTGATGTGGACCATTCTATCAGTTTTACGTAGCGATTATTAGCATTTGCATTCTTTCAATTCTTTCTAGTCTATATTATGTTCTCCGCTTGAGGACAAAGAGTACAAAATGGTATTTATTCACTATTATGTTGCTGATGTTTATGATAATTTTAATTATGGGGAAATGAATCAAAGCAGTTACAGATTTCACAAATTTTTTTTAGTAAGAAAAATAGATACTTCCTTTATAAGATGCTTAATATGCTACCTATCCCACAAATTGTTACACATGTTAAAATAAGGTTAACATATGGACAGTGTCTGAAATCACACTTAGTAATTTTATAGTAAGTCCTGAAAATTAATCTAGTGTCATTGTTAAAAAGATTTTCCCTCTTAAAACTTAACAGTACTATCCTAATGGGTTTTAGTGCCCATAAAGGAAGTTGGTTTTTGTCTAATTTTTTTAATGTCGTGCATAGACTTAAATCCTTTATACCAAAATAAATTTTGCTGCCACTTTCACTAGCCTTTTCAAGCCCCTTCCAACATTTCCTTGTTTATAGTTAGTACTACTTAACTGTTTTTTTTTAAATAAGTGACTTCAGTTGGGGAAGAGCTGGAATCTAACAAATATTAGATTTTTTTTCTTTTTACTGACCATAGAGTTAAGCATTGAGTTATTCTAATGGATTTTTTTTAAAAGATACAGTCCAGCTTTGCATATGAAGGAAGTAGAGAAAAATGAAAATGAAAATGAACACCGGATCTGCACGGAGTCTCGGATTTCACCAGGACTGGCCAAGAACAGCTCGCCAGCTGGCGGCCCACCGGAAATCAGTGATGACTACAGCTGGAGTGATGAGGATCCAGAGGAAGCAAGGTGAAATCTGGGACTAGAACAGCGCCACCTGTAGGCCTAATGGGAGAATACCACTGTGTCAGTGCTGCTGATGGTTCTGACTGTAGGGAGTAAGTGTAGATAGAGCCCTTGGCGGATTTTTACCAAAGGATAATGGAGAAATGATTTTAGCTGAGGAAGAAAGTGGGACTTAAGGATGTTTCTTTTCTCTTTGAAAGGCAGGGTTACAGCCATAGTACCAGTCCCATATTTTCTTTTAAAGCAGAAACTTAAAAAAAAAAATTTTTTTAAAGATTTTTAAATTTTACTTCTGAATCAGAGTTACAGAGAGAGGGAGAAAGAGAAAGAGAGATCTTCCACCCACTGGTTCTTTTCCCAAATGGCTGCAAGGCCAAAGCTGAGCTGATCCAGAACTGGGAAACCGGAGCTGCTTCTGGGTCTCCCACGGGGGTCAGCGTTCCAAGCACTAAGACCATCTACTCTCCCAGGCCATCAGCAAGAAACTGGATCACAAGTAGGGCAGCCAGAACTGGAACCCCTGAGGGCACCCGTGCGGTACCACAGACACCACAGGTGGAGAATTTGCATGCAACACCAGTGCGCCAGCCCCTTAAAACAGAAAACTTTTATTTATTTATTTATCTTAAAGATTTATTTGATTTTTATCACTAAGTCAGATATACAGAGAAGAGGAGAGACAGAGAGGAAGATCTCCTGTCTGATGATTCACTCCCAAGTGACCACAACGACCGGTAGAGTGCTGATCCGAAGCCAGGATTCAGGAACTTCTACCAGGTCTCCCATGCGGGTGCAGGGTCCCAAGGCTTTGGGCCGTCCTTGACTGCTTTCCCAGGCCACAAGCAGGGAGCTGGATGGGAAGTGGAGCTGTCAGGATTAGAACCAGCGCCCATATGGGATCCCAGCGCGTTCAAGGCGGAGACTTTAGCCACTAGGCCATCGCTCTGGGCCCAAAACAAACTTACATTATGTTTGTATACCTCCTGAAATGAGCTAGTAGAGAAGGACGTACCAATTTAATGCTGCCTACATATCTCATTACGAGAATGCTTAATATCTTAAGGATATGTAGTAAATGTTGTGGTAATTCCTATTCATGTGCAGTGTTTGATAAGAAGTGGTTCATTCATTATTGACTGAGAAGTAGGATAACCCTTAAAATCTTTTTTATTTGCTTTATTTAGAGAGGGTGAGATTTATAAAAATAGAGAGCTTTCATGTGCTGGTTCACTCTTGAACTGCCTGCAGACCATGGTAAGCTGGGACCTCAAGCCCAGGTCTTCCACGTGGGGAGCCCACGTGCTCGAGTCCTCCCTGTCGCCTGCCAGGGCCCCCGGCAGCGGGAAGCTGGTAGCAGGGGCCGTGGACAGGTGTCAGAGTCAGACACTGATGTGAGCCATGGGACTGCGTGGCTAAATGCCTCTCTGTCCCGGAATTGCTATATTCTAACCTAACTGAACATGGAAACAGTGTCCCAGAATTTAAAGTGTCATACATAGATTTTAAAAATGTTGTTTTCTGTCTTTTTCTCTCTCTTTCAAGTAAATAAGTAAATCTTTGTTCAAAAACAATTAAACAAAACATGTTAGGGGAAAAAATTCCTGTGTTTGAGTCATAGGTTTGCACAGAGAAGCTGTGTGGATGTAGGCAGGTACTTGGCATTCCTGTGCCTGGTTGCTTCCTCTTACAGTGCCTGATAAGGTACTACCCCCCCCCCGCCCTAGAGAGTGGTTGTGAGGATTTTAATATGAGTTTGACATATGGGCAGTGCTTAGAATCACACTGGCAGTTGCATTTGTCCTAAAAAAAAACAAGTTCTCAAATGCATCATTTCAAAATGATTTTTCTCTCAGGAGGACTTTAGCACTTTCCAGATGGGTTTTAGTAGCCATAAAGGTGTAGGGGTGTGTGTGTGTGTGTGTGTGTGTGTGTGAGTGAAGTGGGCATTTGGCAAAGTGGTTAGATACTGGTTGGGAAGCCTGCATCCAATATGAAAATTCTTACTCTGCCTCTGATCCCAGCTTCCTGTCAGTGTGCACCCTGGGAGGCAGCGGGCGGCAGCTCAAGTGCTTGGGTCCCTGCCACCCATGTGGGAGGCAGAGCTGCAATTTGGGACTGCCGGCTTGGGCTGGCATAGCCAAGCTATCACACCCATATGGGGAGTGAGACAGTGGATAGATATTGCTCTCTGTACATCTCTGCCTGGCAAAAGAAAATGCAAATTTAAAAACAATTTTTAGCTTTGTTTACTTTTAGCAAATAATACAAGTGTCATTATGCTTTGCTGGGTAGGATTAGTATTCTTTCTTAGTCCCTTATGTTTATATTTTAGCTCACCCATTTGAAAATTATTGTCATTTGAATTATCTAGAAGTTTTATGAATAAGAGAATAAATTATAAATGCAGAAAGTTTATGTAAAAAGACATTAGATATCCTTTGTGTTTTATGTATTTAATATTTGCCTGAAGGGAATTATTTCTTTTCTTAGGCCTGCAAAGAAAGCAGCTAATGAAAAGAACAAGGTATTGTAACAACAACAAAAAAAAAGCATTAAAAATTCGTTGAAAAAATACACTGTAAAGGAAAAATAATCATCTACCACAAAAATAGACATTAAAAAATGTAAGAGGTAAAGTGGAAAAATGGAGAACATTTTGTTTGGTAAAAAAAAAAAAATTACTTTGGAAAAAATGGTTAAGAGACAGTAGCCATTTGGCAACAGTACCTTAATAAGAAGCCAGTTGTTAAAACAAATACTTGTGGTTTTCCTCATGTGAAAAATGGTTAATTACCACTTTGGGGCATTTAAGAATATAATATAAATATCCTAAAAACCATTTGAAATCGTGTTACTTATTTTATAGGTCAAAACCCAAATCAGTTCTACGGATGAGCACGATGACATCACTCCATCATCTGAGACAGCCTCAGAGGATTATGAGTGGCCTCATTCTAAGAATCCTGCGCTGCTCCTGGAGCAACTTGGAGTGGGCTGTAAAGGTGAGAGCACTGCAGGAGCCCAGGCCTTCGGGCAGACCTGGCTTAGCTGGACTGGGTCGTTGGATGCTGTCTGTCTCAGGAATACAGGCGATGCTGTTGCACATTGCAGGCGCTCCGGTTCCCAGGGTGCTTTCAGCAATGTGAATGGCACCACAGGCTTTTCTGCTGATTGTGCCCCTCCTGTGCCATCACTCACAATCACATTCCTGCTGTCGCCCCCCTGGAATCCTGCAGCACCCTGGAACTGTTTTTCCTTCTACCCCACGTCTCAAAACTCGGTCTGAGCTGCAGCCGTAATGGCACATTCTCACAGATCTGTATCTGACGGTGCCTACCCCTCCTTGTGGAACACTCAGCTATCCTCTGTCCTTGCGATGAAAGATTTCAGTCCTTTCATTTTATCCTACATGATTGCGTACCCTTCTTTGAAGTCCCACTCACTTTTTTAGAAACGCATTCCTTGAGATAGATGTCTGTGTTTCCATGGGCTTTAATGCGGGTATAATTGGTCAGTGATAAACTGCACATATAAAACATATCGATAGGTTTTGAGATATGTGAATACATGTGAATCCACCACATAGCTAAGACAATTGAGGCATCCCTCACCCACAAAAGTCTCCTCGAGCCTGTTTCTGTTCACTCAATAAGTAAAACAGGTGTTCACAGAGATGCAGGGGCCCGAGCTCTTTGGCCATCTTCCACTGCTTTCCTAGGCACATTCTCTGGGAGCAGCTGGGATGCAAACCAGCACCCACATAGATGCTGGCATCATAGCTAGTGGCTTAACCCACTATGCCACAATGGCAGCCTCTACTGAAATTTTTAAAGTCGGGAATGAATGCTACATTTTGTCAAATTCTTCTGTGCACAGAGTCACTGATGGGGTTCTTTCCTTTCACTTCTTTACTGTGATGAATGAAATTTATTGTTTTGCTGTTAAACCAAACATGAATTCTTGAGATAAACACCATTTGGTCATGATGTTTTTTCTTTTAAAATATTACTGAATTTGATTGCTAAAGTATTGTGTGAATTACTTTTTAAAGATTTTTTTTAGAGGAATTTTATGTTCATAACGAAACTGAGAGGAAGTTGCAAAGATTTCCCATTTATCGTCTGCCTCCATATTTGCATAGCCTTCCCCATTATCACTACCTCTCAACAGTGTGGCACAGCGGTGACAACTCAGAAACATACGTGGACTCATCATCGCCACTGCATGTTCACTCTGGGGGTCGCATGTTGAATTAGTATGAACAGAGGTCTAAGGATTGCCCACCTGTGGCTCCCAATAGTCTGTGAGATATTTTCACTGCACTCAAAATCCTGAACTCAACCTATTCATCCCCCTTCTCTGTCCAACCTGTCAACCCTGGATCTTTTCACTGCTTGCCCTGGTTTTGCATTTTTCCGGAATTTCATATAGTTAGAATCATATAGCATGTAGCTTTCCAAACTGGCTTCTTCAACGGGGTAATATGCATTTAGGGTTCCTCTCTGTGTTTTTTGTGGCTGAATAAGCTCTGTTCTGGCGTATGAACATATCATAGTTAATTTGTTCAAGTCTAGGAGGATGTCTTGATGGCTTCAAAGACTGGTTGGGTTTTTGAAGGAGTTTTCTTTCTTGTGAAAGCTTTGTTTGGTTTAGGATAGTGATAACACAAAATGGATTGGCAAAGTTGTGACATATTCCTCCTCTTTATTTATTGTGGTTGGGGAGGTGATGTCCAGAATTATAGTATTTTTAAATGTTTGATAGAATTTACCAGTGTAGCTTTACAGATATTAAGATCTTTAGATCTTTATAGATCTATAGAGTTTTCTTCATGGGAATGGTTTTAACTATATTATGTATATATGTGTAGAGTAATTCAGTTTATGTGTTTCTTTGTGACCGAATTTTGCAGAATTTTCCCCCCTGCCCCTCTCTCCCTCTTTGGGGACTTAACAGCACCTTGAAGTTTTCTGAGAGTTCCCCACCATCTCTGAGGTGCAAGTCTGTTCCTTTGGGACACACCACAGTCTCTGCTTGAGACATCGCAACTGAGATCTCTTGTCAGCTACCAGCTGGATTTTTTGTTTGGTTGGTTGGTTCATTTTTGGTGTTTTGTTTGTTTTAGCCATCCTCTAGGGCTTTCTTTGACCTCACAGTTATGTTACTTACAACAGCTTAATCTTTTCTGGTGTTGATTTGTGGCTGGTTGGATAGAACAGACCAGCGCTCCTGAGGTTAGCCCTCACCGGGAGCTCACTGCCGCGTGACTGGGAGTTTTTCCTGTGGCTGATGGTGATGGAGCCTGTGCCCGGCCCTCTGAGGGCACCAGTACCCGATTCCTCTCATCTTTCCAGATGTGTTCATTGCCCGTCTTTGGTTGTGGTGATTTCTTTACACACAGTCACCGTAATGACTCTGCTAAGATGCGGAAGGAACCCTCCAGACCTCCAGCGTGCTCTCTTTGTCCTGCTCTTTTCTCACTAGTATTCTGTCGGCCGACACCTAACTGCCTCTCGGCTTCACCCTGTCACCTCAGGCTGTCTGATGGACTTAGCCTCCCTTCCTTCCCCCGTGTCACAGCCTGAACAACCTCTCCACGAGCAGGGAGCTGCGACTTCTCTGTGTTTCAGGAATCATTTTACATTGCCAGAAGCCTGTTACAATCTACCTCTTGCTACAGCACATGCAGTAGGTTGGCTAGAATGTTCTTTCCAATTGCTTAGCTGCTCCTGGCTCATCCTTTATTTCCAAGTGTTACCACCTCTTCCTCAGGGAAATCTTCCCAACCACTGTGTAGGTCAAATTCTCTCCTCTTAAAAACACAGATACAATAAAAAATAAAATAAATCTTTTTTTTAAAAGCAGAGGAAACTTACTTATTTTACCTGCTAAACTTAGTGATATGTCTTCTGTTAAGCCCAGTCAATGTATACTTGGTTCATGGGCGAATAGTGAATGGGAAAATGAATAGATCTTGATATGCAAAAAGTAGTTATATTCTATTTTTTCTTCTCCCTGGTAATAGATTCTGTCAGCCTATTGAAAATCCAGGATGCAATTCTTTCATATGAAAGATTAATAGAACTTAAAAAGAATCATTGTAGACTGCTTAAAGGAAAAGTTAAAAAGCTGGAAAATAAGGTTAGTGGACTGAAAAAAGAGCTGTCTGAAGTAAGAGAAGTGAAATCACAGTTGGAACATCAAAAAGTAGAAGGGGAACAAGAATGCTGCAGTTTGAGGTATGACATCCTGGGTGAATGGCTTGGGTTGGGTTAGTCTGAGTTTGGTTTAGTATTTAAAGGCAGAACAACAGAGAGAGGGAAAGACGGATATCTCCCATCTGCTGATTCAGGCTAGGCCAGGCTAAAGCCAGGAGCCCAGAACTCTGTCTTGATCTCCCCTGTGGGTGCAGAGGCCCAGACATGTGAACTGCCTTCTGCTTCCTGGGTGCGTTAGCAGGGAGCTGCAGCAGCAGCAAAGGAGCTGGGACTCATACCCAAGCTCCAGTAAGGGATGCAAGCATCACATCCTCTCCACCACAGCACTGGCCACTGACATCGCAGTTGTAAAGAAATTTCTGAACTACTTACTTTGAGAAATGTTTGTTTTATATTTCTTTGAGGGTCAGTGAGAAGCAAAAAGGCAGAGAGCTCTCCTCTGCCAGGTTCACTCCTCAAGTGTCTGCAGATGCCCCTAGCCAAACCAGGAGCTGGGGCTCAACCCAGGTCTCCCACGTGGTGGCAGGGACAACCGCCTCCCAGGCTCTGAATGGGCCGGAGCTGGAGTCAGGCACCAGCACCAGTACCGATGCCATATTCTGATATGGACACAGTGTCTTAACAGCTGTACCAGATGCTCAACTATTTCTTTTACACTTCAAATCTGTAGAAAAATTGTGACTGGAAAGTTATTATTGTTGAGTAGATTTTTCAGTATCTCGCTTTTATAAATAGATAAAAGAAATCTAAGTTTCTTGTTCAAAGCCTTTGACACTAGATTCTGTATTATTCCAAAAGGAATTATTAAATTATGTATAAAGTATATAGTAATCAACAAGGTAATCAGAGTGTCATCAAAAAAAAAACATAAAATGTGTGAGGTAACATCTATTTTTCTAAAAAGGAATTACTTTTATTTATTTGAGAGATAGGTAAGAGCTCATTATCTGGTTCACTCCCTAAATGTCCACAGTGTCTCAGATGGGACACCTCCAAAGCCAGACGCCAGGAGCTCAGTGCAGATTTCTCACGTGGGTGGCAGGGCCATCACCTGCTGCCTCCCATGGGTGCATAAGCAGGAGGCGGGATTGAGGGTGTCACTCTACTTCAAAATCTGAGTGTCCCAAACCTGGTTTTACTTCTAGGCTGAAAGCCTGCCTGCAGGGAGAATGCTCTTTAGCCAAGTCATGGGTTATGTACCCTGCAGATGCATAGTGTATGAACAACATTTAAAAGTACCATCTTGGGGCCTGGTGCCGTGGCCTGGCAGCTAAGGTCCTTGCCTTGAATGCGCCAGGATCCCATATGGGCACCGTTTCTGGTACTGGCAGCTCCACTTCCCATCCAGCTCCCTGCTTGTAGCCTGGGAAGGCAGTCGAGGACGGCCCAAACCTAGGGATCCTGCACCCGCGTGGGAGACCAGGAGGAAGTTCCTGGCTCCTGGCTTCGGATCGGCACAGCACTGGTCATTGTGGCCACTTGGGGTGTGAATCATCAGATGGAGAATCTTCCTCTCTGTCTCTCCTCCTCTCTGTATATCTGACTTTGTAATGAAAATAAAATAAATCTTAAAAAAAAAAAAAAGTACTGGGCCCAGCGCAATGGCGCGGTGGTTAAGGTCCTCGCCTTGCACGCCCGGGATCCCATATGGGCGCCAGTTCTAATCCCGGCAGCCCCGCTTCCCTTCCAGCTCCCTGCCTGTGGCCCGGGAAGGCAGTTGAGGACGGCCCAAAGCTTTGGGACCCTGCACCCGCGTGGGAGACCCGAAAGAGTCTCCTGGCTTCGGATCGGCATAGCATCGGCCGTTGCGCTCACTTGGGGAGTGAATCATTGGACGGAAGATCTTCCTCTCTGTCTCTCCTCTCTGTATATCCGCCTTTCCAATAAAAATAAAATAAATCTTTAAAAAAAGAAAAGTACCATCTTATATCTTCTGTCCGATGATTCACTCCCCAAGTGGCCACTCGGCCAGTGCTGCGTCGATCTGAAGCCTGGAGCCGGGAACTTCCTCCAGGTCTCCCGCGTGGGTGCAGGATCCCAAGGCTTTGGGCCGTCCTCGACTGCTTTCCCAGGCCACAGATAAGGAGCTGGATGGGAAGTGGGGCTGCCGGGATTAGAACCAGCATCCATATGGGATCCCGGGGCGTTCAGGGTGAGGACTTTAGCTACTAGGCCATGGCACCGGGCCCAAGTAGCGATCATTCTTTTATCACTGTGTTTCAAATATATGTGTCTTTTGGAAGAGATTCAAATGAGAAATGAAGCATGTGGTTATTAGAAATAATAAATATTTCAGCCAATCACAAAATGAACTTTTTAAAAAAGATTTATTTTTTTATCGGAGAGGTGGATATACAGAGAGGAGAGACAGACAGACAGAGAGGTCTTCCATTCACTGATTCACTCCCTAAGTGCTGGCAACAGCCAGAGCTGAGCCAATCTAAAGCCAGGAGGCAGGAGCTTTTTCTGGGTCTCCCACATGGGTGTAGGGTCCCAAGGCTTTGGGTCCTCAATTGCCTTCCCAGGCCATAAGCAGGGACCAGATGGGAAGTCGAGCAGGCGGGACATGAATCAGCACCCTTATGGGATCCTGGTGGATGCAAGGCAAGGCTTTAGCCACTAGGCTATCATACCGGGCCCTGAACTTTCATTTTCTAATAAAGTGAAATTTAAGAAACTTCTATTTAACTGCAGATTTACCTTAAAACAAGAAACAGAAAAGAGAAGAAATGCTGAGGTATTGTATAAAAAAATTAAGGAGCAATTAAGAAGAAAAGAAGAGCAATATAGTAAAGAAGTTGAAATGAAAGGACAACTTGAGCTGACCCTTAGGACGTTAGAAATGGAATTGAGAACTGTAAGAAGTAACTTGAATCAGGTAAATTAATTGTTGGTCAAAATGCTTTTTTCCTCCATCTAATTATTATCCATGATAATCCCTTCACTTAATGTTACTTAGAATTAAAATAAACTCATGTCATGTCCTTTCAAAAATAAACTATCACATATATAACTAAACTTATTTATTATGAGTCTTGACACCTAATGATGCTTAGCATATGCCTTCCCAATAAAGCAAAGAAAACTGAACTGAGTTTAATCACTTACCTAAATGTTAATTTAGGCTTTTTTTGGTTAAAAATGAGGATGAATACCTTGAAACTATAATGAAACTATTTAAAAGTTTGTAAAGAGATTTCATTTTATGATATATCTGCCAATAATAAGGCTTTTTTTTTTCCTTTTTTGCTCTTGGATGAATTTTGCTGTCAGTTATGTAACTGAAATTTTGGGTAATCCATGTGCTTGTGCTTTAATGGCTTGTTCCTTCTAACAGATTTTTTTTTTTTACGATAACTAATCTCAAAGCGGCTTATCGATTCTTTTCCCCCTGTGATATCCTGAAATTCATCTCTAGGTTGTGGAAGAGCGAAACGACGCTCAGAGGCAACTTTCTAGAGAACAGAATGCCAGAAAATTACAAGATGGCATTCTGACCAGTCACCTTTGCAAGCAAAAGGAGATAGAAATAGCTCGAAAGGAAATGAATTCTGAGGTATTTTCTTTAATCACTTTCAAATACGTGTGGGTCTGTTCTTGTGTGTGCATGTACCTAAATAGTGGCATGCGTCATCGATAGCGCAGAGAAGCTTGAGCCATGCAATGTGTATGTAGGGTGGCGGTGGTGGCCCCATGTTGTGGAAACTCTAGGTAATGCAGTGTTCATCCAGTTCCACTAGGCTCTCATGATAAAATGGCCTTCTTCAAAAAAGAAGGTTTTAGAATTGATATTTCCAGAGTCTCAACACCCTTTCTACTAATTGTACATTCTAGTTGTTGGCAGTGATTTCACTCCCTTGTTATAATAATGGAGAGCTTAGCTTGTGACTTTCAACGAGGGAAGGAGGAAAAGAATGACCACATCAGAGACCACAGTTGGGCTGTTATTCTCTCACCTTTGAAAAGACAATTTGCTTCAAGACAAGGAACTTTTGAAAAGCCCTGATATACTTAAGGACAGTTTGTTGGGAAGTATTTTCTTTTCTTCCTAGTGAAAAACTTCTTTGATGGTCCTCTTTCACCTTTGTTGTTCCAAACATTGATGATGAATCAAAAATTACTACAGTATCAAATATTCTCATGGTCTTCTAAGATGTCTATAAATTTTACCTGTTTACCATTGGTGGGTTTTTTTTTAATAATAAGTTAATTTTCTTTTTTGTAATGTTTACATACTTACAAGGTTCCATACCAATGTGGACCACAGAGGAATGGGGGAAAGTGGATGAGACAGCTGTTTCCAATCTCCGTTTTTCTTCCTGTATCTGGAGAGAGTGGGGAGAGGAAGGGGTAAGGGCCGCTCCCAGCAGCCCAATTGCATCAGTACCTGGGGATGGGGGATGGCCACCCGATGTCATCCCAACATGCCCGATGTGGAGCATGTTTGGAGAATACTGCTTAAGTGATTTTGATAGTTCTGAGATGGTGTTCGTTTCATTGCTCCAATTCAAAGAAGTCCTTTGTCCTCCTGCTTAAAATTCTCATTGCCTTTTTTATTTGCATAGATTCATTATCTTACCATAAATTAAAAGATTTGAGGTTTAGATCCAACTACTTCCAGTAGGATATCCACTTACTGCAACACTTTGTTGTTTAAATACACACAGATTATTGCTTAATTTTAGAAGAAATCATGATATTTTATTGATTACCAGCTAAAAGTCACTTTTCTTTCACTTAGATTTTTGATAGTCATGAAAAAGAAAAGGAACTTCTACATAAAAATCATGTGTTACAAGATGAAATTGCCGTGCTAAAACTGGAAATAGACACAATAAAAAGTCAGAACAAGGAAAAGGAAAACAAATATTTTGAGGACATTGAAATTATAAGAGGAAAGAATGATGAACTTCAGAAGACAATAAAGTTGAATGAGGAAGCACTAACGAAAACAATATTCCAGTATAATGGACAGCTTAACGTTCTGACAGCTGAGAATACAAGGCTAACTTCTAACCTGGAGCTTGAAAAACAGAACAAGGAAAGGCTGGAGGCAGAAGTTGAATCATACCATACTAGACTGACTGCTGCTATACAAGAGCATGAACAAAGTCAAACATCAGAAAGAGACCTGAAACTGGCTTTCCAGAGAGCAAGAGAAGAGTGGCTGTGTTTACAGGACAAAATGAATTTTGAAATATCTAACCTCAAGGATAGCAACGAAATTCTTTCTCAGCAACTTTCTAAAGCTGAAAGGGAATTTAACAGTCTAGAAATTAAGCTCCATCACACCAAAGAGACTCTCAGAGAAAAGACTTTGGCGTTAGATTGTGTCCAAAGAGACCTGAGCCATACGCAGTGCCAAATGAAGGAGATGGAGCAGATGTACCAAAAAGAACAAGGTAAAGTGAGTAAGTACATCGGGAAGCAGGAATCCGTGAAGGAGAGATTATGTCAACTACAGAGTGAGAATATGTTGCTTCGACAACAACTGGATGATGCTCAAAACAAAGTGGAAGATAAAGAAAAGACAGTAGTTACTATTCAGAACCAGTTTCATGATATTGTGAAGCAGCTCCAGGCTGAGAATGAAAAACAAAGTCTTATGCTGGGAGAGAGGAATAAGGAGCTGCTCTCTCAATGTGATCATCTAAAAGAAAGGCTGTATCAATATGAAAATGAGAAAACAGAAAGAGAGGTAAGTATCAAGAATAGTATTGTTCACACTTGCTCAAGGAAAATTCAGTCATACTTGATTATGGCTAAATACTGAATCTGGTTGAAGGTGAAAATAGATTATTATAAATGCTATCTGTTATATCATCTTGGGAACATACCTTGTTCCCAAGAAAGGAAAGTTAGACCTGAGAGATTTGTAAAGACATTGTGTTGCCTATGAAATTCTGAAGTTAAATTATACATTGTTTACTCATAGACTAATATTAATACTATTCAAATTGCTAAGGTATTTTACTGTCGTTATGTTGGCACATTCTAAGACCATGATAAACTCATCAGAAATAATTAAATATTTTGAAGTTAAGTTTCTATTAAACAGGTTAATTTGACAATTCATTCATGCATTCCCAATTGGTATACAGTATAAATGCTGGACCTTGAAATTTAGTTCTTTGTAGCTTTTTATGTATTTTTGGCTGATATAAGTTTATTTTTATTCATGACAGTTGACAAATCAGAAAATATACCAGTCTGCTGTGTTCTTGTGCTCTCTCAATTTTTCAAAGACATCTGCTTTTCATTTATTAGATTCTAATTTTGAAAAACTGCAAGTTTTAGAAAACCTATGTTTGATTTCATTTTCTTGCTATATTTGTGGATTACCTTGGAACACCTTTTTGCATATAATTATGCTTATTATCTTCATGTCAAGGCTTGGTTGTTTTATCATCTGACTGTCAGTTTGTCCAGCACAAAGATATAGTTTTTCAGTGATTTATTAATTTGGCATAAGATCTCTATTTCAGACTAACAAGAGGGTGCAAAATTCGCATGTAGCAGAAATGGAGTGAATATGGGAGAGAATGTTAGGAGCTGAGGTCTGAAAGAGAGGTGAAGGCCGACTTTCCTAGAGTCATTGGTGTTACTTATATACCAAGGTAGGATTTGCACAAAAGTGATTAAAGTTCACTTGAACCTCTGATAAAAAAAATTTTTAAAAGAAGGTAAATATTCCACACTGTATAATTTCCACCACTGGTTCCATCCACATACTTAAGCCTTCTTGAGATTTGCAAGGTTTATAAATGCTTATTAGGAGAGACGTGGGAAGTGGACTGAACCTGCCGCCTAAGTAAGCTAATACTTTTAGCCAGGAAGACGATTCCTCGGTGTCCTCATGTGAAGTCAGTCATAAATGCATATACATGAGGAAAAGTAAACTGACATATGTGGTGGGAGTTTTCAAAATACAGATGCTCCCTATGAGAGGGTTAGATTCTGATAAAACTTTCATTAGGTTGAAAATACATTCATAGCACTTGATGTGCTCGGCATCCTGCCTTAGCCACAGAGCACAGTGTAGCGTGCAGGTTAGACCCTGGTGCTTTGGTGTCTGGGGACTGCACTTCACTGCTGCTGCCCAGAAAAAGATCAAAGCCCAAAATATATTTTCTACCAAATGTTTATCATAAATCAAAGCATCCTATCAGGGACCATTTGTATGTATGTCTTAGAATTCAATATTAATGATAGGATTCCGGTTAAGACAGTTTATAAAATCACTAACAGGAGTGTTTCATCAGGTAGCTGTAAGACAACTTCAGCAAGAACTGGCCGACACTTTAAAGAAGCAGTCAATGTCGGAGGCTTCACTGGAGGTAATAACACGTCATCGGATTAATCTAGAAGATGAGATACAGAATTTAAAGAAGAAATTAGATCGCATCAGTAGTCAGGTATGTATGCACGCTGCCATGGTGATGTGTTCTCTGTAGCTGGTTTTCTTCTGTAAGTTTTATGACCCTTGTTGCAGTAAACAGCTTTCTTTCTTTTTCTTTATAACCATTTTAGCACAATTTTGTGATCTTTGTAATGCACTATGTCTTACACTCTTTCAATCTGCTGTTTTTCCTTAAACTGAAATTTCTTTTTAAAGTAATACCTATTAAAAAAGTAATACAGGAAATTGAGAATTATATCCAATCCTCATGCACGTTGAGAGACTTTTTTTCTGTTTATCAGTATTTTTAAAGGTATTTCTTTTCTACATTCCTACGTCTATCATCATAGTGATGCAATTAGATGAAACCAGAGAATATTTTATCTTAGTTTTATTATTGCAGAAAATTTAACACTAAATTTTCTTAATGTTCCAGAAATTTCTATTTCAGGATAAGTTGTGCAAAAAGGCCATTATATTGCACTCCAAAATGCAGATGTTTTCAGTTAAATTACAGTCAATTTGAAAAGTTAGGCTTCTCTTTCCTTTTCCTTTTTCTTTTAGAGATTGTAAAAGTATAAAATTATTTAGATCAAAAGCGGTATGTGCATCCAAAATAAAGAATTAGGGAAATTTAACTAGATCCTGCACTGTTTTTTTGTTGTTGTTGTTGTTTTTTTGTTTGTTTTGTTTTTGGTGGGGGGTAGGGAGGATTCTTTTTCTAGCCATTGTAGCACTGTCAGCCAGAGAGCTAATGCTCACCTTAGATCACTCAGGTTTCTGTATGGTTAAATGGGATGAGAGTAGAGGCAGTTACCATGGAGATGAGATGAGATAACGGCAGCTCGGATTAAAGTTTCAGCAGTGGAGATAGTAGGGAATGGCAGGATGTGAGAAATGCTTTAAGACATGAACCACAGAACATGTTCCACAGGTGTGGGTGTAAGGGAACAAGAAGTATGCAGCATAACCCATGTATTCTCAGCCCAAACTACTGGAATTTGAGGGGTTTAAGTTGACAAGAAACAATTTGGGATAGACTGGATTTTGGAATAGATTTTGGTCACAAAGTTGGGAATATCTGTTAGCTTCCTGGCAGTACGTGAACAAGTGCAGAACTTGGGGAGGTCCTGGCTTGAGTCATGCATTTGAGCCTGTTAGTCTACAGGACTAGATAATATAGAATCTGTCAAGGACAGCCTGGATGGAAACACAGCACGTTCCAAGGGTAAGGATCTGGAGCACTGCCACATGCAGTGTGGGCAACGCCCCAGTCCTTGAGTGTGACTCTCCTCCTTCCGTGCTTCCTCTTGGCTCCTTCCACACCCGCCTCCCCATTTTCCCCAGCCAACACAGGTTTTGTCTATATCTCAACCCAGCTGCTCTTCCAAATAGTCTCCCTCCCTGTGGCCCTTAATCGCATATATGGCTCTGCTTGGTTACTTGAGCTCTTTGTTGTGTGTTAGCCTTAACCCCCAGTTAGACAGTAGACGTGTCTAATAAAACACTGCATCGCCCTCACAATCAAACGATGCTGAACTACAAACGACTCAGAAATATACATGGATGGATAACAAGGCTGCCTGGGAAATACTCTAGGAAGCCAGGTGCACCCGCTAGCCTTTGGCAACCCATATTGTGGCACATGTCCTTTCGTGGTGGTCACTCCCAGGCAGACGTCAACCATTGTCTCCACTAAGGAGAGAGGAAATAAGCGCCAGGAAGTCTCCCAGCAAGGCTGGTGGGCAAAGCAAAGCACAAACAAGGGAGATTACTTTCTTGGCTGCCAGTGGATTTTTATATACACTTTACAGACACCAGAGGTTTTGAAAGTCATTATAAAATGACTATTATGAAAAAAACTGTGCATGGATTTCAAAAAATCATTGCACCCAAATAAACCTATCTTTTAATTCTATAATTCACATACCATACAGTTACATTTGCCTTTTTTATAAAGGATCATATTGTCTATAAATTTTGCATAAGAAAATCTGATATGTAACCTATGCTGACATAAATTGAAAATATTTGGCCTAATAGTTGCTTGAATAAAATTAAGTGATTATGCCAGTCCAGTAATTTCTTCCTTGGGACATTGACACAAACATTCTGAATGAAGCATTTGAGCAAAGCTTTTATTCTAAATGAATTTCAAGTAATTAACTAAAATTAAAAGTACTTTTTAAGAAAAGGTTTATTTTATTTTCATTATAAAGTCAGATATACAGAGAAGAGGAGAGACAAAGAGGAAGATCCTCCATCCAATGATTCACCCCCCAGTTGACCACAAAAGCTGTGCCAATCCAAAGTCAGGAGCCACGAACATCCTCCAGGTGTCCCACATGGATGCAGGGTCCCAAGGCTTTGGATTGTCCTCGACTGCTTTCCCAGGCCACGAGCAGGGAGCTGGATGGGAAGTGGGGCTGCCAGAATTAGAACTGGCATCCATATGGGATCCACGCGCTTTCAAGGCGAGGGCTTCAGCTGTTAGGCCACCGCGCCAGGCCCTAAAAGCACTTTTTAGAGAAGAATTGTTCTGTCAAATACTTGGGCTTTTCTCACTATAAAATTATTCTGAGTCTACTTTCCTTTATTATGTCTGCAGAAATTTATTAAGAGCTTTATAAGTGTTTACAACTGAAAAGCTCTAGCTCTAGGTTTTCTGGTAAACCATACCACATGACCACAATTCACTTGTAAGAGAGATTGAGCAGAAATAGCTTTGGGAACCAGTGTTTGGTTAACCAAGATTAACAACAGAGTCGAGTATTTTCAGGACAGTGTCTTGGACTGTCTCTGATGATCGCATCAGTTCTGTATTGCTCCATCCAAAAGTGCTATTTGCGTGGTAGAACATGTCCTGCCCCCTGAGTGGTTCACAGAGAGTGAGCTGTAGATTATAAATAGGAAGACATCCTGTTGGCTAGTGGAACGTTCTGGGCTCCATGCTCCCCGCCGAGCTCTTCAACGCTGGGAGGAGTGATTCAGAGCAAACTGTCCAGGAGATCACTGCCCACGACACTTCTCCTGCCTGAACCGTCACACTGTGGCAGGACACGCAGCAGTAGCAGACAGAGCTCGCTGTGCGCGATTTGCTGATGCCAGTGGATTCTGTTTTCATAGAGAGGAGCAGTGAGCACATCTGTGCCAGATTACTAGTTTTTTTTGTTTTGTTTTTGTATTCTTTGTTTTAGTTGCAAGAAGCACAAGACCAAAACACAGAGCTTGTACGAGACGCCGAAAAGATGCAAGGTCAACTGCAAAGGTACAGCGTAAAGCTTCACGCAGAACAATCCAGGCACTCAGAAAGCAACTAAGCAGTAGCGTGCTGAGAATTAAATCAACTATGATAATCACCACATCTCTGTGAAGCCAGGGAAAAGCGTCTGTTTTCATCCATTTTGAAAGCACATTTTTATGCCTTAAATTCTGCCCATTATCCATAAAACAGAAAAATGATTAGTTAAATTGTTCACTTCTCAAATTTTTTTTTCTTCCTAGGCTTTTTTAGGTAACATTTTTACAAGTGGTGTTTTGTTTATTTATTTCAAAGGCAGAGTAACACTGAGAGAAAGTTATAGAAAAAGATCTTCCACCTACTGGTTCATGTCCCATATGGCCACAAAGTCCAGGGCTGGGCCACGACCTGGACATCCATCTGAGTCTCCCATATGGTGGGTTCCCGGGCATTTGGGCCCCCTTCTGCAGCCGCCGCAGGCACATTAGCAGGGATCTGGATCAGAAGTGAAGCTGCTGGAACTCAAACCAGCATTTACTTGGTTCACCAACAGCATCTTAGGCAGCATCTTACAGCTCTGTACCACAGACCCTGTCCCAAGATAGCAAATGTTTAGCATATATTAGAGTATTCACATATATTAGAGTATTAACATATATAGCATATATTAGACTTAATGACCTTCTAAACTAAGAATTGAATAAACAAAAAGCAACTTGTTGTACTTTTTAAGAATTTATGTGATTAGGAGTGGTGCAATGGCTCAATGGCTAAAATGCTTACTTTACATGCACTGGAATCCATATGGGTACTGAATCGTGCCCTGGCTGTTACACTCCCTTCCAGCTCTGTGACCTGGGAAAGCAACAGAGATGGCCCAAAAGCCTTAGGACCCTGTACCCACGTGGGAGACCCAGAACAAGCTCCTGGCTCCTGGCATCAGATTGACTCATCTCCGGCCATTGCAACCACATAGGGAGGAAGCTAGAAGATGGTGGATCTTTCTTTCTTTCTCTCTGTGAATCTGCCTTTCCAATAAAAAATAAATCTTTTTTTTAAATATATGTGATTGTACCAACAGATGTCCATTCAGAAATAATACAGTATTTTTTAATGATGTGTGAGAATAATTACTTTAAAATTTACATTTAAGGCTTGAAAATGAAAATTCTGAGTTAAAAGTTACAATCAAAAAACAAGCAGAGAAAATTGAACATCTTCAGAAAAGTCCATCAAGTCCCAGTTTGGTAAGAATCTCTTAATTTCTGTCACACTGAAAAATTTTTATCTAGAGGTAATATATATGGATATTTTAGGTAATATAAAAAGTCTCACTAATAAAAATATTTGTTATATTCAATACATAAAAATATGTGTTATAGTCTTGCTGCTGCTAGTGTAAGGTCTCTTGGTTGAATTCATAAAGTTATGATTTTGGTAGTAAAGAAGAAGAAGCTCCTGGCTCCTGGCTTCGGATCATCTCAGCTCTGGCCATTGCGGCTGCTTCGGGAATGAACAAGAAAACCGAAGATCTTTCTCTCTACTTGTCTCTGTAAATCTGATCTGCCTTTCCAAGAAAAATAAAATAAGTCTTTAAAAAAGATTTCATTTTTATTTTTCTTGGAAAGGCAAATTTACAGAGAGATAGAGTGATAGAAAGAAAATCATCCATCCACTGGTTTACACCCTAAATGGCTGCGATGGCCAGAGCTGAGCCTATTCGAAGCCAGAAGCCAGGAGTTTCCTCCAGGTCTCCCATGTGGGTGCAGGGTCCCGAGTCTTTGGGCCATCCTCTACTGCTTTCCCAGGCTACAAGCCCGGAGCTGGAGCAGCCAGGACACAAACCGGCACCCATATGGTAGCCTGGTACTTGCAAGGTGAAAATTTAGCCACTGAACCATCACGCCTGACCAGAGAATATATTACTTCTAATGTTGGGAAGCAGAGATAATTTGAGTGTGCATCTGAAAGAAACTTCCAGAAGTTTTCCATTAGGTCATCTCTCCATGGCCAAAAAAAAAACAGAAGCAAATAATTATTTGACCCTTGCCAAAATTTTTGCCTTATGAAAGAAAAGCAGGTCAATATTAAAAAATAATACTTCACTCAAAGTAACACACATGTTGGCATCAATGTATAATGTGCAAGGTAAGCTGTTGACAAAAGTAATCCATGCTAAGGAATTGTGGAGTGTGCGGTTGAGGACATCGTCTGTGAGAAGTGAACTAGATGGAGCACAAACAGCCTCACAAAGAAATGAGATACACAAATATAGATTGGGGCATTTGGGGTGAAGCCTTGGGGTTTAAGGAATTTCACAAGGTATAGAAAAAGCCAGGACTAAAGTCCAGGGGCTGTGCAATTGGAAGGGAAGCAGGGTTAGAGGAGTAATGAGGGCCAAGGAGAGAGTGGGCGCGTGACTTGGTACAGCTGAGAAATACGCAGGGTGAGAATTCAGAGTCCTCAAATGTTTAATATTAGAAATCAGGGATTGAAAAACCAGAGTTTCTTGTAAAAGAGGACAATCAGTGATAAACAAATGAGAGATCGATCCGTGATGGCTCCTTGTATTAACGAAGATTGAAGCCAGCCGAGTGAGAAAAGATGATGATGGGAAAGTCACAGGGATGAAGCAAATTACATTTTATATTTTATGGAGAAGACTCAGGCCTTCTTTAAGAGAACTCCTTAGTGGAAGGGACTCGTCGAAGCCCACGCTGAAGTCCTTAGAGTGAGTGTGTTTGGCACATCGCTGACGTGCTAACATGCAAGAGCTTCTCTTAACAGGTTCATTCTGGTAGTTTGAGTCCGGAAAAGATGATGAGAGTGGAAATCAACCCGAGCTGCCCCGGGAAAGTCTCTGTTTGTCAGTTCTGCTTGGCATCAGTCCTGTTCAAGGCCTAATCTATAAACAGTACTCAGAAATTCTTTAGAAACAGTACTTTTAGGAAAATGTGACTTTTAATGTTTTTAAAAAATGAGAGTCGTAAAAAAAAAATTTTTTTTTTTTCACAGTCTAAGGATGAAAAGGAACAACTACAGACACTCACTGAGTTAAAACAATCTCTGGAATATAATTTGGGTGAAGAAATGAAGAAAAATGGTGAATTAGAAAAAGAGATTACTGAGTAAGATTTTAATATTTCAGATTTCAACCAGTATTTCATTTAACTATAATCATATCTAGTACAGCCTAAATATTATGTGTATTTTTGGAATTAAATCATTCTACTTTAAAATTTATTTTAGAAAATCGCAGCACCATCTGAAACATTTTTACATTCCAAAATCGATACTTTCTCTTCACCAATTTCAGAAACAGTAACAACGATGCCTTTAATACCTGTCAACTGTTCCTTTCTTGCTCTCTTTGAAATTTGACTTTTGAAGATGTTTTTATTCCCTCCATGGTTGCATTTCTTTCTATTAGGACTATCCTCCCCTTCAGTATTCAAATATACAAATACAGGAAAATCTGTCAACATCATTCTTCAACAGTATCAAAAATGATGGCGAATGAGCTTACATTTCTTTTTCTTTGAGCCGTAAAACATGTTCTACAAATTTACTGATGTTCTACAGCTATCACATATGTTTGCATAACTCTTTATGTGCAAACATACACGCACGATTTGAAGGACAATGAAGTGAGCAGCGATGTCTCTGTCCGCAGATTTGAAGTGAAGGGAAGTTTCTCAGTGCACAAGCTCTTCATCTGACACCTGTTCTATGTACGTCTCAGTTCTCTTCGGAGAATTCTCATCAATATTTCTATCATTTATCTTCCTCTATGTGACTTTTGCATCCTTCTAATTTTTTTAACATTGTGCTCACAAAGATCTCTAGCTCTAAAAACAGCCTTTGTCTTTCCACGTTATCTCTCTGCTATTTGCCTTTCCTCTAGAACTCTTTCCTCAGCTTAGTCTTGAAAAATGCTCTGTCTTGTTCCTTTTTCTATTCTGAATGATCTCCTCGATGTTTTGTGTCTTCTGTCTTTACTTTTCATACACTGGGCTCAAGAGAAACCAAGTGTATTATTGTATCTTTTCAAAACCTTCCTGTATACATGTGCTTGTCTTCATTGTTTGGGATACTGATATTGTGAATAGCTAGCAATAAAAATAGGTTCATGTTTGAGTGTAATATATAAAGATGGATATTAATGATTTGTAAGAACTCTGCATATATACTGAACCATTATTTTTTTACTACCATATGTATCAAAAGAAGTTTCTGTATTGTTTAGCTAAGATGATAATTTTGTTCAAAGTTTCCAGTGATAGATTTAAACGAATGAGGATCATGATGTGTCTGTTTCTCTCGGTGGTATGATCGAATGTAAAGAGCTGTTTAAACAGGTAGTGTTTATTCTTAAAATCTTTGACTTACTCTATTCTGTACCTTCCCCCGCAGAGTTAAGAACCTCCTAACCATGGCAAGAAAGAAGTTAAATGAATATGAAAATGGAGAATTTCATTCCCATGGAGATTTAAAAATGAGCCAATTTGAAATGGCTATTGAGAATAATATGCTAAAATATAAGGTATTAATTTGGGGAGGGGCAAAAATCACTTAATTTGGGGGGGATCATACATTTGCTAACACTTTGAACAGTGAATTAAAGACTTGTGTTTTGTTTTTCATGTTATTGACTTGAGTCTGATGAGTCCTTCTTGCACAAATAGGGCATGCTGTTGGTTGCCTTTTGTCTAAAACACCAGCCAGGGCTCTAAGGCCAAGCGGTACCTGACAGCATGATTCCAGAACACTGAAAACAGCCCAGCCGCTGGAAGGCTGGCGGCTGTGGCCATCTTCAACATGGACACTGACCTGTGTGGTTGTTGACATGGGACACTGGCTGGCATTTCAGTTCTCTCTGTGGCCTCAGCTTGCCTCACCTCTCAGCGAATGGGTGTCCACGGCAAGCATCTCTCACACCACATTCTATTCAATTGAAATTAGTCACCATGATTGTCCTGTGGTCTGCATTTTTTTTTAGAGGATTCATGTGTAAGAACTGTGTGAACACATTTTGAAGCCAGTACAGTCTACCATGAAGCCACAACTTGTTATATTCTTATGTTCTTCCCACTTGAACTGCACCCTCATTCCGACTCTACGCCCTGAAGACTCAGGCTTGATGCCGTCACTCTCTGCTCTATCTTCTGTGCTCTGTGGTCTGACCTTTGTGTAAGAACTTATCTGTGTTTGCCACCAAGTAGTTTCTCAACCTGCTTTCAGTCTGCTTTCACTCCAGAGAACATCAAGGGGCAGAGGTCTCTCCGTTCTTCTTCTTCTTTTTTTTTTTTTTAAGATTCTTTTATTTTTGTTACAAAGTCAGATATACAGAGAGGAAAGATAGAGAGGAAGATCTTCCGTCCAATGGTTCACTCCCCAAGTGAGCGCAATAGCTGGTGCTGCACCGATCCAGAACCAGGAGCCAGGAACTCCTTCCAGATCTCCCACTCGGGTATAGGATCCCAAGGCTTTGGGCCATCCTCGACTGCTTTTCCAGGCCACAAGCAGGGAGTTAGATGGGAAGCAGGGCCTGCTGGGATTAGAACTGGTGCCCAGATGGGATCCTGGCACTTTCAAGGTGAGGACTTTAGCCGCTAAGCCACGCCGCCGGGCCTGAAGTCTCTTCATTCGTGGCTCACTCTCTTTTAATACAAGCCAACCAGTAGTATTTTCACAACCATGTATCTTAAAAACTTCAAGTCTTCTGTTGATTTTACTGGAGATCATATCATTAGAAAAACCACACTCACAATCTTTAATCTTTTAATTTTAGGGGTTGGTATTGTAGTGCAGGGGGTTAAGCCACCACCGGTGATTCCAGCATCCTGTATGAACATATTTATGTATTAGCCACTCATGCTGCAGCTACCTGTTAAGGTACCTGGAAAATGTGGAAGGTGGCCCTAGTACTTGGACCCCTGCTATCTACATGGGAGACCTGAATAGAGTTCCTGGATTCTGGCTTTGGCCCAGCCCAGCCCTAGCTGTTGGAATTATTTGAGGGATGAACCAGCCGATAGGATATATCTCTGTGTGTCTCTTTTGTTCCCCCTCTCTCTAATTCTGCCTTTCAAGTAAATAAACCTTTAAAAATTATCAGCAGTGAAGACTGAGGAAAAGAGAAAAAGAATTACTCATAGGGTGACTTAGAGCCATGTCTTTTGTTTGCTTTTAAAGAATCTGCTAGGGTATAGATTATATTGAATTTCAACCAGTCTGTTTCAAAAAGTGATACTGGTGTGTGTTTTTCAGCCTATTAAGTTCATTACCAAACCATATGACTTTTATTCCTGCAGATTGACGATCTTACAGCTAAGCTAGAATCTGCATCTTCAAAATGTCTACAGCTGGAATCAACCAATCAAGTACTAAAGCAACAGCTGTCTTCAACAAAAACCCAACAAAAGAAATGTGAAAAACTAGAGAAGCATAAAAAGAAATTGGAACAAGAAGTTGTCAACCTCAAAAGTCTTGTGGAAATGAATATGGTAGACCGTGGCCAAGTAGAGCAGTATAAAAGAGAGATTGAAGAAAGAGCAAGACAAGATGTAGTTGAAAAATTGAAGGAAGTCAATCTTTTTTTACAGGTTCGTTTATCTATCTATCCTGTGCCGTAGTTTGGATGCTGGTGAGGATATTGTGTGTTTCCTTGGTATCCCTCAGGGCAGGTTGTTTTGTGTGGTTCTAGAAGGAAAGTTGCACCTGCTTCCTTCTCCTGTTGAGTACCTCCGTTCCCTTTGTTTTTATAAAACGGAGCTGATCTTTCAGAATCATGAATCTCACTAGACTCATTTCATGAATAACCCGACTTGGCGTAAAACAGCACCGTGAGTTCAGAAATTAAACCATCCTTAATTGTTCTAGAATGACACTGTTGATTTTTAAGTTTCAAATTAAACCTACTACTATTTTTAATAACCTGCTTATGAGTGCTAAGATTAACAGATTCAGTTCAGTGGATATTTAAGATAAATATTTTAAATGTACACTTTTCACAGTATTATCTGGGTCACTGACTCAAAACTAAAGGCAACACAGTTACGCAGGTTGATACTCGCTGTAACAGGTGTGTCTGGTTTCCTCCAGGCACAAGCAGCATCTCAGGACAGCTTAGAGCAGCTAAGGGACAGTAACCACGCATCCCTGAGGAGTCAGATGGAACTCCGAATTCAAGATCTGGAATCCGAACTCTCCAAACTGAGAGCTGCTCAGCAAGATTCTAGCAAAACAGAACTGGAAAAATACAAGCAGTTCTATCTGGAGGAATTAAAGGTCAGACACTCACTGTCAGCAGAACTAAACAAGTAAGTAAAATGTGGAACCAATGAGCACAAATGAAACGGGTTCATTTGCCTCTGAAGCATCCCTCTCAATGAGACGGGCTCAGGAGAGTGGCGGGAACTGAGAGGTGGCCAGACAACGTAACTTTGGAAAATGATGTTGCCACATGAAGTTATCTTTAACATGTTAGTCCATGGCTGTTTATATAAATGCTCACAAATTTAACTTTTGAGGGGGAAAGATTAAGATGTAACCCCACTGTACTACACTGCTCTTGATTGGTCACAATCAAGGACTGTTATCTCGAAATACAATTGTTATTGCTGGTATCACTAGAAAGTGCTCGCAGAAAAACTAGTCTTTGCAGTTCTTCCGCCCCTGGTGGGCAGTGATTAACACAGAGAAGTGTAAGAATCGCAAGAGTTAAACCTGGGTCGGCCTCTCGGGCCGGAGGTGGAAGACAGGGCAGGTACGGTCTCTGACACCACAGTACAAGATTCTGAGCTCATTGCCTTCCCAGCGGCTTCAGTTCCTTCTCATCAGCAGGTCAGCCCTCTCGTTCTCCCCCAGGCTCGGAATGATCACCACAAGCCAAGTGCTCGTCGTTTCTCCCAGGTCTGGGGGAAGCATGCGGGAGTATTGAACCTAACGCTGCAAGACATCCTTGAGGGATAGGATTAATTTCTAAGCTGGCTCACAACATAAAAAATATTCTAACCTTATGTATTTATTTGTTAATATTTAAAGATTTATATGTTTATTTGAAAGCCAGAGTTACAGCTTGAGAGAGAGAAAAAAAAAACTCTTCCATTTGTTGGTTTACACCCCAAATGGCTGCAACAGCCATGGCTGGGCCAGGCCGAAGTCGTGAGTCAGAAACTTCATCCAGGTCTCCCGTGTGCTTGGAAGGGTCCCCATGTGTGAGTCCTCTTCCAGTGCTTTCCCAGGCACGTGCGCAGGGAGCTGGGTCAGAAGTGGGGCAGCCAGCATTCCAACTAACACAGGGGATGCCAGTGTCACAGGCAGTGGCTTAACCCTCTGCGCCCCAACTCCGGCCACTTGAATTCCTTGTTAATGAAGAATCAGTTCCCCTAGAACTGTCTGCACTACTTTATAGAGTTCATTCAAAACCTAGAGGTGTGAGCCGTGGGAATGCCGGGACACATGATCAGCATTAAATCACTGAGTAATGGGAAGTCGTTTCTGCTCGCTGGCAACATTCCAGTGTATCAAAGTCATTTCAGAATATCTCTTCATTGGCAACGTTCACAGGACGAACGAGAGGCTGGCCGAGCTGCGCACAGAACTGCTGCTGGAGAAGCAGCAGAGATGGCTGCTCAGCACGCTCGGCGGGAGGCCGCTGCTGGAGGCGCCCTGCTCCGGAAACCTTCAAGCCAGTGTAGTCCTCAACAGGAATCTGATTCCTAAAGAAAACCTGGCAGTTCCTACCTCAAGACCCAAGCCTTCGGACCACAGTGTGCATGACTATTTGACCCAGGTCAGATCGTTGTGTTTCCCCTTTGGTTTGTTTGTTTGTTTGTTTGTTTGTTTGTTTGTTACCCACTGGGTAAATTACTGAGTTTGGTTGATTTACACATGGTAAAAGCAAAATTCATTGTTGATAAAGAAACATTTTACAAATCAGTTTTATTCAGTAAATATAATGAAGCTAAACATTTTAAATTTCTTTCAACGTTACTTTTAAATTAGATTTTGAAAAAGATTTATTTATTATTTTTATTGGAAAGGTAGATATACACGGAGGAGTAGAGACACAGAGGAAGATTTTCCATCCAAACGGAAAATCTAAGCGGCCACAACGGCTGGAGCTAAACCAATCTGATGTCAGGAGCCAGAAGCTCTTCCTGGTCTCCCAAGCAGGTGCAGCTCCCAAGGCTTTGGGTCATCCTCCACTGCTTTCCCAGGCCACAAGCAGGGAGCTGGATGGGAAGCAGGGCCGCCCAGACTAGAACCTGTGCCCATATGGGATCCCGACGCGTGCAAGACAAAGACTTTAACCACTACACCACCGCACCGGGCCCTTTACATTAGATTTTTAAAATGAGATGTTTGCATAACACCTATAGATATGCTATGAGATACTTTGGTTTAATTTATGAATGATTTTGGTTTGCCATTTTTCAACATTTAAAATTTTATTATACCATATCAAGTTATCTATCCATAATCATTATTGAGTGAATGGCACCCAAATGTTTAACCACAAAAGGATGTTCATGATTTAAAAGAACCCAAGATGAATACATTTGAACCAAACAAATCTGACTGCTAAGAGAGATAAATTTATTTCTAAATTAAAATGTTTGCCACCTTCTTAAAAACTCATTGCTATTTACTTAATAGCATGTTTTAAGGGTTCATTTTATTTATGAGAAAATCAGAGTTACAGAGACAGAGAGGTCTACCATCTGCTAGTCCACTCCCCAAATGCCCTCAAAAGCCAGAGCTGAGCTGATGCTAAGCCAGGAGCCAAGAGCTTCTTCGGGGTCTCCCGTGTAGATACAGGGCCCCAAGGGCTGGCTGCCTGTCTCCTGGTGCCTCCCATGTGCAGGGCAGCCAAGACTCACCTGGGGTCTGGATGGGATGTTGTCACTGCAGGCTGTGGCTTAACTTCTGAGGCCACAACACAGCCCCGTTAAATAGCACTTTTTTGATATGTGTCCATTGCTGAACACATATTAAATCAAGCAAATATTTGAGTTTTATAAACGAAGTTCACGTAGGTCCATTTATCTTTGTTTTCACTGAATGGCTGATGATGAAGAGCAATCAATTACAGTGTTAAGCAACTGCTGTCAAGCAGAACCCATTGCCATCTTCCTCCCGGAACCTCTCGGGACAGGTTCTCATTTACAGTGAGAACCCATTGTAAGAACCCATTTCCAGTTTTAAAATTGGAGCCAACCAGAAAAGCTGTATTCATGATAGAGTTGGTAAAAACCCAGTTGATGCAGTTTAAGATAATTTTTAATGTTGGCCATTTTTTGAGTGAGAGTAAATTATAAAACAATAAACATTGCTCTAAACAAAAGAAAATTCTTAGAGCAACTAGTTGTGCATCATTGTTCTTTACGACGTTTTAATCCAAGCATGAGGACATGCAGTGTTGGGCATTTTGATGATCATCTTCATGCAGAGAAATGTCACATGTTAAAGCACACTGCAATCTCGTTTTCTCCTCCCTTCACTTCCTCTGCTACGAAATCAGAAAGAGCAGGTCCAGGATGCGCCAGACAGCGCTGCGGCTGCATGGCTTAAACGAGGCCTAAGTAAATGGTTTCAGTGCAGAAATCACAAAGCCCTCGGTATCTTTTCATCATTTGGTTTCATCTTATTTTTCTGGAGAAATGAGAGCATCAAGGTTTAAGTGCCATGAAACTGGATAGAAAAAAGAAAGTGAACGCCAAATACTTGAGTAAATTGTGAAGATGCTACAAATGTGCAATGAATGTGCAACGTTGTCAGTAGTTCTTTTCAGAAAAGTCAGCTAATGTTTCATTGGACAATGAAATATAGCAAGGCAGATGTGGTGCAAGGGGAGAGTTTGAAGGAAATCATTTCCCTTAATTTTTTTGAAGGAAGTTTGCAGTTTATTTTAAACAAAATGCAGTAATTCTTAGATGTATGTGACTTTCATGTGAGATGTTTGTTTGCCAAATCATCTTGAAATTGGAAAGCAGAAGAGCAGAATGCCTTGAAAGAGGGCATGGTGCCTTGGGCCCAGCACATGGCTCAATTGACTAATCCTCCTCTTGCAAGCTCCAGAATCCCAAATGGGTGCCAGTTTGTGTCCCGGCTACTCCACTTCCCATCCAGCTCCCTGTCTGTGGCCTGAGAAAGTAGAGGATAGCCCACAGCCGGGGGGGCCCTGCACCCACATCGGAGACCGGGAAGAAGCTTCTGGCTCCTGACTTTGGATTGGCACAGCTCTAGTCATTGCAGCCATCTGGGAAGTAAACCAGCAGATGGAAGGTCTTTTTCTCTTCTCGCCTTCTTTGTGTACATCTGCCTTTGCAATAAAAATAAATAAATCTGAGAAAGGAAGGAAGGGAAGAAGGGTTATCTTGTAGTTGTTAACCAAGTCTCAGTTATGGAAAAGAGGGTCTCTTCTAGAGTTATTGCAACTTTAATTATTTCTGCTAGGAAAGCATCAGAATACCGGGACAGGTGGGAACATGCTATCTCAGGCAATGGAGAGGGCTGCGTGAGGCGCCGCAAAGAAGCGGACTTTTCAGAGTTGTTTCAGCTGTGACGTTGAGGAAAGCATCAGTACTTCATTTGTTCATTCATCTCCTTTATTTGCAGGGTTCTAAGGTTTTCTTCTGTTTCTACTGTGGCGTTCTATCTTAGCATGTTTTTCCTGATTGTAAGAATAACAATCATATGAAGTCTAGTCTGTGACTTCAGATGTCCTGGTTGTTGGAGCGAGTTGGCCTGCGTCCAACCACTCACCGTTACGTGGGGCCCTTGAGTTGTAATACTTCACTGAAGACGTGTTTTGCTCAGTTTTAATTTCACATTTCTCAGTTTCAAATTTCTCAATTTCAGTGTTCACATTCCAGTTTAACTCTGGGATGCTTTGTCTGCTATATCAGAAGTAATTACATAGTTTAATTGGTTCCTCATTCTATTATAATAAAATATAAAAGTTAAACTCATTTAAATATATGCATCACAAATCAGATATTTGGCACACAGAATTCTTTCGACAACTGAAATTATAAAACTTTGTTCTGGTTTTATCAAAGATACAATGTATCTGCTTCTTGATCAATGTACTGTTTTCCAGTTCTTCTCTTTGACAAAACACACGTATTTAATATTTCTAACACTAACATAGTTTACAAGCCACCAGATGTAATTTCCCTTGATATTAATCTGTTCACCATTTAATCTTGAATTGCACTGCTTTCAATGATCAGACTTATCTTACTAAGTAGGAGTGGCTCTTTATGTTTAAAACATGCGCATTCTCCTTTCATTGGAGAATTAAATCTTAATTTGAAAACACTAGCTCTGACTGAAAGCACATTAACCCTAAAGACATGTGTGGTACGTATCGCATCAACACCATCTCTAAAAGACCGTGCAACATTATTTTCTGCCCTGTGATCTCAAGAACTTCGCAGTAGCCCGTCAGCAAGTTAGCCTTGCCATTGTCGGTTGCGCTGTATTTCTCTTCCTGAACTCTTCCTTTCAACCCTCCACAGAAGAAACAAACTTCCTACAATCATTGTTTCATCATCTTTCTGGCTGGGACCGTGGTGGGGGGGTGACTCTTCTTCCTCACTGGGTTTAGAATAGAGGTGTGAGACACACGAAGGCCCATGTTCTTGCTGTATCCCTAGCACCTGAGAGCAGGGGTAGGGGGTGGCTTGCACGTGGAGCCACGGTGATCCTCCACACACTGCACCCCGACTGGCACATCTCCTCACACAGAAGGCAGAGGAAGCCGGAAGCCCCCAGCAGCATTTCCCAGAAAGATGGTGGCAGAAGCCAGATGCTGTGACTGCGGGCGAGATGCAGCGCCAGACAGGCCCAGGCAGCCCGCCTAGCCCACATCCCCCAGATGTGCTCTCGGCTCCCGAGGGTCAGGGTCTGATGAGGTCCTCACGTGGGTGTGAAGGTTCTCCCATCATTTTGGCCTGGAACTGAATTGCAGGTGAAGTGCAGACCAAGTCTTTGTCCCAACTAATGATAAGCTGGATCGTGGATGGAAATCTACTTGCTCCCCTCCATTTTGTTACAAATGTGCCACGACATGGACAGCAGGTCTGGGAATTGAGTTTTGGTAAACCAGATCCTCGTTGGAGAAAAATGTGTCTTAGGAAGAGTTTCCTCATTTGTATTTGCTTGGTTCAAATGAAGATTATCTTCTAGCTGCTCTGTGTTGAAAAAAACTGGCACTATGGTTAAAAAAAACTTTGAGTAATTGAGCACCACTAATGGAGTTATGGCATTAGTTTCTGTTCTTTTATTCTTCACTCATGACATCAGTAAGACCACTCTTTGATGTTTTCTGCCTAAACATTAGTGAGTTTTACAGATGCATTTTCTGTGAGTCATATTTTGAAAATCTGTGTTTATTTTTGCCCAACATGCAGATGTAGCCACCATAGACCGGTCAGAAGTTACCAAGCCCCTTCGGCCTGTGGCCAGGTGGCTCTGCAGCCTCAGCAAAGCCCTTTGAGCCCGCACTGCCCAGATGTAAATCAGTAACTTTTACTAAACAAAATGCCTTACTACAACTTTAATAAATTAACCTGCATGAAACCATATGGCCTGGGACAGTTGCAGAGCTGTGTGGCTGAAGGAAGAATAGAGCTCTTGAGCTGTGGTGCATTTACTTCCAGGCCCTGGAGTCCCCGTGGACCTTGCAGTCCTGCCCCCACAGGACTGCAAAGGTGAGCACTTCCCAGGGGGAAGCCCCGCAAGCAGCCGTCACCCTTGGGACACAGTGCCCGCCTGCGAGACTTTTGGGCCACGGCAGCATGTCAGTGCACGGCCACAGACAGTGCGTCCCCTCCGTGCCAACGCTGGACTGGAGGCTTCCTCTCTCGAGTACACCCCTGCTTGGAAGTCAAGAGAGGGGCCACCGAGGAGGCGGGAGCACTGACATGAACAAATACCTGGTGAGCTGTGTTCGCTGAAGGAGCAGGTGCAGCTTCTGAGGCAGTACTACTGCTACAATGGAGATCAGCATCGGATTACTCTTCCATCCTTTCGGCACTGTTGCTGTCTCCTAAGCTGTTGCTTTGCACACCACAGCCACCAGTGATTGGACTTATTTATCAGAACAGCATAGGAATGAACATCTCCAAGGTGGTTTTCTCTCTCTGGATTGAGTCATTCAGTGTAGTTCAAGTCCTGGCTGCTCCACTTCCCATTCGGCTACATGCTAATGTGTGTGGGAAGGAGAGGAGGACCCAAAGCCTTGGGACCCTGCCCCTGCACGGGAAACCAGAAGCTCCCGGCCCCGCGCTTTGGCCATTGTGGACATTTGGGGAGTGAACCACACACGAAAGATCTTACTCTGTCTCTCCTTTTCTCTGTAAATCTGCCTTTTCAATAAAAATAAATCTTAAAAACTAATGTGTACAACAACTAATAATAGTTGTGCTTTGCGAGATTAAACAATATCACACATATATATTCTGTATTAGGTGAACTTAGAATGGAATTTTAATGATTATACTTCCTGTTGAAGAGATCCTTGGTTAAGGTCTTGTATAGAAAAATATTACTTAAAGGTTACATTTTTTTAAGTGATATAGAATTCCCATATCTTGTTTAGCTTAAAAATTCTGAATATTTAATTTATTCCAGATGCGGCAGGAGCTGGACAAAAGTATAACTAGAGAACTAGAAAAAGGTATGTTGCCAAAATGTGTACATTAAATGTAGATTTGAATTCTGAAATAAACTGTAAATAGGAAAAGGTCATCCTTTTCAGTTTTATACTTTTATTTCTTTTAATGAAATATGTGAAGACATAAACATTCACAATGTAGAACACACTTATTCCAGAAAGCCTCAGGCCACCTCTGCCTGTTCCTCTGCCCTCCCCACGGTCCCGTCACCCGTGGACGGGCAGTCCTCGGGGTCTGATCCTAGTCAGACCGCTCTAGTGAGACTAGGGAAGTTAGGGGTTGCTCAGCTCTTACCCAGAATCCCTCATCAGGGATAAGTTCCACATTCCACACCCAGGTCAGCCTGCTGCTTGTCCCATTATTTCAGTCAGCCTTCTCTCTTGCCACTTAGGCTGCTCTGCCCTTCGGCTCCAGCATCCCACAGGTTTCCTCGCCCCCTCTTGCCTGGACTTGCGGTTTCCACCCTAGCTGGTGTCCTTTCTCCTGGCCCCTTGGGTAGACTGCCATGTCACCACCAAGAAACCTTCTAAAGTGACATGAAAGTGGGATGGCGTTCCTCCGGTGTGGTGCTTCATTCCAGTCATGCTATCTGTGACTGGAAATCCTGTTCATTTATTCTTCCTGGTTCCAACAAGTCGTTACTGAAGGACAGTGTCATTTTCATCTTATCACTGCACTGCTTAGCACACAGTTGTTGAGTCAATGAAGAATGAGGAAATTTAGAGCACTGTACCTAATCCGCAATAATTCAGGGCACTTCTTTAGCCACTAAGCTGCCGTGCCAGGCCCAATTCAGTGCACTTCTACACAAATTACATTTAATGGCAGTTTTACTCTGTTGTCTCTACGTATAGGTTTTTCCTTCCTCTTCACGGTGATAAAGTTTCCACCTTTTAATATTGATGTAGACCGAGTTAACTCTGAACTAGTTGAGATAACCAGAATTGTTTTTCTTTCCAGCTGCTGCTGAATTTGAATCTGAATCCTGTCAAATTCCTCCTTTAGCATCTATGGCCAAGTCTAATCAAACTCAAGATCTACTTCTGAAAGCATCTCAAGAATATGTACAGATTTTGAAGAAAAACTATATGCTCTGAAGGACAATCAAAGTTAACTGGCCAGACTCTTGACTTTAATAGCTTCCTGTTAAATAGGTGATATGAAAGTTTTTGTTAAAGAGTATTTTTGGATCATGATTGAATGAAAATTTGAGTATCTTAAGTCTTTTTTAAGATTTATAAGTGAACTTTGAGCAGATTTTACAGATGAAAACCAGTATTATGAAATTTCAGATACTCAAAGTACACAAATGTCAGCTGTCATACAGCACCCAAACGACAAACTTAATATTCAGCAGTTAACTGATGACTGTATTTTCCAGTTATTACATTAAAACACAGTCCTGGGCCCGGCGCAATGGCGCAGTGGTTAAGGTCCTTGCTTCGCATGCCCCGCATCCCATATGGGCACAGGCTCTAATCCCGGTGGCCCGCTTCCCATCCAATTCCCTGCCTGTGGCCTGGGAAAGCAGTCGAGGACAGTCCAAAGCTTTGGGACCCTGCACCTGCGTGGGAGACCCGGAAGAGGCTCCTGGCTTCAGATCGGCATAGCATCGGCCGTTGTGCTCACTTGGGGAGTGAATCATCTGACAGAAGATCTTCCTCTCTGTTTCTCCTCTCTGTATATCCGCCTTTCCAATGAACATAAAATAAATCTTTAAAAAAAAAACCACAGTCCTGAAATGCAGGTTGCTACTGTGTGTTGTCAATATCTGGATGTATAACTGTGACAGTGTCATCAAAGTTTTATAATTTTATAGATGTTTCCTTCAAGAAAAATGTCTGCCTCTAGCCTTTCACCTTTTCTGCTTATTATTTTTGATTGCTTTGGGGATAATCATAAAACCAGAGTCCCAAATTTTAGTACAAAGATTTTTCTCCCCTGAATGGTTCCACGGTGAACTGCTGACATGCTGTCACCAAGATAAGTCTGGGTGTTTCCCCGAGTCAGAGCATTCCACGTAACTAATACAGCCTTCATCACTAGACGGGCACCAGCAGCATCCATCTGCTTCCCCGCAGGAGCCCTCAGGTGCTCTGTAGCCGGAGAATCCCACACACACCCATGGACTGCATCTGGTTGTGTTTCTTGGATTCTTTCAGGCTGGATCTTTCCCGGAGCTCCTGCATGACTGTGCAGCCCACTATGTGGCCTGTCCCTCGGTGTCTTTGGCGTTTCGTGACCATCAATCTGATGGAGGTCATGCAGTTTCCACTGAGAGCATCACACTTTGATTCTGTGACCATCTCGTCTCACACTGTGACTTCTCTGTTCTTCATCCAACTTTCAGTGTCTCACTTGGATCAGTATGGACTCGTACATATTGGTTAGTATCACTTCTAAAATTTGTCTTTCAGAGGTGTTCTGTTTTGACAACTTGATCTATACAGAAAAATTGCAACAGAATGAAGAATTCCTGGGTGCTCTTCTCCAACTGTTACCATTTTACTGCGTTTACCCCCTCGTCCCAGTCTCTCCCATGTGGTCTGGAAGCAGACCCCGCATTTGGGGTAGTTTTTTTCCATTTGGTTTGTGCCATGTGCTCTCCCAGATAGACACAGGTTATACTGTCTGGAAGGAATGCCATGCAAATGCCGCCACACTCCTCCCAGTACAGCGTGTTTATAGGACTGAGGATATTGCAAAAAGTCTGTGGGAAATGGTACCTTACACAGTGGCTTACTATGGCACAGAAATTTCTGAAAATTCATGAAAAACTATACAAGAATATCAAATTATGTCATGTCAAAATAACCTTATCCTGTAATTCTATTTTCCATCAATTTGTAATCAGTCTTGTAATATTTGTAATCCAACCAAAATATGATGACAAGTTAAATTTTTGAGGACCTGATTCAAATGCAAACCAGGTTTTATTAGCTACTACACTAGGCAGAAAACAGCAGCTACAGAAAACCATCATCAACGTAAGACAGGACCCTGAGCAGGGACGTCAGCGTCGGGGCACACTGCAATGGAGACAGCCGTCACGCCGAGTGGAGAGCTCACGCGTTTTGGGACAAAATTCTGATCAGTATTTTCTCTGACATTGTCACCAGTTCAGGAAAAAATAATAGCAGGAAAATCAGAGTAGCTAAAATGGTCTTGAAGAAAGTATTTATTTAAAGCAAAAGGAGGCAGTAAAAATAAGTGGAACTTCTTTAGCTATCAGAAAATAAAAAAAATGAATAGCGAAAGACAGATATAAATCCAACTCCATCAATATTAAATATGAGTAAACATCCATCTGAGAAGTCAATTATCAAAAGGGATAAAACAAAAGGCCCATCTGATAAAGGGCTCTCTTGAAGATACACAAATGACAGTAAGTGCAAGAGATAATCGACACCATTATTTACATGAAATCTACAACGCTGGGATTGGGTGAGATTAATTAATTTCGGTATGAGTGGTAGCAGATCATTTCTTATTGAGCAAAAGGGCCACAAAAAAGCCACTAAGTAAGGGCAAAAAATATTGCAAATGATGGGAAGAAACTGCAACCTCAGCAAATACCTCATCAAAAAATAAGTTTGTACAATGACCTGACAATAGTTGATCAGTTTCCTAAAATGTTACCCAAAAATCAGCATGACAGAATTTTGAGTGATGGAACAGCTGACCATGATAACCAACAACAACCACACACACACACACACACACACACACACACAATCTTCAAACACAATGGTTGCATTCTACCTCAAAAACCTCATTAAAAACTTAAGATTAAGTCCGATAGGATTAGGACTCTATAAATACTTTTTCTATTTTTATGTAATGAGAAGACATGAGGGAAGTAGCAGGGGCAGTGATAAAAGATGAGCAAAATAAAAACTAGAGCAGTTTGGGAGTTTCTTGTATTATTTCAGCAACAATTCTCAGTTTAAAATGAATCTGAAATTTAAGATTAACCAAAAATGGTTAAAAATACCATGTTTCAAACTTCCACACTTAGCATATTTATCCTTCTCAATGAAAACCAAATTCAGGTTAAAGTTATTAAAAAACTGTAGGTAGTTTTAATAAAGTCACTTCCAGAATATAATATTGTTGTAAAACCAATACATTGCACTCTAAAATAACTTTTATATTGAGCCAAAGCAATTTTTTGTAACAACACATTTATATTCACAAAATCTAGATAAAGAGTAAATACAATGTTCCATCTCTAATCTAGGATAATTCAGCACATTTTGAAAGAGACTGACTTGGTTTACTTTTGCTTTTGAAAACAAGCATAATTACAGAGTTATTCAGAATGAAGTTTGTTATTTAACAAAATTCTGCTACTCTGAAATAAATTATTATAGGTTGATAGTCATGTTTAAAAACATGAAAATGCATGCTGCATTTTTCAACTATAATCATTTAAATTTTGATTGATCTGTATATTCAATTCCCCACTAAGGTTTTTCTTAAAAAAACATCCTATATCTGATCAATCTGGAGCATAATTAAGTAACCTAACGAGGTTTCCAATAGCATACACAGAAATAGGATGTACCAACAACCAGACAGTACTATTTCCTTATCAAAAAGAAAGGGTACTATTGAGAGGTCATGGTATTTCTCCAACAGTTGCAGCCTTCAAGCTCAGAATGCTTCCCAGGAGCGAAAGGCACAGTTTTTAGATATAATTAGTAGCCAATTGCAAAATCATTAGTTACTAAATAACTGATCGACATTTCTCAAACATGTTGTTTCAATCCTGATTTATTTTTTTTAAAACAGATATACTATGGGTGGCTAATTTGCAAGAGGTGTCACCATGAAACAAACCAAAATCAGATAAATGTGACCAAAGATCACAAAAGTTTCTCATACTCTTGAAGTGTACCAAGATTAGCAGGAAGCATTGCAAAAGGAAACGACTGTGATATTACTCAGATGCCTGCTACAACGCCAGCAGTGCCTCCGGACTGAGTCATTATCTCACTTCCAGCTTCTTCCCCTCGAGCACAATCTGAATCTCTTTGGCATCCAAAGTCTCATAGGTCAGTAAAGCTTCTGCTAGATTCTTATGCTCTTTCGCGTGCGTTTTCAAGATGTGCTTTGCTCGCTCGTATGACTCCTGGAACAGAAGACAGTGGCCTAAGAAGCAGAAAACGCAGGGGCCAGAAACCACAGGCAATGGGACAAAACTTCCACTGGTTTTTAAATGCTATTTTTTTTTTATTAAAAAAGCATTTAAAAGCCTGATAATTTGATATCACAAGCAGAAGAGAATGAACATTCTATGAAGGCAGAGGTCACTCTGAAATACATTCAAATCCTTTGATTCTACAGAAATCCTTCAATAAGGCATTCATTCAACCTAGAATCATTCCAAACCGACCGTTGGCTATCGAGGTGCTTATCCAGAGCCCCCAGGAGCATTGTTCACTTCTGTTCCTATCACCACTTCCAGCACGGTACAAACATGCACTTTTGAATAAAGCACCATTCTTGCGGAAGTCTAAATCGCTTACTTCCTTCCCAATCCCCTCAGTGCAACTTGCGGCAAATGCTGGTTCCGGTGCCACTGTTACTTAGGACCTTGGTGTTGGGGTCCGTGCAGTGGATGTGGGGGACACGAAAGTGTGAAGAGTATTGTTCCATTGTAGGCAGGGCCGCAAGGAACTTCCCACTGTTTGGCAGGGCACCGTGGAGGTCTCTACAACCACCTGAATGCAGCTCCACCTTCCTTTGCATGGACACCAGACTACCCTGCGGAAGAATTCTAATCCATCCAGGCATTGTTTGCTACTGTGAGGCTGGCCTTTTACTCAATGTGAGCTTGGAGGTTAGTGTCAATAATAATGTGTTACAAAAGGGCCTTCTATTATTCCTACTGTCTTGGCTGTCCCCATTGACCTTGTGCTAATCAATCAAGGGACCTCTATTTAGGTTTTCATTTTTTAGGTTCTCCTTTTCTTTGTGATACAAGAGTGAGTTGTAGGATAAGAATTGTAGCAGGAACTTATATTGTTTTTAGGTAAAACAAATGGCAGAATTATCCTTAGAAACACCCACTTGACCATGAAGTCTGAGTCAGAGTTTGACTGATTTTGTGTAAATAAAGCGGACAGCTTTCATGCATTGTCCATTATGATCATGACATCCTAGTGGTCCGTCTTTCTTTCCTCTTTGCGCCTTATCCACGCACCCTTTGCGAGTGCCAAACTCAGCTGGAGCTGGACTCCGGCACCTCGGCACTCAGCTTGTGCCTCCTCTCCTTTCCAATAACAGATAACTTCATTATTCAAACACAACACATAGTTTCCACAAAGTTCCAGACCCACATATGTGTAAATTGTATATAAATATGACCATTACCCTCAGCAGAATTCGTATTTCTTGTTCAATGGCAGACTGAGTTTCAGGACTCAGCTTCCCAGTATCACTGTAGGTCATAACTCCAAGCTAACAGCAAAGAGAAGAAAGTCATTGAACAGAGAAGTCCCTGAATATCAGGAAATTTAACAGTACCTTCCTATAGATCAGGAAAAAATAAGAAGAAATACAGAATGCAAATGTTCTTGAAGAAACAGCAATTTCATGACATTTCTAAAATTAAGATTAGAATCAAAAGTAATAAAACTTAACAAAGAGAAAATTTTAGATCATTTTAATGCTGGTCCAAAGTATTTACTTTAAAAACCTTGCCAAGTACTCTAAACCCTGACATGCAGAATTCAAAATCAAAAGTGTTTGAAGGAGTCACACATTATGAGGTGGAAATATAAAGGTCATGGACAAGTTAAAGATGGGATCTCTGAAAGAGCCTCAACAGGCTCAAGAATCTATTTTCTGTAACCAGTTCATTAACTCATGTAGTAACAATTTCTGAGCAGCTAAAAGGGTTACATTTTTGTTACTCAGAAAATAATATCAGAACAATGTGCAGAGTGAACAGACTTGAGGGAAATTTATGAGAGGGAGATAGTATTATCGATTTACAACCTGAACATTAAAGAAGCAGAATTGGAAAGGGTTAAAATAAAAACTACCTTTTCACTCATCCCAAATTTGGTGACCATCCGCTTAGCTATCCTCGTTGCATTATCAAAATCACTGGAAGCACCTAAAATTTAAAAAACAAACGCAGAGCTCAAACTAAAAATAAGAACTTTAAACCACAAAACACAATTTGAACTGAAGCAGCCTTTAAAAGCAACCTGTTGTAATATGGTCCGCTCCAAAGATAAGCTCCTCTGCCACTCTCCCGCCCATGCTCACATCCATCTGCGCCAGCAGCTGGGCTCTTGTCTCATTCCACCTGTCATTCTCCGGCAACAGTGACACCTAAACAAGTGAGACACCCCAGTTACACCCGAGGCGCTGAGGCACAGTTAGCAAAGAGGCTCATTCAAAGCCAGAACGACCAGTTAGTTCTCCCTGCGGTGTGTAGTAACAGGGCAGTGAGAGCTGAGACATCTAATAGTGACCATAATCGGCTTACTGATGACAAACCCGGCAACTGAGAAAAGGATACTTGATTTTAAAAAGACAAGTACACATTTCATTAAAAAAAAAAAAAAAAAGAGTGAATAAGGTTGGAATAGTACAGCTTTATTACCAGCTGCATAAAAAATGTTTAAAATAATATATACTAGAAAGAAACAGAGTATTAAATGAGAAACCCTAGAAAATACTACAAAATAACTCTCACAAAGAATTTCTTTTTGGAGAAGAGCACAATAAGGCATTTATATTTCATAATATATACAATATCTGAAACATGTAAGTATTCTTTACTGGAAGAAGTTGATAAATGTCTGATTTCAGAATACTTCAGGAAGTCGAAAAACAAAAATGCCAAAGCACTTTAAAACAGTGGCAGGCTCAATGCTTCAGACGCCACAATGGACACCCACACCCCACACCCGCGTGCCTGGCCCAAGTCCCGGCTACTCCACTTCCAAGCCAGCTTCCTGCTAAAGACTCAAGCATTTTAGCCCCTGGAAACCACATGGGAGAGCCAGATGGAGATCTGGATTCCAGGCTTTAAGCCTGCTCCAACCAGGCTGTTGCAAGCATCTGGGGAATAAAAAAACAATGAAGGACCTATTTCTCAAAAAAAATAATAGTTTGTAAAAATGAAGAAAAAAAAATAGAAAACTATTTACATGTCCCAGTGTCGGCCCTCGTGGCATGATGGTGGCCTTGTTGATTGGCATGGCATCTTTTGTATAATAGGCAATGATAGCATGGCCTGATTCGTGATACGCAGTGATGGTTTTGTTTTTGTTATCAATTTCCACACTTCTCCGTTCAGGTCCTAAGATAAAAATTTAAGTAAGTTACGCCACTAGAAAGGTCTATTTAAATCAATAAGCCACATTCCTTTTTCCCAAATAACTGCTATGGGATTAATATTTACAAAAGAAGAAAAAAACAAAATAAAACGCTCTGCATAAGTTATTCTTAGATGAACATAATTTTTAAATAAAAGTTTGTGAAAAATGAGAATTCACTGTATAATAAATAACTTGCAAATCACAAACCAAAATTCTAAATTTAATCCTATTAAAATGAAAAGCTTAACTATTTCTAAAAAATAATTTGCAGTGTAAAAAAAGTCATCACTAATGATTCAAGCCAATCCTAGAATCACAAACGAATACAAAATAAAGCATCCTATGACAAAAAGAAATGGAAAGCTTGGAAACAATGATCACACCCACTTCTTCCTAACCCTAGATCCTTCCCACCATGATTAACTATGTAAACATCATTTAAAAAAAAAAACCACTAAAGCCACCCTTTTCTATACCACCAGAGAAGAGGAACGCACGAATGACCCACCATTAATGGCAGTATAAGAAGTTTCTGAACTAGTTCTGTCAGATGGCAAACTGCCACTATCTATTTCACAAACATCTATTTCATGTTCCTCTAAATCTCTTTTCAGTCAGAAAAACATCTTTCAAGAAAAAGGAAAAATACTCATGAATGCAGCTCATATAAACAAGTGCTTGATCATTGCCGATATGAGTCTTGTCAAGAATATGTCCAAGGTTAGTGGCTTTCAGTTCTTGAAAAGGAAATCTTGTGAGATTAATTACAAATCTTGGATACCCAAATATCCAAGATCTAAAGTAAGTTCATATTTACTACAGCCGCAGGCTTTAGCTGTGTGAATACAGCATCTACCAAAATGTATATTCTAACACACAAAAATATAAAATAGAAAGAATACAAAGAAAGCTTACCCATGAGAATTTTATCTTTGGAAAATTCTAGTTCCTTCATGGTAACCATTTCCTTTCCATCAACAGCAGCCTTTAATGCAGCCTGGTTCACGAGGTTCTCCAACTCTGCTCCAGAAAAACCAACAGTACCTCGGGCTATGATTTCTGGATCAACAGCTGTACACAAACAGAACAGTGCTCAAAGTCCAGAACAACCACAAGGGGGCGCTTCACCAAGAACACACAGTCCAAAAGAAGAGAATCCTGGTTATTCCACGGTTAATATATTTAGTCTAAAGATTCAAACTTAAGTTCACAAAAAATCTTAACATTGCTAAAGTGTGTCAATGGAACTACCATTAGGACAAGTCACAAAAACTCTTAAAAAGTAGTGACGATGAGTTAAAAACTTCAAATATGACCTATACTTTTATTAGCTTAACCATCAAGTTAACAACTGTACTCAAACACTGTATTCCTTGAAGTTCATCTTCCAAACACTTGGGACACAGGGGCCCCCTTGACAGGAAACCCCCACAGCCTTGTGAACCGATTCATTCACCTTTGGGACTACCACAACTTTAATAGCTTTCACATACAACTGAAATTGGCTTAGAAGAGTTTATGGTTTTAAAACAGAAGTTTATACTTTGCTTTTCTTCCTTATTGTCCCAAATCAGCCTTAAATTACTCTTTGTAGAGCCTTTCATATTATTTTGCATTTTAATTTCACATTCCTCTAAAAAAATCTATATACTCCTCAAATGTTATTTATGAATAAGAAACTCTCTTGGACTCAGAATTCAAAATGATAGATTCTCCTGGGTACACGTTAATTAAGGAATGGAATTTGAAAAGGATGGATCTATGAAAGCAAAGAGCACAAAAATGAATTGGTGTCTCAAGACACACTGTGGAGTAAGGACTACCAAGTGTGTGATATGTTACCATTTTATAGAGACAATATTTTTACTAAAGAATTACACTTACACTGGTCAAACTTTATTTTATTGAGATACCATTTCAAAATTTCTGTTCGACCTTTCACATCTGGCCTTGGAACTGTAACTTGCATGTCAAAACGACCAGGGCGTATTAAGGCACTAGAGGAAGAATGCAAAAGGAAAAATGTATTAATAAGCTCTCTACAATAAAGACCAAGTGAACCAAGACCGACACAGTAATAAGCATGCGTTGGAAAACAATGACAGCTGGAGATTAAAGACAACATTGAACATAAATGTTGAGATTGTTTAAAACATGGCTCCAATAAAAAGTCTCAACAACCAGAAGGTAAAAGAGAGATCCACTGAGGTCTCAGAGTGTGCACCTGGGGAGCACACACTGAAACAACAAGGCCCGAGACTGCCAGGTCGGCCGAGAAGGAACTCTGCATACTAAGTGGACTGTTGGAGAACCAGACTTCTCTCAACGGCCAAGAGTTTGTCACACTAGTCTTGGGCAAAGATACTACCAGCTTCTAGAATCAAGACAGTATTTCAGTATTATTTAAATACAAACCAAATTTTAATACTGTACTTAATTGTACACCTAAAATGCTCTCCTCCTGAAGACTTTGGTGGTGGTGGCGGCGGCGATGGTGGTGTGTGTGTGTGTGTGTGTGTGTGTGTGTGTGTGTGTGTGTGTGAATAGCTTTACTGATAGCTCACTTCCCACTCTCCCAGCCTCGGGCAACAAGTGCCTTTTGTCCTTCTGCATTTGCTTGTCTTAAACATTTCTTATAAATGGAGTTGACAACGGGATTTTTTTCAAGTGGCTTTGTCACTTCACATAGTGCAGAAAACAACAGTACTTCACAAAACCTTTTTTTTTTTCCAGTACTCACTTATCCAATGCCTCTGGGAAGTTCGTAGCTCCTATGATGATAACTCCTTCATTGGGTTTAAAACTATTCAAGGGGAAAAAAAAGCAGCAGCTCTTCACTGAAAGTGTAGCACACATGGTGACACAGCAGCAACAATCTACAGAAAACTGTTTAAAACTAAACTCACTAACAGCCAAGGAAAGAGATGGAAAATAAACCACCCATTATGTGTGACTACAACCTTTTACAGTCTCTCCTTCTATTTGGGAAGACAACTTGATAAAAAAAACACTTGGATGTCAAATTAAGTTCTGAAAAAGCACCTTCAGCGGTACTAAATGCCATTATTTGTGCCCAGGCTTCCTATATGGTTCCGAAATATCTTACACTTTATAATGTCTCACCTCTTGCTCTGTTAGAGATGTATGACAGCTTTAAATCCACCGCGATGCTCAAAGCCAGTCACCTACTGTATGGGAACCAGCACAGCCTCTCTCTATTGCTGTAAATAAACTACTAGCTCCCACTTACATCACTGCTTTTCTTAGTGGTTAAAACAGCATAAATATCACAGATGAAAAAGCCAAGATACATATCAAAGGGAAAATCTGCTGACCTAACATAAGCTTCCTCTTCAAACACTTCACAGGAACAACTGAAACCAGCAAGTGTATCAACAGCAAATGCTGCGCGGCATCTCCTATTCTAGTCCATCTTTAAAATAGGAAGCATCCTACTTTTAAAGTTGATCCCCATATTCCAGAGACAGGAACACCGACTCACTCACCCATCCATCTCAGCGAGAAGCTGATTTATGGTCTGCCTTGAGTACGGATGCATTGGAGATTCAATTCTCTTCCCGCCAACAGAGTCTAATTCATCAATGAATATAACACAAGGAGCATTTGCTTTGGCTTCCCCTAAGACACAGGAAAGAATGAAAGAATCCAATAGATTTTAAACAAAATTACAGAAATAATGAAAATGCATGATTCTCAAAAGCAAAAAATAAAACATTCAAAGGGAAAAAAGAGCATACAAAAGGCCATTTTTTAAAAACTGATTTAAGGGGGCCCGGCGCAATGGTGTAGTGGTTAAGGTCCTCGCCTTGCACGCCCGGGATCCCATATGGGCGCCGGTTCTAATCCCAGCAGCCCCGCTTCCCTTCCAGCTCCCTGCCTGTGGCCCAGGAAGGCAGTTGAGGACGGCCCAAAGCTTTGGGACCCTGCACCCGCGTGGGAGACCCAGAAGAGTCTCCTGGCTTCGGATCGGCATAGTATCAGCCTTTGCACTCACTTGGGGAGTGAATCATTGGACGGAAGATCTTCCTTTCTGTCTCTCCTCTCTGTATATCTGCCTTTCCAATAAAAAAAAATAATAAAAATAAATCTTTAAAAAAAAAAAACGATTTAAGGACCCCCCTGGGATATGGCGGAAACTATACCAAACAACTCATTAACTCAACTGCCTAATCCTACCCCTGCAAGAGCCATATCCCACGTGGGCACCGGGGTTCGTGTCCCAGCTGCTCCATTCCCACCCAGCTCTCTGCTTGTGGCCTGGAAAAGCAGTAGAGGTAGACCAAATACTTGGGACCCTGTACCCGCATTAAGAGACCCAGAAGAAGCTCCTGGCTCCAATTGGCTCAGCTCTGGCCATTGTAGCCACTTGGGAAGTGAACAAACAAATGAAATTTTGTCTCTCCTTCTCTCTGTAAATCTGCTTTTCCAATAAAAAATACATAGATCTTAAGAAAAGATATGATAACCCATTTAATATGGTAAAACCAACTGGGTTTTTACTTTTCCTGGCTATACAATAAACATAGAAAACAAAATCTGAAGCCAACTACTCTTATTTACACAACACACAATTGATAAATAAAAAGACAAAGATAGCAGACAGCAGCCTTCAAATGCTTCTAGCATTTCTACAAACATCTCTCATGGCTGTACTGGGAAGAAGAGTTCAGCTCCATCTGCGTTTAGTGTGTTAATCAGCAGAAACCACAGCCTTACAACGGCGCCTCAGCTGAGTAGCGACAGAGCAACAGTGGGAAAGTGCTCCCCTAAAATTCATGAAATTTGGTATTGGATCAAAGATAAGGCAGAACTTACTAAAAAGGTTTCTGATGCGGCTGGCTCCCACACCCACAAACATTTCATCAAATTCTGATCCTGATGCGTAATAAAACGGAACATCAGCTTCTCCGGCCACAGCTCGAGCAAGAAGCGTCTTTCCGGTTCCTGGTGGCCCAACCAAAAGAATTCCTAAAATAAAAGGAAGCAAGAATGAACCAAACTTGTTTCTTAACAACAACAACAACAAAAAAAACAACAACAAAAAACAGCTTTATAAAGCACTGATATAACTATGAGGACGAAGCAACACCAACGAGTAGTTATTTTGAAATATGGTAAACAGGTGTGTCTGTTAATGATTCAAAAGCTCTAGACACCTTTGGGAAAAACGAAGACTGGGGGTACATGATATTAAGGGAATGGTGCACATTTTTCTTTGGTGAGTTTGCTTATATTTTTTAACAACAATGTTCTTACTCTTAAAACACGCACACCTAAGAATTCAGACTCTAAGTGGTTGTATGCAACTTTCTTTTAAGTGTTAGGGACAGAAAAATACATGCAGCTGCAAGAATATGTTAACAACCACTGTGCCTAAGCAGACAGTACAAAGGCACTTCAAAAAGTCAGTGAAAACTGGAACTAAAAAATAAGCTTATGTTGGTGCAAAAATATTTTGAAATCCATACGTCTAAGTATATGGGTGTTAACACATTATGTTAAGCTTTTCCAAGTTTGAAAACTTCACGGTGACTTTTCACAGTCAGTTAAACAAACAATTCAGTGATGTACATGTAATATCATAAATGTAGACTACATTTTCAAAAAGCAATAATGTTTATATGTCTAATTTATTCTTGGAGAGTTAAAAAAAGATTTACACAGAGACAAAGTGAATAATAAATGGAACAAAATACTAAACATTACTAAGCAGGGTTCATCAGGGAGACCAGTATATGCACAAGTCTTACAACTTAGAAAGTTCCAAGCAATATAGAAATACTGCCACGGAAAGTTGCAGAACTGTGTTGTCCAAAATACTCACACATTTTGGCAAGCAGTAATAAGAATTAAAGTTTAGTTAGTTAAAACCTAATGAAAGGGTATGGCATGATGGCCAGTGGCTAAACCCTCGCCTCACATGTACCAGGATTCCATGTGGGCACCGGTTCCCATCCCAGCTGTTCTACTTCCCATCCAGCTCCCTGGTTGTGGCCTGGGAAAGCAATAGAGGATGACCCAAAGCCTGGGGACCCTGCACCCGCGTGGGAGAGCTGCAAGAAGCTCCTGGCTGCTGGCTTCAAATCAGCTCAGCTCCAGCCTTTGCAGCCACTTAGGAAGTAAACCAGCGGATGGAAGATCTTTTTGTCTCCTCTCAATAAAAGCAAATAAATCTTTAAAAAAAAATGATGAAAATTCCCTGACATTAACTTAAGGTTTAAAAAAAAATAGCTTACCTTTTGGTAGTTTACCTCCAAGCACAGTAAATTTTTGTGGATTTTTCAAGAATTCAACAACTTCCTGTAACTCCTGTTTAGCTTCCTCCACCTATGGTGACATGATTGATGAAATAATTTTAAATTATATTTAATCTTGTTAGATTATCAAGGATTCCTCTATGAAAGCCATAATTGGGAAGAGAAAAAAAAAGGAAAACCGAAATTGAATCTGTACACTAGCTTTGCCTTCTCTTTATTTCAGCAAAAAAAGTGCCCATAGTGGCTAAAGTCCTTGCCTTGCACATGTCGGGATCCTATATGGGCAGTTTCGTGTCCCAGCTACTCCACTTCCCATCCACATCCCTGCTTGTGACCACATCCCTGCTTGTGACCACATCCCTGCTTGTGACCTGGGAAAGCAGCAGAAGCAGCCCCAAGTATTTGTGATCCCGCACCGGTGTGGGAGACCCAAAGGAAGAAGCTCTGGTTCCTGGCATCAGATCTCTTCAGCTCTGGCCTTTGAGGCCAAATTGGATACAATGTCAACTCCAGATTATAGGAATAAAGAAAAGACATTAAAAATCCCTCCCCAAGTGTTTTGGCAAGAGAACTCCCAGTTGAGGATACTGCAGAATACATCTAATTGCACAACCTGAGTCTATGTTTTTAGAATCCATATTTGAGAGGAGATTAAACAGACATCAATAGGACAAAACACTCCTGCTGACTGATCCCAAAGTCCCATGCTCTCACTGCTACACAGTTCCCTAACTTCCCCACAGAGCACTCCTCCTCCTGGTCCATTCACATCCTCTCCACAATCAAACAACAGCCCCGGTCCCAGTCTCCCAGTTTACTAGCATTTTACTTGATTCCTTGTTACACGATGAATTTTCTGAGCTACCCTTTCAAAGTTTCAGAACCGTTTATAATTACCTATTCCATCTCCTTTGATGTATCCTACTGAATTCAGTACACTCCACTGAACCTCTTCTTTGGTTTCCCCATTAAAATCAAACGGCCAGTGTCACTTGACCCAGTAACAGCACTGCACCAAACGGCTTACTCTAGGTTTTGCAGTATTTCCTTCCAGGACAAAGCCCTCCTCTATCTCACCATAAGCTCTCTCCATGGTCCGTTCTGGTTCCTCTTTACCCTGTCAACTGTGTACTTTGGCCTCTTCTATTTTCGGTCACATCAATTCCTTTGGTCTTCTCATCCAAACACATAGACTTAACAAACGGAAAATGGGACCCTCTTAACCTCTTAATTCTAGTTCTTATCTCTCCCATAACTTTAAAATGGTATATCCAAAAGTCTACTCAGTATTTTCATCTGCATATCCTAAAACTCACAACCCAAACTGAAATTTTCATTTGTCTCTGAAATTTTCTGTACTCCTAGCTTTTTATTTTAAATCTCAGAAATAAGCTCCCTTCTTCATTTTGACCAGGCTCAAAATCTTGTGGTCGGTCATTTTTACTCTTCTTTCTCTCACACATTATATTTTACTCAGAAAACCTTGCTGGCTCTACCTTCAAAACAGATAACTAGAACCTAACTGTATTTTACCAACTCCTCTGCAACAATGCCAAGCTAAGCTTCTTCCCTTCTTGGCTGCTCTGCTATAACAGTCTTTATCTACCATTGTCCCTCAAGATTTTCTCAACACAGCAATCAGATTGGTGTCATTAAAATCTAGGTTACATCCTTCCATTCCTGCTGATAATCCTGCAATGGTCCCTACTTGCAGAGTCCAGTCAGTCAGTCAGTCTTTATAATGGCTTAGAAGATGGTATGTAACCTGGTAATCAAACTCAGAGCTCCTCTCCTAGTAATTTTACTATGATCACAGCCTGCACACATTGAAGATGAAATGCTACAATGGTATCTTCTTAATCTTGCTCTTTTTACCCCTCCACATTTTTATTACTTTTTAACATTCTTTTTTTCTGATACTGTAACAAAATTTAATACCTGCTTTTAGAATATAACTCCACAAAAAAAATAGAAAATTACTTTTACAGCCGCAGGATTTCTACATATCATCAAGTATTTGTTAAGTAAGTATAAATCTGAACATCTCCAATGGACTCATTCAAGAAATACATACTGTTTAATATGTTCCAGATACTAGAGTTACAAAGTTCAATAAGAGGAATAAGATCAAGTAGGACCAACAACTGATTATCCATTATATGCCAAGCACACTGAGTATCTGTCAAGAGTTTAATGTCAATTGTTCAAAGTCACTTAGACAGAAAGAACAAAGAATATTTGAAACCTTAGTCTAGTTGGTTGATTCTGAAGTTCATGTTCATTCCATTATAGTACACTGCTCTTCAAGACAACACTATACTACTTTATGAAATAGGATTCGATTTTCTACAGCTATTATTTACTCCAGAATATAAGGTTTCTCATACTTTTGGATGTTATGACAAAATTCCAGAATAACCTTTAAACTGAAAATGCTGACTTCCTATAAAATACCAATTAGATAATGTATTAAGAAGGAAATCTTCACTTACCCCTTTAACATGTTCAAAGGTGACATTTTTCATCTGGACAGGATCTACTGCAGAATCAAGTCCAGTTGTTGTTCGGAAGCGGACTAAAGGAAAGAAAACAAATGGTCACAACTTAGAGATGAATCGAAGCCTAATGACTGTACTTTTCAGATGTAAAACGAAATAACCTAGTAAGAGATCTAAGTTCACATACATTTATTCAGAGTGAAAAGTAGCCACTACATCTTGCTATGGTCAAAGAGTTATCCAAAAGTATCAGCTCACATTAAGATACAACTATACTTTCTTTAGTTAAAACTAAGAATTGTATGACTCTTTTTGTAAGATCTATTCTTATAAGCTCTAAAGATATAAATTTTAATAATGTTTCTCAAACTTCACTTTTTAAACAAAGATTTATTTATTTTTTGGAAAGTCAGATACACAGAGAGGAGAAGAGACAGAGAGGAAGATCTTCCATCTGATGATTCACTCCCCAAGTGACTGCAACGGTCGATGCTATGCCGATCCGAAGCCAGGATCCAGGAACTTTCTCCGGGCATCCCACACGGGTGCAGGGTCCCAAGGTTTTGGGCCGTCCTCGACTGCTTTCCCAGGCCACAAGCAGGGAGCTGGATGGGAAGTGGGGCTGCTGGGATTAGAACCGGTGCCCATATGGGATCCCAGTGCGTGCAAGGTGATGACTTTAGCCACTAGGCCACGCCACCAGGCCCTCAAATTTCACTTTTTTTTTTTAAAGATTTATTTTTATTATTTTTTCATTGGAAAGGCGGATATACAGAGAGGAGAGACAGAGAGGAAGATCTTCCGTCCGATGATTCACTCCCCAAGTGAGCGCAACGGGCCGATACTATGCTGATCCAAAGCCAGGAGCCTCTTCCAGGTCTCCCACGCGGGTGCAGGGTCCCAAAGCTTTGGGCCGTCCTCGACTGCTTTCCCAGGCCACAGGCAGGGAGCTGGAAGGGAAGCGGGGCTGCCGGGATTAGAACCGGCGCCCATATGGGATCCCGGGCGTGCAAGGCGAGGACCTTAACCACTTGCGCCACCGCACCGGGCCCAAACTTCACTTTTTAAAAATACTTTTTAAAATACTTAAAAGCGTGCTGAAATATAGGTCTTTAGCTCAATGGCACAGGGACCCAAAATAATTGCCATTCCTTTAAAAATATTTATTTCCTTATTTATTAGAAAAGCAGAATAATAGACACAGAGAGAAAGCAATCTTTCATCTACAAGCTCACTCAACAGGACGAGGAACTGAGAACTCAATACTGGTCTCCCATGTGGAAGCCGGGGACACAGCCACTGGCACCTTCACCTGCTGCCTCCTGGGGACACAGCCGTAGGAAGCTGCACCAGGAGAACTACAACTGAGACTCAGTTACTTTGACATGCCATGCAGGTCTGCCACCTGGTACAATAAATGCTATTCCAAACATATTACATGAGTAGGAAAACAATACAGGGCTAAGAAGAAATGCTTCACAAGTCAAAAATATAATCCAGTTAACAGAGGAAAATTTTTAAAAATTGAAGACTGGCCAATTAGCTTTAGTCTAATAAAGCATTTTTAAAGTATTTATACAGATGCTTAACTATATGAAGAATACAGAACACAGGCTAAAAGCAAAATGGTAGTTAAAAAAAATTGAGATCATTTAAACCTAATGATAATATTTCCTGTTATACCAGCAAATTGAAAAAGGTGACTTATTTAAAGCAACTTTAATAGAAAAATTCAAATGAGTAAGCTATCTTCAAAACAGAATGTTTTCACTTGGCACTTCTATTACAAAGCTATAATTTTTTACTTTTATAATGGGATAGGTATCACTTTATGAAACTCTGGTGAAGAAACTACTATTAGGAATCAAAGATCCAAACAGTAAAACCATAAACATTGGTGTTCTCTTGCGGTACATTTCAGACTAAACATGAAAAGGAAAATGCATATTTGAAGAAGTAAATGAACAAAGCCGAGGGCAGGCCTTGGCCCTAGCAGTGAAGATGCCCACCGGGATGCCCATGCCAGTCCCCGAGGGTCTGGGTTGATTCCCCTGGGGACAACAACTGACTGAAAGCTGATGCCAGCTTCCTTTGGTTCAAGCGAGTGAATCAGTGCAGTGTGAGAGTTCCCCTGCTGCCCCTTTCCTCTCTTGCAAATAAAAGAAACAACCAACTAAACAAAAATAAATAAAGGATGTTAATAAGTCTGAAAAATCAAAAAAGAGCCTTTACCAGATAAAAATGGATTTTTCAACAGTCCATAAATGCCAAACAGCAGCAGAACAAACAGAATCAAGCGAGTTCGCCTAAGGGAATCTGGAAGGGAAAGAAATAAATGTAAGTCAAATGACACTGCCATGTGCAGCTCAATGAAATGCACACATTACATTACTGATGTTAATTCTATTCCTTTGCAGGTAATGCAATCAGGCATTCTTTTGTACAGTAGCTTTAATATCCTGCCAGCAAACTGCTTCATGAGCCAAACAGGTTCTTCTTGGAGGGAAAAAACTGCCAGTAATACTTCCATTTCCATATAGCTTAAATTACATTCAATGGGAAATCAGATTTTAGAAGGATTTCTTGTAATAAGTTAACTATAGGCCTGTGGCTGTCCAGGTACTCTTTCCACATACGGGCAGTGTCCAACACACTTACCATTGGTTTTCTGGGTCAGCGCCTGAGCTTTCAGAAAACCCTCTGCAAAACCAGTCTTAAATGCATCCTGGTGAGCTTCTGGGATGTTTTTGGTTTTCATGAGTTTGTCCAAACTCTCAACATCTGATCCCCTGTCCCGCAAAAGAAACCCCTAAACACACAAACAACACATGATTATTGGGTGACATGAATTCACACTCTACGCTCCACAAAAACGTTTTGATCTCTCAAACACACAAAATTCCTCTGGAAGTCTAGAATTAAATCTTCACGGTCAAAATGAACAGATTAACATTCAATCAGTAATTGTGAAATTTACATTAGGTCCTATTCATGCCAACAATTAAATCATAGTACAAAGAAAATTTTGTTATTCTGTAAGAAAACCACAGTATAATCAACACAATTCATAGGCTACATGCTACCTTAGGGATCTAACAGCCTGGGGTTCACATACCTTCACCTTTGGTATGGGAAAAACTATTATTTTGTTAAGTATTCACAAGTACATTTCATCTACTAGGTCATGTGTCAACGTTGAAGATGTAAAGATAAACAAACTCCTCCGAAAGTTTTCAATCTACAGGGTAAAGATATTTAAACAGCTGTTTCTGAAATCATCTTGATGTTATATTAGAAGTAGTAGGAATGATGCTGGTGCAGTAGCCTAGAGGCTAAAGTCCTCGCCTTACACCTGCTGAGATCACATAGGGGGTGCCAGTTTATGTCCTGGCAACCCCACTTCCCATCCAGCTCCCTGCTTGTGGCCTGGGAAGCAATCAAGAATGGCCCAAAGCCTTGGGACCCTGTACCCATGTGGGAGACCCGAAAGAAGCTCCTGCATCCTGGCTTCGGATTGGTGCAGTACCAGCCGTTGCGGCCACTTGCGGAGTGAATCATCAGATGGAAGATCTTGCTCTGTCTCTCCTCCTCTCTGTACATCTGACTTTCCAATGAAAGTAAAATAAATCTTAAAAAAAAAAAATAGTAGTAGGAATGGTAATAAGGTCATATAGAGAATGGGACATCTAAATCACACAGGAAACAATCTGAAAGAGGTAGAATCCAGCCTTGGACACTCAACAACTACAAGCAACCTCACGTGACAAGATGGAAACTCAAGAGGACAGAGGGAAAGTAAATGGCATATGAAAAGACGAGGACAGAAAAACAGCTGGTAGGGTCTAAATGATGAAAAACTGAGTTATCATTGAACTTCATACTAAAATAGAAAAATACACCTACACCATCATTTTAAAAATACCCATATGTGACAGACTGGAAGGAATACTGGAGGCAGCAAGCTGGGAGGCCAGGAGACTAATTGAATATGTATTAGAGTGATCTAGGCAAGAAACAGTTAACGTCTGTCTTATGACAGTGGAATCGGTGATTAGGAGTAAAAGAGCTTTAATATTGGGGAGGCTGGATAAACAACCTCAGGGACTAATGGAGCAATTTAGGCACATCCTCAGTTCTGCAGCTTGAGTAAATGCTGCTCATTGGTATAGGAGACACATAAGAAAGTAGAGATCAGGCTGGTGCTTTGGCTAAAGAGGCTAATCCTCCACCTCCAAGCGGTGCTGGAATCCCATTTGGGTGCCAGTTTGTGTCCTGGCTGCTTCATTTCTCATTCAACTCTCTGCTTACAGCCTAGGAATGCAGGGGAGGATGGCCCAAGCCTCCATAGGGGGTGACCCAGAGAAGCTCCTGGCTTTGGATGGAATCAGCTCTAGCCTTTTCAGCCATTTGGGGAGTGAACCAGCAGGTAGATCTTCCTTTCTATCCTTTTCTCTATAAATCTGCCCTTCCAATAAAAAGAAGTAAATCTTTTTGACATCAACAACAACAAAAGGCAGAGATTGGTAGAAAACACTCTGAGGGAGCTGTCTCCTCAGCAAGACAAGTTGTCTCCTCTTCAAGGCAAGCATAGTACCTAGAGAGAGCAAGCACAAACTTCCAAGTTACTGCTTTCTGGAACGGGAAACAAAGGTCCAATTACCTTTACGAAGGAAGGTGCGATATTCTGTGTTTCAGCTAATCTTTCAGAGGTGGACTGTAGCCGTCGTGTTCTTGATTTCAAAGTTTTAAAACCCCGAGACTGTATAAAAACTAAATAAAACAGCACCATTTACTATATAAAGATGCCAAAGAATCTGAAAGCCTGAAACTATGATTACAAACTGGACTCTAGTTTTTTACATTCCAACTAAGTTGGAAAACAGGACAGCAACTCTAGTAAATCACAACTTTCCCAAAAATAAATCTGTTATTTAAATTTGTATAATTACCTTTCTATATTCATAGTAATCAAAAACCATTTTTTAAAACAGGGCAGCAAATCAAAACGTCTCCTAATTCCCCCAGTTGATCCCACTTTCCAGAAGCAACCAGTCAACAACTCCAAGACTATCTTGGTACACACATACACTTTTTATAAAAACTATCCTAATTGTGTAAATTTTTATAATTGTTTCCTTTTCATTTAACAAAATTCCAAGTGTAATTTTCAAATCAGAACAGAGAATGCACTCATAGTTTAATGTGTTTATATACAGTTTTCCAATTTATCAGAGTACAACTTATTAAACTTTCTTCCTACTATGGACATTTCCTGGTTGTCACTGATGACTATTGCAGCAAACATTCCACACATATATCTTTCAACAGCCAAATACCAAAAAGTGAGTCCTTGTGCTTTAAATTCTGACAGTAAGAAACAGCTTTCTAAGAAAGCTGTTAATAACCATGTGCTCTTGGGCCCAGCGGCGTGGCCTAGCAGCTGAAGTCCTCGCCTTGAATGCGCCGGGATTCCATATGGGCACCGGTTCTAATCCCAGCAGCTCCCCTTCCCATCCAGCTCCCTGCTTGTGGCCTGGGAAAGCAGTTGAGGACAGCCCAAAGCCTTGGGACCTTGCACCCGCGTGGGAGACCTAGAAGAAGTTCCTGGCACATGGCTCCGGATCGGCATAGCTCCGGCTATTGCGCTCACTTGGGGAGTGAATCATCGGACAGAAGATCTTCCTCTCTGCCTCTCCTCCTCTCTGTATATCTGACTTTCCAATAAATAAATAAATCTCTTTTAAAAAAAAATAACCATGTGCTCTCGATCTGGCGCAGTAGCCTAGTGGCTAAATCCTTGCCTTGCATGCGCCAGGTCCTATATGGAAGCCAGTTAGTATCCCAGATGCTCCATTTCCCTTCCAGCTCCCTGCTTGTGTCCTGGGAAAACAATAGAGGATGGCCCCAAGCCTTGGGACTCTGTACCAGCATGGGAAACCTGGAAGAACTTCCTGGCTCCTAGCCAGCTCAGCTCTAGCTGTTGCAGCCACTTGGGGAGTGAGCCAGCGGACAAAAGATTTTACTATCTGTCTCTCCATTTCACTGAAAATCTTTCCAATAAAAATTAAAATAAATAAAATAGTTTTAAAAATAACTATGTGCTGCTCAATGAGGACAGCTCCTCTATACTCCTAGCGAATGGAATAACATGATCATTTACTTTTGCCAATATCAAAGAAAAAGCACTTATTTTAATTTGGCATTCCCTGGAGTACAAAGGAGGAATATTTTGGAAAGAATTCATTTTATTCATTATCTAATTTCTTAAGTGACTGAACACCATTCACATCCCTCACACATTTTCCTAATATTTTATCTGCAGAACATGGATGTTATGGATAGGAATATAAATATATATAAAATGTACATATGTATCTCACACATCTACTTAAATATGCTTTTGTCCTTCAATTATGTGATACAGTAACTTACAGTAGCCAGACCCTTTAACTTACAATACTTTCCATATTTTATTTTGATGGGATTCTATTCTCAAACTAAGACTTTAAAGGTATTTGTTTTCAGCTCTTTAAAGTATCTGGAGGCTGAGCACTGTGGCATTGTGCATTAAGCCACCACCTATAACACTAGCATCCCATATGAGCTCCATTTCACGTCTTGATTGTTCCACTTGCAATGCAGATCAACAACCCAAGTTCTTCGGTCCCTGCTCCCCACAGGACAAACCTGGATGGAGTTCCAGGATCCAGGTTAAGCCTGGATCCAGATATTAGGGTCATTTGGGAAATGAACCAGCAAATGAAAGATTCTTCTGTATCGCTCCCTCTTTCTGTAACTCTGGCATTCAAATTACTATGTAAATCTTAATAAAAGCTTATCATATTAAAACATCAAAATATATATTTTTGCAATATGAATGGGAAAAGTATCACAAATAACTATAAGTCTATACAACTTACACTGGTCCTGTCATACATCAACAAAGAATTTGAATTCAGTGAGGAATATTAGGCTAACTGGCTATTATTCATTTTGGAAAAAGGGAATCAAATTCTTACATTATACCAAATGTAAGTTTCAAACACTCCAGTTTATATATATGTAAATTTACTTATTTTTATTGGAATTTGCAGAGACAGGAGCTTTTTCTGGGTCTCCCACAATGATGTAGTGTCCCAAAGCTTTGTGCCATCCTCTACTGCCTTTCCAGGACACAAGCAGGAAGCTGGATGGGAAGTGGAGCAGCCAGGATACGAACCGGAGCACATATGGGATCTTTTGCAAGGCAAAGACTTCAGCCACTAAGCTACCGCACCTGGCCTTAGTTTTATATTTTTATTACGGATTTTATTTAGGATTTCAGTACTTATAACACAAGTGAAATGAATCTCAAAGTTTTCTCTTTTAAGTATCCTACAGTTTCCAGAACACACTTCAAAGTTTTTATTCCAAATACCCTTTAAGTTCTGTAGTGAACAGCAAACAAACGCTTGTTAAGACAAGTTTTACGATAAGAATTACAGTTGGGTTTTTTTTCATTTTTTTTTTCCCCCAAAAAAGTTATTGCCTCATACCTGGCCAGTACTGAAGGTCTGAACAAAGGCTTCGAACAGTTCTTGGATGATGTCTGTATAAGCTTGAGGAACGTAGAGCACTAAACATATCTAAGTGACCTGGAAAGGAATGGCAAAAATATAAATCTCCTAGTTGCCAAACCAAAACCACCAAAGTCATGTAAAACACAAATCACTTTATCTAATATTAGGAAAATAATGAGTTTCACCTTTTATTTGTCCATTCATACAACCTCACTTTTATGAACATCTAATGTATTGGTAATTACTTTAATCTCATAGCTCTTCAGTTTATTGTCTACAATTCATTGGTTAGAGTATATTTTTTTATTTAGTACATAAATAAGTATAGCAGCCAATAGAACAAATTCAAACCAGCAAAGGATTAAATCAGGCTAAAATTAATTAACAGTAATAAAAGAAATAAAGTGATATTTCTTAGACACAACTTCAAAAGCTCTAATGTACCCGTACCCCAGTGATTCCTCCTAGCTCTTCTTCTTGACTAAAGTATCCCATGCTACTTTCCTTTTTTTTTTTTTTTAAAGATTCATTTATTTTTATTGGAAAGGCAGATTTACAAAGAAGAGAGACAGACAGATCTTCCATCCACTAATTTACCCCGCACCTGCCCTTAAGTGGCTGCAACGACTGAAGAAGAGGTAATCCGAAGCCAGGAGCCAGGAGCCTCTTTTGGGTCTCCTGCACAGGTACAGAGTCCTAAGGATTTGGGCCACCCTTGACTGGCTTCCCAGGCTTTGTGCAGGGAGCTAGAGAGGAAGTGGAGCATCCAGGGCACAAATCAGTGCACACATGGCATCCTGGCGCATACAAGATGAAGATTTCAGCCACTAGGTCACTGCACTGGGCCCCCCATGCTGCTTTCTCTCCAGGATCCCACAAATTAAATTGTGTAGAGGGCAGCAGTGCCTATAGAAACAAAAGGTTATCATCTCTCACTGTTAATTGTACTCTAAGCATTCTTGAATGAAACCCTAGTGTCGAGAAATGCCTTCCTTATACCAAACCAGACACGAAAGCTGGCAACCTGATGAACAAGCTTAAAGTAAACAAGTAAATATGCGCATCAGAAGAGTAGTAGGAATAATAATCATTGTAACAGACGTTTTCCTTCATGAATATTTCTTATGCTATTTAGGAGGAGACAGAAAACAGAAGCAAACCATCACTCTTAGCAAAGTTCAAACATGCTTATTTTCTCACCTTGCATTCTTTATGTTTGTATTGAAGACAACAGAAGAACAGAAAGTAGTAAATGAATTAAAGTTATGCAAATTCAGTTTTAAATCAGATCTTTCAATAAAACTATTTAAAACTATGCTTTTGTTCCTGGAATTTTATCACTGGTACCGAAATAAACCATCTGTTCCTGGGCATGAATGCTCAGCCCTATCTGGGACATCCTTTCCTCACATCAGAGTGCCTGGGTTCTGTCCTCTGCTTCAGTCTGACCTGCTTTCCTGCCAGTGGCAACCCTGGGAGTTGACGATGATGGCTCACAGAACTGGACTTCTGGCCCTCTGTCCCCAGCCCACCACCAGAATATCCTTGTTCTTGTTCTGAGTAGGGTGCAGGTCAGCCAGTGTAGAGCACAAAAGCAGACGGGAACTGTCTGTCTCTCCATCTTTTAAAGTTAAAACAAAACAAAACAAAAAAAAAAAAAAACAAAAAAAAAACAGTCTTACACTGACATAAAACAAGCATTTGGATATTTTCCCTAAGACTTGACTAATAAAAGAACACTTAAGAAACTGACATCTCTTTCAAAACAATGCAATGTAAGCCAACTTACTATAATATCAGAATGTCAGAAGACTCAAATAAGAAAATATGTTGAAGAGGTAAATGACATGTGCAAATTAGCTGTTGACTGCCATACTTGCATCCGCAGCACATTGCCTTGCATCCAACCCAACCTCTGCTTCTGATACACCTTCCTGCTATTGCAATGGGAGGCAGCAGACAATGGCTCAAGAACTTGGATTCTCCTGGCACAGTAGCCTAGCAGCTAAAGCCCTCACCTTGAATGCACCAGGATCCCATATGAGCGCCAGTTCTAGCTCCAGCAGCTCCACTTCCCATCCAGCTCCCTGCTTGTGGCCTGGGAAAGCAGTCGAGGACGGGCAAAGCCTTGGAACCCTTCACCCACGTGGGAGATCCAAAAGAGGCTCCTAGTTCCTGGCTTTGGATTGGCACAGCTCTAGCTGTTGTGGCCACTTGGGGAATGAATCATTGGATGAAAATCTTCCTCTCTGTCTCTCCTCCTCTCTGTATATTTTATTTCCAATAAAAATAAAATAAACCTTAAAAAATAAATAAATAAAAGAACTTGGGTTCTGACACCACATAAAACATTCAGAAGGAACTACAGGTTCATGGCTTTGGCCTAGCCCACTCCAGTTGTTGTGGGCATTTGGGGAACGAATCTGCAGACAGGACACCTGTCTCTCCTCCTACTCTGTCATTCTGCCTTTAAAATAAATAAATATTTGAGGGGAAAAAAACGTCAACATTCCATAAAAGGTCATCAAAGTATTCTCAGAGGTTAGGATATTACAACCTGTAATCCAACAAATATGTGTCACCTAAAAATTAAACTAGTAACAACAAAACAACAAAATTTTTTCTAAATCCAATAGGGTACACTGAATTAGATTGTGGAACCAGGATAAGGTACATTAGAAGCAGTACTAGTGACTTGGTAAACCAAATTCTTGAAATCCTCTAGTTAAGGCGCGGGCCTTGGGGTTGAGGGCGGCTGCAGCTCCCTGCAGTGTGGCAGTTGTGGGGGGGGTGCCCCTGGCGGCAGTGAACCAGTCTTTGGCTTTCTCCAGGACCAAGAGAGATCTTCACTCAGGGTAAGTGCACCATGAGGGAAACTTGGGAACTGGATTAAAGTCCTAGCTCAGCCCTGCTGCTAACATCTTGTGGCAGGATGAGTTTGGGAGGGGTTTGGGCCTCGGGGTTGGGGGCAGCTGCGCCATTGCCGGAAGGCAGGGACCAAGTCCTTGGCTTTTGGGTGGCCAGTGCACTAAATGTTGCCAAGTTCTGCCTGCTAGCCACCCAGCGGTCAACTCTGGGGTTTTTAGGATATGAAATTGCTGCTTAGGGACACCCATGAATAAGGCCAGCTTTAGTGTACAAAAGAGATAAATTCTGGGCGATTCCCAGTGACAGGGTCATGAAACTTTTGGCCAAGCGTGGGGGCTGAAACCTGATGGTTTGGAGGGGAGTATCCATAAGATCTATTTGGGTCAGACTGATTCACCAGCCCAATTAGCAATCCTGAGATGGGCTGTTAGCATAGAGCATCACTGACTGCCACACACCAGTCCACACCAAAGCTATGGATGGGGGCCTATCTGGCAGGGCTAGGTACCATTGCTTGACTGGGTAGTGGAATAGTAGACTGGTCACATTTGGCAGGGTCAAGACACTAACCAGCACGTGAGAGAACTTGGTCCGGGGGCAAACACTTTGGGGGAAGTGTGGGTGGGCCCAACCCTGTGAAAATACAAGTCCCTCAGGTCAGCTCACAAGCTGGGGTGCGAAAGGCTAAGCTAGGAGCGACCATGGCACCTGCCATCACTTACAGGCAAAGGAACCCACAATAATCTGGGCAAGTCAAGGCAGCAGGATGTGGGGTGGGCCAAGCTGCAACTAGAAGGAGACAGACCGGGCAGAGCCAAGCAAACCTCAACTCACAAAAAAGAATAGAAATCAGGATGAAACACAAGTCATTCCAACCTAGGCTCTCACATCAACTGCTATGCATGAGGCAGGGATACTATGCCACAGCATCGAAGTCAAAGGCTGAGACAGGTGAGGGGCTAAGCCAAGTGGGTCAGAGAACCCACTGGCACGCACGTAATCTAAGGCTGGGAATAGACTCGGTTGGGGAGCTGTGAGAGTACACTCTTGATGGGTTGGGATTCCCATGGGAGGGTGCGGGGCTGGAGCGGGGGCTGCATTCTGGTCTGGACATGGCTGCAATCTCCCTAGGCATAAGTGTGGACTGAGGCTGGATGCACCAAGCTGAGCTAGATGCCAGCACCATCTGGCACTCTGGAGAACCTGGGTAGATGTAGGATGGACTAGGCTGGGTCTGAATGAGGAGCTTGGCAAACTCCTCTATTGGAATGCAGCCCCTACAGGTGAGCTTAAGAACTACGATAAGGAGCAACCCAGACCAGGCGAGAAGATACCCACCATCATACATATGGCAAAGGTGGGGGGCAGACCAGGCTGAACCTGTTCACATCAACTGCCGGTGAATCCAAGCACCAGCATAGAGTGTGGGTCAGGCCAGTTTCGGTCGCAACACATACCAGTGCATATTAAGGAATGCCAAGGTGAGGCGATCCGTACCTAATGTGGTTGCAGCACCCAAACAGCACACATGAGAACCGGGGGTGGGGAGGAGGCAAAGCCGGCAGGGGGAATGTGGGCTCCCCTGCTGGACAACCACCCCCACGGGAGAGCATGAATTGGGATGGGGGCAGACCAGACCAGAGTAAGCAGGGCTACAACACCTGTGGGCCTCATGTGAGCTAGAACAGAAAAGGGCCAGATTAGGCTGACTGTTCCAACTGGAGCAAGCAAAATTCAGAGTAGGTGAGGGTTGGTTGGGCTTTGCCACAGCATCAGATGGCAGAGGCTGGCACTGGGGGCCAATTCTATTAAGTTAAATGTCAGAACCACCTATGGAGTGCATAACCTGGGAGTGCCCTAGTAGGGAGATAGTGGGCACCACCCTCGTGGGTAACCACTCACACTGGAGAGCATGAAAACCAGGACAGCGGCAGGGGTGACTAGACAGAAAGGCACCCGCCAGTATGTGTGTGGGCTGGATAGTAGGTTGGTTGGGTTGAACTAGGCTTCAATGCCCATTGACATGTACCAAAGCTAAATGGGATGTGGGACAGACTGAACAAGCCTGCGGTACATACTGGCATGCATGGGAACCAGGATAGGGAGCAGGCTTGGTGGGGGTTATGGGGAGTCACCCCAACTAGGCTGCAGCTCCCACTGGTTTGCGTGAGAACCGAGTATGAAGTGGGTAGGATCAAGCTGGACTACAACACCCATTGGTTCGCGTGGATGACAGGACTGGAAACAGAACTGACCCAGCAATTGCAATGACCAGCATGTGCACAAGCTGATTGGGGCGACAGACGGTGCCGGACTCTGTACTGGCAAACTCACACAAGAATCAGGTTTGGGATCATCTCAGATGAAGTTTCTTTGGAGATCCCTCCAACTGAACTGCTGATCTCAGAACGCCAACCAGGAAGAGACTATATCAGCCAGTGGATTCTGAATAGGTTTCATCGCGATTGGAACGGCGAGATTGGCAGCAATTCAGACCTGTTGAACTATCAAAACTGCTTGAGCAGGACCCTCGGAGCGTGCCTCACATCGGGGACCTGGGATGGATGGGAGGCTGGGTGGGGCTTTTCCCTTTATTTCTCTCCTACCCCAGATTCAGGGAAAAATTATATTAGTGCGGAAACAATGGTATTACCCACTTTTCTGTAGCCCTTGACCCTTTATGCCCTAATCATCTAAGTCAGATTATTTAAAAAAAAAGAAAAGAAATCCTCTAGTTACAAATATCAGTTCAATGCTAACTTCCTAATTTTATCAAACACATCATTCTTTGTAAGATGTCAAGACTAGGAAAGATCATGGTCATATCAAAATTCTCTACCACCTTTGTGATTTTTCTGCAAACTTCTTACTATTACCAATCTCGTAAAAATAATGAAAACAAAAAATACATGCCAGGAATAAACTGGGTTCACAGGATATTCTAGTAAATTATATTTATTATAATAATTATTAACTGCACTAAAATTGCTTATTTTATTTGGAACTGAAAATATGCAACATACCATATTTATTTTCAAAGAAGGACTGTGCAGAAACATGAGACGTATGCCAATGGGAAGAAATGCTTTTGCCTTTGCAAAATCCAGGAAGGAGATTTTCTATCAGTTGATCAATCTGTCCAATTTTTAATTCAGATAGTCCAAGATCCCTTAAATTAAGTGTGGGCTGTAAAAGATTAAGTCAATCAAATAAGTATTAACATTAACAAGGAACAATACAGATTTTAAAAAATTTATTTATTTGAAAGGCAGAAAAGAGATTGAAAATTTAACTTTTTAGAAAGATTTATTTATATCTATTGGGCAAATTTACAGACAGGAGAGACAGAAAGATCTTCCATCCTCTGGTCCACTACAAAAGTGATCACAATGGCCAGAACTAATGAGCTGGAGCCAGGAGTCAGGAGCTTCGAGGTCCCATGACAATGCAGGGTCCCAAGGCTTTGGACCAGACTGCCTTCCCAGGCCATAATCAGAGCTGAACGGAAAGTGGAGCAGTCAGGACATAAACCATATGGGATCCTGGCGCTTGCAAGAGGAAGATTAGCTAACTGAGCCATTGTGCCAGGCGAGAAATAACAAAACTTACTAATCTACATATCTGGGCATAATACCATGCTGGACATGATGAAATAAATCACTTAAAATTGTTTAAATTATTAAAAATGAAGGAGGAAGGCCTAGGGAGAGGGATAAAGAAAAAAATCATCCAAGGCCTAGTACGTGTCCAAAAAGCTTATCTTAAAGCTTTATTTGAACAGTAGAGTTACAGAGAGAAAGAAAGAGATCTTCCATTCATTGTTCTCTCCCCCAAAGAGCCACAACGGCTGGAGCTGGGCTGGTCTGATGCCTGGATCTTCTTCCGGATCTCGCATGTGAGTGTAGAGGTCCAAGCACTTGGGGTATCCTCTACTGATTTCATAGGCATATTAGCAGGGAGACAGATGAGACATGGAACAGCCAGGACTTGAAAGTGCACCCATATGGGATGGCTGGCACTCACTACAGCACAGGGCGAGACCCCTCAAGCATTTAGTGAAGGAAAAAGGAGCCACTAAGCTTGGCCATGGGCAACCCATGGAGACAGCCTTGCTTGAATTTAAGTCTATATAGTTAGTTTTGCTTTACTTGTAGAAAATAGAATGGACAAGAAGACAGATGGAACAAGTGATGGATATTAAGAGTCAGAATTAAGCCCTAAGAATGACAGAAAGAGCAAATTACAGACAACACAGAAAACCAGTGGGTTTAGGAAAAGGTTCTGGAAAGTTAAGAGAATTATCCCCTTGTCTCATGGCTCCCTGTCAGCCTTTCTGCCAGTTTCACGAACATGGATCTGCATCACCTGCATCCTCACCCTCCGTCAGCTCACATGACGGGAAGGTCTCTCAGCAGAGGTCACTGGAGACACATGCACAAGGAAAGCGTTTCTGTTCCTGCCCTGCCCGGAGGGTCCTAGTTTGCAACATCTCTGGTTCCTGCAACAAGTGGCTCCTGCCACTCCTGCATTTGCTGCCTCCGCGGCCAACAATACCCAGCAATTTTCCCTTGGCACTGCTCTCGTAACAGTTTCTCTAGCAAGACCCATGTCCAAGGACAGCCTTCTCCAGTGCCTGAGAGGCTACAGGGGCCTGGTGCAACAACAGCTCCTCTCCCAGTTCTGCTAAGGCCCTGCTCCATGGCAAAGTCAGTTTGGGGGTGGAGCACCCTTCCCAACAATTCTATGTCAACCATGCAAGTATCAGCTGCTTCCTAAATATGCTGGTCTGGTAAGTTTTTTATGTCCTATTTGCCATTCTTTCACTTTTTCAGTTGTTTGTGAAAATAGAGATCTTAAAATACTTAGAAATCATGCAAATTTTTATAACAGATTTTCATTGCTCAAGTCATTATACAGTATCTTTCTCCTAGTTGTGCACAAACTGATCAAAAGGGACTAAGTCATTGGAATTTTAAGAAATAAAATTTGAGGCACTATCTCCATTTTAGGTACTTTAAATATGAGCCTACCCAGATATATTTCTAACTAATCTCTAGGCAAACTACTCAAAATTTAGAGTTTAAGGTTGGAAGTTAACAACATTTGTGTATATACAGACATTAACTGAAGATCAGAAAATGGGTAACAATGTGGAAGGATGTAAGAATGTAAAGTGGATCATAGGATAGGCAAACTATTTAAGAGGCTGGTAATTTTTAAAAGCCAACAGAAGAAAAAAAAAAACATGATCAATGTATAACCATCTATTCAAGGGAGTACTCTGAAAGCAGCTGACATTCTGCAAGGACAAAAGCAAATGGTAAGTTAAAGACACACATTTCCAAACAGGCCTGTGTTTAGCACTAAGGAAATCCTCGTCAACTTTAACAAAGTAAGTCCGTAAATCGGCAACAAAACTAGTAGCCAGACTACACCAGGATACAGCAAGGAGGAAAAAAAAAGTCCAGATCAGTCTTTGGAGAAGTCTGAAAGCAACATGCCTTGCATTTTGGAGTGGACTTTGGAAGAACAGGACAATGAAATCAAAGAGTCACCCTCTAGCAGAGGTAGTGACTACAGAGAGGTGAGGTGGATGCTTAAGGAGAATGACTGAGCTTTGTGACACAATAAAGATAGTTGTTAAAGGTTACTAAAAGGATTACTGAGGGTGTATAAGAGGTTACAAGCAGGAAATCTGCACTTGACACTGGCTTCTGGGGTTTATTTTGCCAAGCCCCTAAAATGCTCTTCATGGCTGACTCAGCAGCTTCACTTGATGAAACAGTCAAACATTCATCCACAGGACAGTAAACACCACGATGCAGCAATGCCCGCATCCTCTCATCTTTCAGAGCACCAGCTGGTGCCACAGCTCCTCTACTTCCAATCCAGCTTCCTGCTAAGGCACCTGGAAGCTGCAACGGCAGCAGAGACCCAGACAGATTTCTTGGCTCCTGATTTCAGCCTGACCAAAATGGTTTTTGCGGGCAGCTGGGGAGTGAAACAGCGGCTGGAAGATCTCTTTCTCTTACCTTCCTCATAAAAACATGAATAGCATTACCTTTGGAGAAAAGGATTACAGATGAATTTCGTTGCTTATATTAATCTTTTCTAAAATATCTAACTGCTGCACAGAACAATTCTGATACAGAACTTGTTTCTCCTAATTCTCAGTTCAGCTATCTCTGGTCACAGTTAGCCACAAACAAAATGAAGATGGGTGGGTATGGCATAATATTTTGAGAAAGAGAAACCACATCCATATAATCTTTATTACACATTACTACTATGACTATTGTATTTTATTACTAGTTGTTGTTAATGTCTTGCTTTTCCTAATTGATGAATTAAACCTTATGATATATGCGTATGTATAGGAAAAACAAGCTTTGTGTAGGTATAGGAAAAAAAAACTTGTAGGTTTTGCTGCGATTCATGATTTTTTGGAAATGCTAAGATTTAACCAACATGGAGAAAGGGAACTAGTACATGGCATATGCCTATAGCAAGACACAAAAGAAACTATGCAAAAAGTATCAATGTAAAGTAGAAGACAAGATTCATAGAATTACAGGTTGATCCTAAAAAGTGAACTCTTTAAAATCATGAACAAACTAAAGAAGCTTTTGGGAAACCTAATCACAGATATCAACATCTGCTCTACATAAAATGTATTCTGAGGCTATAAGAAATTATACTGTACTATTAAGGACTTTGTAAACCTGAAGACTTCAAGTTCATGATTCCCTGTATCCTTGGCATTAATGGCTTTACAATTGGACAAATATTGAAAGTGCAGCCACCTCACTTATCCATTTCACTTTCAAATCCCTATCACCTAACTGTCCAATTACTTTGAACACTGTTAAAGGCAGCAGACTGCTTCGTAGCAGTCTCTCTTCCTCCAGACTGAGACGTTAGTTATGGTCAGTTCCTGCAGGCTCACTACTACTGGCGGCATGCAAAAGAATGACTGCTATCACAAACACAATAACCCAGGAACTGCACATAAAACATAATAGCAGCTGAAGATTTCTAAAAACATTTTCAAAATGTGTCACATGTACAAGGAGAGTAAGAATTAGTTATCCTTTTTAAGCTACAGGCAGAAATCACCTCAGAACAAATGCCTACAGCAAATGTACTTCGTCAAAACCTTGAGTATCAAAAAGGCTTCTACAACCAGGGTGACCGCCATTACCTCACTGCTGGGCACGTCATGCTCAGGAACTGCATCCCGATGCTGGTTTTGAGAAACTGATACACCAACAGAGATAGATGCACTTTTTGGTGAATGGAAGGCATTGATGAGATGACTCAGAGGAACTGTAACCTAGAAAAAGATCAAAGTTAAAATTTATAATTTTAATTACAAGGTAGGGACACACAGAGACACAGACAGAGGCATAGCTAGAGCTCCAACCAGTTCGTTTATTCCCTAAATGCCTCAACAGCCAAGACTGGTCAAAACAAAGCAAGATGCCAGGAACTCAGTCCTGCTTTCCCATGTGAGTGGCACGGACCAACTACTTGAATTTCTATGGACTCCCTTGCAGGGTCCACATTAACAGGCATGTGGAATGGGGAAAGGACTCAGGACTGGAATCCAGGCAATTGCATGAAGGTGATCCAATCAGTGCTTTAACTACAGGGGAAGAAACACCCAAGATAAAATCAGGAACTACCCTGTTCTTGTCAGGATTTGGAAATCAGCTGAGGGCAAAATATGCACTGCATTGCAAAGCTGTATTAAATATTTTAAATACCCAAATTTACCACTGGTACATATTTTCATGGTATTACTGTAGTGACATGACTCCAAAGTAGAGGGGGTTAAGCTGTCCCTTAGGCTGTCCACACCTCATATCACTCTATCTAGTTTGAGTGCTCAGTCCTTGTCATCCATGTGGGAGACTGAGATTAAGCTTAAATTAGGTAGGGTTTTATTCGGGCATTAAAATACATCTTTCTGGATACCAGGAGTTTCTTCCGGGTCTTGCAGAGTCCCAAGGCTTTGGCCCATCCTCTATTGCTTTCCCAGGCCACAAGCAGGGAGCTGGAAGGGAAGTAGAGCAGCCAGAATATAAACCAGAACCCATACGGGATCCTGGCAGATTCAAGGTGAGGTATTTTGCCGGGCCACTCACAATCATTCTTGAAAATTACTGCATATCTGAAATTATACATTTCTCAATTACACCACTACCACCATCCTGGAGTTTCTGTTTCTGCTTTAAAATTTGCTTATTTGAAAGGCACAGCAACAGAGAAAGGGAAAGACAGAGAGGAAAAGATGTTTCCTCCTCAAATGGCTCCAACAGTCAGGGCTGGGACAGACTGAAGCCAAGAACCAGCAAGGCTATCAGTCCACACAGGGGTAGCAGGGGTCCAAGCTGGGCCATGTGCTGCTGCCCTCCCAGACACTGCCAGCGGGACTAGAAGCAGAGAACCAGTCCCCACCATCCTGTTCTAAGTCACCATCACCTACATGTGAACTTGAGTAATACTGTCCTACTGTTTCTACCCTGATCTGGCCGCAATCTACTGTCAGCACCGGATAACAGGGATCACACTAAATGTAAAGTAAATTCACTTCAGCCCATTGTGCAAAACCGGCTTCCCTTGTCATGTAAAAGCCAAAGTCCCAATACTGTAGCTTATAAAGACCCCCCTGCAAAAAGCCATCCCTATTGTGTTCTAGCTTGCTCACTCCCCTTCACTCTACTCCAGCCCCTCTACTTTCTCACCATTCCTGCAATACACTTGGCAGGCTCTTTACTATTTATGCCCACTTGCCCAATTGGCAATATAAGTTGCTTTGGATTTAATTATCAGCTCAACTCAGGAGTCCTTTCCCCAGCAACCCTAAAGTTGCAAAAACCCTCCCCTTGGGCACATCCCTATCAAATTACCCGAGTAGAATCACAGCAATGCTTTCCAACCAGTGTCCTGTGGCCTAGCACAGTAGTCTAGTGGCTAAAGTCCTCCCCTACCATGCACCTAGAGTATCATACCAGTACCAATTCATGTCCCAGCTGCTCCACTTCCCTTCCAGCTCCCTGTATGTAGCCTGGGAAAGCAGCAGAGGACAACCCAAAGTCTTGGGGCCTTGTATCTGCATGGGAAACCCAAAAGCCGCTCTTGGCTGCTGGCTTCGGTTCAGCTCAGTTCCAGCTGTTGCGGCCGCTGGAGTAAACCAGCACAGGGAAGAACTTTCTGTATATCTCCTTCTCTCTGTGTATCTGCCTTTCCAATAAGACAAAAAACAACAAGTTTTGTGCTAATACACATCCAAGGAGGGAGCAAGCGATGATTCAAGTACTTGGGTTCCAGGCACTAGGTGAGACCCAGATTAAGTTCCAATACCCTGACTTTGGATTGATCCAGCTGCAACTCCTTGGGGCTTGGGGAATTTAACAGCAGATGAAAGACCAATTTTTCTAAATCTCTCTTTCTCTTTTCCCCTTTCTAATATAGAAATAATTTATTTTAAATTTTTTAAAGATTTTTTTTATTGGAAAGTTAGATATACAGAGAAAGAGAAACAAACAGAAGAAGATTTTCCATCCCCTGGTTCACTCCCCAAGTGGCCACAACAGCCAGAGCTGAGCCAATCTGAAGCCAGCAGCCAGGAGTTTCTTCTGGGTCTCCGTAGCAGGTGCAGGGCCCCAAGGCCTTGGGCCATCCTTGACTGCTTTCCCAGGCCACAAGCAGGGAGCTGGACGGGAACTGGGTTGCTGGGACATGAGGCTAGGACTTTAGCCACTAGGCTACCATGGCTGACCCACATAGATATTTTTTTTTAAAGTACCAAAATATTTCTTATTCACATTTCCTGCTCTATTTTTTCTCAACATCTTTCACTAACACTGTACAGGTTTTCTTACTTAGAATTATTTATTATGTGACTCTCGTTAAGGTGGTTTCTGACACCAAATCATTCTGTCATAGTAGATGGGTATTCCACAGTTTGTTTCTGATACTAGCTCAGAGTTCACAAGCGCTTGGTCTTTCAAGACTGTCAGGCGGTCTTGAAGGCCATCCACACTTCTGACCCACTGGGTATGAACCTCAGAACCTCTCGCCAGGACAACTTTATGTTTGCCAGTCCATAGAGAGAGACGCAAACAGCCAGATCAAGAGGCTACACAGGGCAGGGTCCAGTAGGGGCTCTATCGCAGGAGTTTCCACCACCGGTGTAGACAGGGTGCGATCATCCCCTGCATGTGGAAACAGGCACCACCTTGTTCAGGAATTTACAATGCAGCCTGGTCTCCAGACGCCCCCTTCTCAGCCCTGCCCAAGAGTATGGCAAAATAATCTCGGATCACTTGGTCTCTCTTATAATCTGTCCAATCCTGGTGATACGTATAGATCCTACTCCAAATCACCTCATTAATATAAAACTGAGAGGTATTTTCAAAAGGTACATACAAATTAAATCACCCAAAAATCTTCAAGGATGTGAGAGGCTGTTCAGCACACCAGGAACTGAATACAAAGACCAGGCAGTCAATCTTGTTATCACACTGCACTGCCCCACTGCAAAGTAAGCTCCACATGGTGAGTGACTTTTATTTCCTCTAGTTTATTCAATACTGCATCACAGTACGTCAATGTGCACCATGGGTGCTACATAAATATTTGTTGAACAAATGAACTAAATGGGTTCTTACCATAATCCCGTTTTTATGGTTTGTTTACACTATGTTGTCTAATTCCCCCATACAGCCATAACAATTAGCTAGTGTTATTACACTTCTTGCCATTATTGGAACATCTATCCCCTCTAAAACTCACGTTGAAATGGAGCTACCATTGCAACGTTATGAAGAGGTGATAGGGTTACTGGTTATCTTGGAGTGGGCTCACCATCCCCTTGCTCTCTGTCAGCCCTTCCACATTACCGTTAAGCAAGGAGGCCTAAACCTTGATTCTGGGCTCCTCAGCCTCCAGAGCTGTGTGCCAACCTTCATGACCTGGTTCCTCACTGCCCAGTCTCAAGCAGTCTGCCCAGGCAGCACAACAAGGACTAAGACAACTGCAAGGTTAACAGACCCCAAGGCTTCAAAGGCGTTTCAGGGAGAGGTTAAGATGCCACTGAGGACCACTGCATCTCATAGGGGAATGCCTAGGCTTCAGTCTCAGCTCTGCTGCTGACTCCATCTTCCTGCTATGGTGATAGTCCAAGGACTTGGGTCCTCGTCACCCACATGGCAGCACTGGACAGAGTTCTTGTCTCCTTGCTTCATTGTGGCTCAGCCTCAACCACCACTCTTTCAGATACACAGATCTTTAAAAGATAAATAAATCCAAGTGCAGACATGTACAGTTTTGGTTAAGGATGTCTAAATCTCCTATTAAAGAGCCCTGGTTCCAACGAGGTTCCACTCCCAACTCCAGCTTCCAGCTTCTTGCTAATGAACAGAGAGGCTGGACAGGAGAGGGGTCATGGAATAGGGTTCCTGCCACTCACAGAAGGGATTGAGTAACGCTTTGGCCTGGCCCAGCTCCAGCCACTCAGAGTCAATGGAAGGAAACACTAAAAAAAAAAAAAAAAAAAAAAAAAAAAATCTGACAATGTCTTTAAACTTTCAACAATCCCCAACACCTTTCAAATGAAACACTCATTCAGACAATAACTCCTCCTTACCTCCAGTTAATATCACCTTTAAGACACAATTTTATGTGTCTGTCCACTTGATACATACCTGACACCCAATCAATAAACACCATCACTCAGATAGTACTGTACCAGCACACACGCGCGTGCACACACACACACACACACACACAGGAGGGGAAACAGAAGTTACACAAAGGAACACAATGGTATGCTGAGACTGTCAAGCTAAAGGTCGCTTTGGGAAAGAATTTTTAAAAATCTGAATGTTCTCACCATTTATTTGCCAAACTGTGACCATGTTTAAAATAAAACCATCAAAATGCTAACCAGAAAAAGAAAAAAAAAATAATTCTAGGAGTAAACCAGTGTCACAAACGATCACCCTGAAACAGAAAGCTTTGAGACGGTTCTCCGCACTTTCGTGAGACAAAAAAGACGCATCTGGTTAAAAACGAAAATTTTTAACTCCAACCAGTTAACGATCTGGGTGGGGAAAATACAGATCATCTCTAATAAGTTAAAAAAAAAAGATGACGTTCATGGTGGCTATTTAGATTCTCACAGCAAGCGTGGGTTAAATTCCACGTCAAAGGAAAGACAGGGGGCTGGACAGCAGCCTCCCCTGATTCCTTCACGTCCGCCGAGGAGACATTCCCCCCTCAGTTCGCCCCAGAAAGCCTGGCCCAGAACAACGCCGTGCCGACCCTCCAGCCAAAGTGATCGCCATCTCGGGGACGGGACAGGGTCTCCATCACGCTCTGGCTCGTCCGCCCTGTTTCAGCCTCAGCTCCCACTCGCGGCGTGGCCTCCCGCCCACCGAGGATGGCTTCCGAGACCCCGCAGCGACCCACGCAGAAAGCCAGAACAACCGCGGCCAGATCCCCCACAACAACAAAGGCCAAATCCCCGAGCTCACCTGCGGCTGCACTGTGCTGGAGAGGGAAAACATGTCCGCTGGGCCCACGGCGAGCGACCGCGCCCGCCTGCCGCCGCCGCCCCCTTGCTGCCGACGGATCGGCGGGGAGGCGCTGGCCGCTGCCCCAGTTCTCCTTCTTCTCCCTCAGTGTCCCAGTCCCCTCCTCCCAGAGACGGAAAATGGCTTCCCGCCCCGTCTGCAGCCGTGCTAACGCCAGTCGGCCCGCCCCGGAAGTCGCGGCCCTCACGCCATGTACTGCCGGAGCGGGGACGCACGGCCCCTTCCGGGACGGGCGTTTCGAGGTGTTCTGGAATCTGCCCATCCCACCGCCCCGAAAAATGCTCCTCCCTGGCTGCTGTGGTTTCCTAAGTGGAGAGTGGCTGTCACCCCCATTAAACCTGGGATTTTTTTGTTGTTGTTGGTTTGTTTCACTAATCCTATCAAATCTGTCAGTGGGCTGCCCCGTTCCAGCCCGGCGCTGGGTCTTTCGCTATTTCGAGTGTGTTTTGCTTGTTTTAATCCTCTTCGCGTGACCCCGAAATTCTTTCATCGTGGATCTTAGCCAGGAAAGGGACAGTTTTTGAGACCGTCCGGTCGCAGGGCCAGCCACCCGATTGCTGCCCACCCCCGTGCCTGCGGCGACTTCTAGACAACCTGTTCCCCAAAGCACGGCTCCATGGCCCCCTCCCAGGGAAACAGTCCGAACCGGGTTATATATAACATGGCGTGGGGCGGGAGGGGAGAGGCAGGAGTCCCTGCTGGGCCTGACGGGCAGCGGGAGTGGGAGAAGATGCGAGGGAAGCCGTGAGGAATCTCGCCAGGTCGGGCTGGTCCCGGGCGCGGTCCGCACGCGGAGACGAGGCCTGCCTCCTACCCGGGCCGCGCACGCTGACCGGCGGCCGGCGGCGGCGGTCTCGAGCCCTTCCACCCTCCGCCGCGGGGCGGAGCTCGACGCGGTGACGTCGCGGCGTGCGTGGCGTGGACGGAGCCGGCTTTGAACCGGCTTGGCGGGAGTGGCGGCTGAGGCAGGTGTGCCCGGGGCGGCGGTGGCGCTTGTTGTCCGGCTGCGCGGTGCAGCCATGGAGCCTCCCGCGGGGAAGGAGGAGAGCGGGAACAGGATCCCGGTGCCCAGGCCGCCTTCCATTGAGGAGTTCACCATCGTGAAGCCCATTAGCCGGGGCGCTTTCGGAAAAGTCTATCTGGGACAGAAAGGAGACAAGTTGTATGCGGTGAAGGTAAGCAGCCGACCTGTGGAGTCGTGTTTACCAATCCCCAGGTTTTTTCTTTTTTAAGTTTGCTTTCCCCGTGTGCTCTGACTTGTAGCATTGTGGAAAATTTTCCACCACAGGAAAGTGACGAATGTGTGGACATTGATTGAGTCACAGGAGGGAGCTTTTCTGATACGTTGGGTTACAGAATTTTAAAATGTTAGCATTTACTTGTGCATATTCTTTGTGTCTGTGTCTTCTGAGTCCTTTTTTTTCTCCTCTCTCTCTCTCTCTTTTTTTTTTTTTTTGTTACTGATTTGATCTTTACTGGGAACTTCAATTTCTAAATCACTCCCAGATTGTCTTTTAATCTTATCCATTTTGATATGGATTAAAATCTGACCTGTACAACCCTAAATGTCAGCAAACTAACGTCTTGTTTTCTTCATTCATGTTTCTGATGTGGGATCTGTAAAGAAAAAGTTGCAATACAGCCCAAGCAGCTCACACTTCAGCAGAAAACAAACTCTGGACCTGCAGTCTGTCCGTGCCTTTCAACTTCCTCTTAGATGGTGACCAGAGTGTATCCAGGCCTGGCCGCCTGTGTTGGCCCTGTCCATCTCATCCCACCACCATCGTGTCTGCCTTCGCACCAGAACCCTCAGCCGGTTTAGCTTTCCTCTCCTTCACGCTGTCTCTCTCAGCTACTCCTGTGAGTTCCATCTCTTCCATCCTTTTTATCCCTTCCTTTTCATTCCCAAAGCTGTATCGAATCACTTATCCAATAAATACGTATCCAATAAGTACCTATCCACTAGGTATTTATTCACTTATTTACAATAATGTAAGTCAGTGTTTTTTAGTAAACTGAATAGTTTTGTAACTGTTGGCCAGAAACAAGACCTCTTATTAATACCATGAGCCTCACTCAGGTAAGCGCTGATTTTTTAGCACTGCAGGTTTTGCATTTCATTGCATAGAACAGATCCATGCAATAGTCTTTGCCTTCTGGCTTTTTGGTGCTGATTTTGCGGTTCGTCGGGTCCCGTTGGAATAGCCCATTTTCTGGAATTATTGGCGATTTTCGTTCTTCCTGAAGTCTGTGATATGCAAGCAGCAGTCTGAACTGCTTAGGAAGCACTCAGACTTCAAGGTCTGACTCGGCTTTTCCATCCTGTCTTGCACACACTGCATGTCTCAGTGCTGTGTTTCTGAGCTTATGTTTGTGCTGGTTCCCCTTAAGTCCTCTTCTTGCACCCTTCTCTGTTTTTCCCCAACAAGATTATGAGTGTATCAGAGTTCATCTTAGCTCCTTTTCAAATCCTCCCTGACCTCTCAGACGCATGTCATTGGAATTATTACCTGACTTATATGTTCTCAAGATTTGTGCATTTGCTTCTACGATATTATCTGTTGTTGAAGTGAACACATTAATTAATTCATTTGCTGAGCAAGTTCTTCTTGAACAGTCACTCTAAGGATAGGGTTTTGGGGCCCTACGTGGTAGCTAGTGTCTAAAGTCCTCGCCTTGAACATGCCAGGATCCCATATGAGTGCCAGTTCTAATCCCGGCAGCTCCACTTCCCTTCCAGCTCCCTGCTGGTGGCCTGGGAAATCAGTAGAGGACGGCCCAAGGCTTTGGGACCCTGTACACTCATGGGAGACCTGGAAGAGGTTCCTGGTTCCTGGCTTTGGATCGGTGCAGCTCCGGCTATTGCGCTCACTTGGGGAGTGAATCATCAGACGGAAGATCTTCCTCTCTGTCTCTCCTCCTCTCTGTATATCTGACTTTGTAATAAAATAAATAAATCTTAAAAAAAAAAAAAGGAATAGGGTTTTGGAATATAGAGGTGAAAAGAACAGTCCCTCCCAGAGAATCCAAAATCCAGGTAATAAGTGAAATAATGCCACAGGCTTGCTTTGTCAATCCCCTTCAGTTTTTGTAAATGATGCAGACTTCTTGTATTGTTCTTTATAAAAAAGAAGAAAAAGAGATAGATTCATGTATTTTATTTGAAAGAGTTTCAGGGAAAGAAAGAGAGACAGATCTTCCATCTACTGGTTCAAATGGACACAGCAACTAGAGCTGGACTGGTCCACAGCTGGGAGCCAGGTGCTTCTTTCTAGTTGCCCAGGTAGGTGCAGGGGCCCAAGGCCTTGGACCCTCCTCCACTGCTTTCCCAGACGGTCAGCAGGGAGCTGGATGAGAAATGCAGCATGTGGGGCACCCCATATGGGATGCTGGCGCCAAAAAGAATTAGCATGCTATACTTGTGCTTTGCCCCACAACCTTGTTTGTTCAGATTTTATTCCTATCCAACAAAGAATCAGAAGTTTAAAAAGTATATTTAGTAGATGTTGTTATCCATACCTAGGTTTTAAACACTTCTGAGGGACATTGATATCTTTTGATTTTGTTAGAACAGGTGCAAAATAGAATGTTTTCCTTCTCGAAAAGAATATGACATCTTGCCTGTAGCACAGCAAGTTGGGGATCACTTGGGACACCGGCATCCCATGTTGGAGTGCCAGTTTGACTGAGTTCTGACCCAACTTCCTACAAATGTACCTGGAAAGGCAGGAGTTCCTGGCTTCAAGCTTCTGTTGCCCACACCAGAGACTGGAGTGGCATTCTTAGCTCCTGGTTCTGGCTTGGCCCTTTGCAGAATAAACCCACAAGTGGAAAATCTCTGTCTCTCTTCCTCCTTGTTCCCCCTCTCTTCCCTGTCACTTTGCTTTCCGATGAATAATTAAGTAAATCTTTTTTTCAGAAAAATGGAATAGATACCTTTACCAAGAAAGATAAATAACTTGAGATAGTGTTTTTGTTTGTTATACCATAGTAGCTATATGTCTTATTGTCATGGTATCATCATAGGTTGTCAAAAAAGCAGACATGATCAACAAAAACATGACCCACCAGGTCCAAGCTGAGAGAGATGCGCTGGCATTGAGCAAAAGCCCGTTCATCGTGCATTTGTATTACTCGCTGAATTCTGCAAGCAATGTCTACCTGGTGAGTAAATGACTGTATGTTGTTTTGTTGCTGTTGTTGTTGTTCACTCAGTAGTCATTGAACCCAATGCTGGGGAAAGTGCTTGACCTAGTAGTTAAAAACCACACATCCCTTATTAGAGTAGCTGAGGGCATAGGTCCTGGCTGTTCCTCGTGATTCCAGTGTCCTGCAGGTACATACAGGTGCTAGAAGCAGCAGAGGACAGTCAAGTAGATACATCCTTGGCACGCATCTGGCTGAGGATTGAGTTCCTAGCTCCCCAGCCTCGGCCAGATCCAGCCCTGACTGTTGTAGGCATGTGAGGAGTGAATCAGCAGATGCAATCTGTCTCTCCTTCCCTCTCTCTCACTCACTCTTGCTTCCTCCCTACCTCTCAAACAGTGTTTTGTTTTGGCTTAATTTGTTTTAAGGACCATGTCAGGAGCAGGCCTGCAGCCTCATCACCAAGATGTCCACGTCCTGTATCCAAGTGCCCAGGTTCAATTCCTGCCTCCAGCTCCTTACTTCATCTGCCTGCCAAGGCAGACCCTGAGAGACAGTGGCCATGGCTCAAGTCATTGGGTTCCTGTCTTCCACACGGGAAACCTCAGTTGAAGTCCTAGGTGCTGACTCCAGCTCCGTCCAAGTCCTACTGTTGAGAGCTAGCAGGAGGACGCTCATGCTCTCCCTTTCCCTCTACCTCTGAAGTGAAAACCAAAGAAGATGCCCATGCACCACCACACACATCTTTCTTTTTGTTTTAAGAAAAAAAGTTCAGTGTCTGAGTTCCAGGTAGCTGCATTTGGATTCCAGCTCTGGTATTCAGTAGCTTTCTGACTTGGGCTAAGTTATATATTGTATTGGTTGGAGTTCTTAAAAAAATCGGTGTCTGCATGTGTATATATCCATCTGTAGGGTACACCTACATAGAAGGGAGGTTTGTTTTTGGTATCTGCTCATAAGAAGTGAGGAGATTGGCAGGTGTGAAATTCTCAGGAAAGGGTTGGTATTTTGGTATTGCTGCTATACTGAACACAGTATGGAAGTGTCCCCCTTTTCAGGACGCATGAATCGATCAAAGGCCAACCATATTGTGAAAAGCTGTCTTTACTCAAAAGTGATGGAAATGTTAACCTCATCTAAAGAATACTTTTCTGGGAATATTGAAGTTGATCCTTTAGCTACCACACCTCAGTTTCCTCCTTTGTAAAATGGGGAGCACAATAGTGTCTACCTACTGTATATAGTTAGGAAATTTCAGTGGCCTTTTGGAAAGCCTGTAGCACAAAATCTGGCACAAACTACTAAGAATGTTTGTGCATTGGGCCAGGTCCAATAGCTCACTGGCAAATGCCAGGATCCTATATAGGTGCTGATTCGTGTCCCAGTTGCACCGTTTCCCTTCCATCGCCCTGCTTGTGGCCTGGGAAAGCAGTAGAGGACAGCCCAAAGCCTTGGGACCCTGCACCCACGTGGGAGACTCAGAATAGGTTCCTGGCTTCAAATTGGTTCAGCTCTGGCCGTTGTGGCCACTTGGGGAGTGAACCAATAGACAGAAGGTCGTTCTCTCTCTCTCTCTCTCTCTCTCTCCTTCCCTCTCTCCTTCTCTGAAGATTTGCATTTCCAAAAAAATAAATAAATCTGTTTTTAAAAATGTGCAGTGATCAAAAAAACCTCATCTCTCTGCCTTTTAAACAAAAGAAATAGGTAATTTGTTAAAAAAAATACATTAGAACTAAATTTGGCGTAAATAAGGAAAGTCACTAGGAAGATGAGCTAGAGTGTGTGGACTTTAATTTAAAGCAGCTGCTTCCAGTGCATGACTTCTGATTCTTTTTAGAGATTTATTTTATTTATTTGAAAAGTAGAGTTGCAGAAAGGGAGCAAGAGAGAAATCTTCCATCCACTTCACTCTGAAATGGTGTCAACCAGGCCCAAACCAGGAGCCTGAATCTCCATCCCAGTCTCCCACATGGGTAGCAGAGACTCAAGCACTTCAACCTTCTTCAGCTGCTTTCCCGGGTGATTTAGCAGGGAGCTGGATAAGAAATGAAACAGCCAGAACTTTGACCAGGTGTCTCCTCTCTCTTTTTCCCCCCTAAGGTTTATTTCTGTTGGAGAGCCAGATTTAGAGAGAAGGAAAGAGAAAGGTCTCCCAACTGCTGATTCACTCCCCAAAGGGCCGAAATGGCTAGAGCTGAGCCGATCCAAAGCGTGGGTCTCCCACGCGGGTGCAGGGTCCCAAGCCTTTGGGCCTTCCTTGACTGCTTTCTCAGACCAAAAGCAGGGAGCTGGATGGGAAGTGGAGCAGCAGGGACGTGAGCCAGCACCCATATTGAATCGTGGAACATACTGAGGATTTAGTCTCTAGGCTACTGCACCAGTCCTGACCAGGTGTCATGATGAAGGTTTTTCATTTGACTAACTCACTGCACCATGAAACCAGCCCTGACACTCTGCTAACCTGGGGAAGGATTTGCGGGGAACAGAAAAGAAGCAAAGGTTCCATTTATTACAAAGCTGCTTCTGACTTGATAGTTTGTGGAGTAGGTGTTTGATAGTCACAGCAGCTTCTGTTTAGCGCATACAGATGGTTTCTGGTGAATGGATGGATCTTTAGGATATGGATTCCAGGCTTTGGGGTTTATGTTAATCGGCAGAAATCACATTCCTGTTATAACTTGGTTGCCTCCAAGAATATGAACCATTTGTCCGTGATTGGTATGTGATTATACCATACTTTAACCATTTAGCCTGAAAATAAAGAAGTTTTAAAAATGGTGTCTAACTTCTAGCTCCTTTGCTACGGGAAGTATAACCCAACTCTCATCTTTGAGTGTGACACTTTGAATATATTTAAGCTGATGTTACATGTAGTGCTAGCTTTTTTTTATAAGGTTTATTTTATTTTTGTTGGAAAGTCAGATACATAGAGAGGAGGAAAGACAGAAAGGAAGAGCTTCCGTCCACTGATTCACTCCCCAGGTGACCACAATGGCCAGAGCTGCACTGATCTGAAGCCAGGAGCCGGGAACCTGGAGTCTCTTCCAGTCTCCTGCGCAGGTACAGGGTCCCAAGACTTTGGGCCATCCTCGACTGCTTCCCCAGACCACAGGCAGGGAGCAGGATGGGAAGTGGGGCTGCCAGGACACGAATCAGCACCCATATGGGATCCCAGCGTGTATAAGGTGAGGACTTTAGTCACTTGATTACCACGCCAGACTCATTGTGCCAGCATTTAATGGAAAGGCCAGAAAATGTTGGAAAGTCAAGAATATGTTTAGGATAGTGGTAAGCATTCATCTTTACCCGTGTATTGGGTTTCATTCAGGAAAAAGTTGTTGTTTAACAAACCACAATCAGTTAAATGTATGATAAAATGTGACCATCCTGGAAATGCTATTCTTCTGTTTAGTCTCTTGTGGAGACTGCATAGAATTCTGTCGGTTTTATCATGAATTCCATCATTTCTTTAGATGATAATGCCTGTCCTGTTGATGAGTTGGCTTCTGAGTTTTTAAACTTTGTGTTTCCTAAACAGTGCTGAGAATACTATCTGTGTTTATTGCAAACTCGTCTTTAAAGGATGGACCGGGTGAGTCAGGGAGGAGGATTTGGAATAAGGGTGCAAATTTGTACTGAGATTCAGTTTCAAAGCAAGATTAAAAGGAGCCTCTCAACAGACCTCTAGATTTTGATTCTGAGAAAGTACAAGATGGAGGCCTGATTTCTGGAGCTTTCAGTGAGTCAAGAGGCATGTATTCAGGAATACGTTTATATAGAGATTGATTTGGCAGTAAGAGGATGATTTCCAAATATAGTCCTGTGTGAGTAACTAACTTGCCACCGTGGTAAACTATGGCCCATGGGCCAAATTTAGCTCACTGCTGTTTCTGTATAGCATACTACCTAAGAATAGTTCTTCTATTTTTTTTCTAAATGTTGGAAAAATTCAGAATGAGAACAATATTTTGAGATATATGAAATTTGAATTTCAGTGAGTGGAGTTTTATTGGAACCCAGTCATATTCTTTTGTTCACATGCTATCTATGACATGTGTTGGTACAATGGCCAAATCAGGTAGCTGAACCGTAAATCAGGTAGAAACACCCGTAAAACTTCAGATACTTGCTGGTGCTTCATATGAAAAGGACATTTTCATATGCCATTTCCTGGGAAGGTAGGCAGCTGTGTAATCCTTTAATCCTCCCTGAGGCTCTTCAATGCCATTACCACATAGTATTTCATGTACAGTGTGCACGTATTCCTCAGAACATGATTGCAGTTTGTAGCACGCAGCCTGATTAAGCCCTGTAGTAATCAGGATTTTCCAACCTTAGTTCAACAGAGATATTGAGTGGCTGGGTCAAATTGTTCCATTTGGTAAGCTTTTTTTTTTTTTTTTGATGTCTGAGTCCTGGAATTAGTAAACCACTCAGATGTTTTTTCTCCCTCCTTTCCAAAATGAGGTAGTAGACCAAGTCTTACCTAACTTCATCAACTGGTTTATATCCTCTATGCTTAAAGGCTAGTCTACAGACAAGAATATCAGTAGCATCTGGGAACTTTTTAGAAATTTATAATTTCTGGCCCTACTCCAAATCTGCTAAATCAGACTCTGCTTGTTAACAAGGTCTCTAAACACATTAAAGTTTGAGGAGCCCTGATCTAGAGATTTCTTAGATATGGGAGAATCGGAACGCCTGAGGGTAACCACATTAAAACCAAATGAGTGTCTACTACTGTGCTAAGTGCAGGAAACCTAAGATCAAAGACCCTTTGATTATGGGAATGCTCAAACACTTGAAAATTCAAGGAGTACAGTAATGAACTCCCTTGAAATTCTCACTCAACTCTGCTCACCCCAGCCCCATGAAGCTTTCAATTAATGGTTTTGGCCTCCACTGATTTTAATGATATTATAAAATGATTTTTAATTCTATTATTCTGCTTTTATTAGCTGGAATTCTTCATTGTTTAATCGTTCTAACTTAGCTATAATGTAAGGGAGGCAGAATAAGTTATTGCTCTCTGTCTTTTTTAAAAGATGTATTTATTTATTTATTTATTTTGGAAAGTCAGATTTACAGAGGAGAGACAAAGATCTTCTATCCACTGGTTCGCTGTCCAAGTGGCTGCAACAGCTGAAGGTGAATTGATCTGAAGCTAGGAACCAGGAGCTTCCTCTGGATCTCCCACGTATATGCAGGGTCCCATGGCTTTGGGCCCTCCTCCACTGCTTTCCCAGGCCACAAGCAGGGAGCTGGATGGGAAGTGGAGCAGCCGAGATATGAACCAATAACCATATGGGATCCCAGGGCATGCAAGACGAGGACTTTAGCCACTAGGCTACTGTACTGGACCCTTTTGTCTAAATTTTAAGGTTCTAGCTGACTGCGTTGTTTTTTTTTAGGTCTTTGTGAATTTGTAAAATATTGTAGAGTAGATGTGTTTTAATCCACTTCAATTGTTATTCTTTGTACTCAAATTGTTCTATGTTTAACCATTGGAGTTCCTTCTAGCCAATGGAAAGCCTTAATTATCTTCCTGTGTCTTTACATGCTATGCTAATATCCTTATTTTCTTCTGACAAAATGTGTAAGGCTTATTTTGTTTGTAACCTCTTGTAGGCCGGGTCAAGAAAGTCTGGCCCCTTTTATTAGGAATGCTGTACAGAGACCATAGTCTAGGAGCTAGTGTGAAAGATTATAAAGAAAGAAAGATAGAGACAAATCTTCCATTCAGTAGTTCACTCCCCCATTGGCCACAATGACCAGAGATGAGCTAGTCCGAAGCCAGGAGCCCAAAGCTTCCTCCAGGACTGCCATGGGTGCAGGGGCACATCTTCCACTGCTTTCCCAGAATATAAGCAGGGAGCTAGATCAAAAGTGGAGCAGCTGGGATTCACATACCAGCCTCCAATTAGAATGCCAGCCCCACAGGCCTAGGCTTAACCTACCAGTCCATTTTGCCAGCCCCATTTTGTATTATTGTATAAAAAGAGAAATGAAGGAGTTTTACCAAAAATTAATCACTTGAACCAAGTCATGGAGAAATAATCGGACAAACTCAAACTGAAGTATTTCTATAAATAAGCCTGTACTGCTGAAAACTGTAAGAAAAACTGCTCCAGGGTAAAGGATATCAAGGAAGCATAACAACTAAATGCCATGCATGACCCTGGCTTGGGGCTTGGGCATGAGGTGAAGTGCTGAAAGGTGTAACATTGCAATAATCAGGAATATTTGAATTCCAGTGGGTTCTTTGTGCTCTTAAAAAAAATCAAATCAGTGACCAGCATGGTGGCACAGCTTGTGATGCTGGCATTCCATAGCAGAACTCCAGTGCCAGGTCCAGATGCTGCACTTCTGACCCAGTTTGCTGATGCACCTGGGAAAGCAGTGCAACGTGACCTAGGGACGTGGGACCCTCACTGCCTTTGAGGGACACCTGGAGGCTTTGGCCTGGGCCAGCCCTGATGGTTGTGAGTGAGAAGAGAGGAGATCTGGGCATGAAGGATCTCTCTCTTCCTTCACTCACTCACTCTGGCTTTTGCTCTCACTTTTCTGTCACTCCACCTTTCAAATAACTAAATCATTTAAAAAAAAAATTGGGCACAGCAGTTAAAGAAATCACTTGGACCACCCATGTCCTTTGTTGAAATGCCTAGTTCACTTATGATCCAACTTCCTTTTATGCACACTGGGAAGCAGTGGGAGATGGCTCAGTTATATGGATCCCTGCCACCCAGGTGAAAGACACTGATTGAGCATCAGTTGTTTAATTGAGAAGTTAATCAGCAGGTAGATCTTTCTCTTTGATGACTCATTCTCTTTCAAATAAATAAAAACACATTAAAATTTTTAAATATTGGGCCTGGTATGGTGGTGTAGTGGCTGAGGTCTTTGCCTTGTACATGCTGGGATCCCATATGGGTGCCAGTTCTAATCCCAGCGGCCCCGCTTCCCATCCAGCTCCCTGCTTGTGGCCTGGGAAAGCAGTTAAGAATGACCCAAAGCCTTGGAACCCTGCACTTGCATGGGAGACCCAGAAGAGGCTCCGAGCTCCTGGCTTTAGATTGGCACAGCTCTGGCCCTTGAGGCCGCTTGGGGAATGAGTCAAACGGACGGAAGATCTTCCTCTCTGCTTTCTTCCTCTTTTTTTTTTCTAAAAGAGATTAAAAAAATTTTTTTTATTTTGTTAGCAAATTGCCTAATAAAAATTTTAGTAATGAAAAGCTGTGATGTCTTCAAACTTTATTCTCAAATCATTACCAAAAAATGTTTTGCTAATGTTGCTGCTTTTAAAAAATAAAAATTTTAGTGTAAAGAAAAATACACACATACATATAATAAATATTTGTGTTTCTTGTGTTAATTATATTATGGTTTATAATAGAAATATATTAATCTACATAGATTAAGAATTAATTTTATAGGCATATGTATGTAGAAGGAAGAAGACAAATGTCACAAGATGCTAATAGTGAAATGAAATGAAAGGTACTTGAGAGGTGATTGCAGTATATTTTAGTACTTTATATTTTAGTTCACACTGAACAGTCTAACTATATGGTGATGGCTGGCAAGGTGCACTTGGTTAAGCATGCTTCTCATTGATTCCTGCACAACTTCCTGCTAAGGTGCCTGAGAATACGGCAAATGATTCATCAAGTGACTCGGTCCCTGCCCCCACAGGAAAGCCAGATGGAGGTCTGGGTTCTGGGCCTGGATCTGGGCTGACTCAGCTGCTGTGAGCCTTTGGGGAGTGAATCAGGAAATGAAAAACTTTGTCTCAGTTTCACCCTCTCTTTGTCATTCTATCAAATAAAAGAAACAAACTATATAATAGTGTAAGTAAACTTGATATTCATATATATAATGAGTGGTAATGGGAAGATATATATTACTACAGAACCATGTTAAAAACATAAATCAATAATACCCAGATACTATGTTTGAAATTAATCTGGGGCCAACGTCATGACATAGTGGATTAAGCTGCCACCCGCGAGACTGACATGCCACACTGGTACAGGCTTGAGACCTGGCTACTCCACTTCCAATTCTCTGCTAATGTGCCTGGGAAAGCAGCAGAAAATGGCCCAAGTGCTTGGGCCCCTGCACACACATGGGAGAAACTGGAAGGAACTCCAGGCTTTAGCCTAGCACAGCCCCAGCTATTGTGGCCATTCGGGGATGGCCAGTGGATGGAAAATTCTTTCCTTCTCTCCCTCTCTCCCCTATCCCCTCTCTCTATTGCCCTTTAAATTAAATGAAAAACCAAGTAATCATGTAGGTGCAACCTTCATTTCCTTCTGCTAGGTAATGGAATATCTCATCGGTGGAGATGTTAAGTCTCTTCTGCATATATATGGTTACTTTGATGAAGACATGGCTGTGAAGTACATTTCCGAGGTAGCACTGGCTCTGGACTACCTCCATAGACATGGAATCATCCACAGGTAAAGGCCGACTTCTCTCCAGACTAGTACTTACAAACAGGAGTAATTACCTGCTCTGTATTGAACTCATCTGTAGGAAACACTTGCCTGTATTTCCACGTTATCTGAAGTTCAGTAGTAATTTGTACGCATCTAGGAATCCCATTCACGTATCTTTCTGCACTCTGTGTTTTTAAAACATGCTTTGAACATGAGTGTCCATGTGCAGAGTTCCCTCCTCTCCTGGTACTGCCACAATCATACAGAAGTGCTAACACGTTGGAGTTCTGCCCGGGGCTGTAGTGTTTCCTGACAGGCAGGCTATGTAAGAGTTTAATCTTACCTGTCTTTAGAATTGTGTAAGTGTGAGATTGAACTGGCTTAAAATTTGTCTTATCTAATAATAAGGTTTATTTATTCTAATGAAATACTTAATGAGTAAAGCCAAAGATAAGCTAATATGCAATCATTTCATTTGTATAGATTCAGTTATCAAAAAACACTTTTGCTTTTGAAAATTATTTTCTGCACTTCCCAAGTCACTAATGAGTTCCTCTGTTACACAGGCTATAAATGAGAATTTGACTCTGCTGTCTCTCCCTCCATCTCCCTCCCTCAGCCCCTGCAGGCTGTCAACACTAGCACTTTATGAATTGTCTACTGTTTCTCTTTTCCATGTCCAGGGATTTGAAACCAGACAATATGCTTATTACTAATGAGGGTCATATTAAACTGACAGACTTTGGCCTCTCCAAAGTGACTCTGAATAGAGGTAAGAAAAATGTCAGGGTAAGTGCCTTTTCAAGAGTCCAACCAATTTTACAAACTGAATTTTATTATCTAACACTGTTTTGTTGGTTTTTAGCAGATATAATTTATTTATTCTAAAATGTGCTAGAAAAATAAAATGTTATCTTTCTTCCCTTCAAATTGAAAAACACAGGAATGGTTATTTTGGAATCTCAGGGCTTTTTTTTTTTAATAGATCTAGTGATACTTTTTTATAAATCGGCAGAGGGAGACACAGAGATGTTCCATGTGCTACTTCATTCCCCAGATGCAGAAAGTGGCCAAGGCTAGACTAGGCCAAACCAGGAGCTTCTGAAGCTCCCACGTGAGTGCAGGTACTCAAATACCTGGGCCATCCTCCCACGCTTTCCCAGGCCATTAGTGGGGAGCTGGTTAGAAGTGGAGCTGCCAGGACACGAGCCAACGCCAGTATAGGAGGCTGGTATGGTATGAGTGACTTTATGTGATAGGCCACAATGCCAGCTCCTAGATTGATTTCTTTCTTTCTTTCTTTTTTTTTTTTTTTAGAGATTTATTTATTTTTATTATTAAGTCAGATATACAGAGAGGAGGAGAGACAGAGAGGAAGATTTTCCGTCCAATGGTTGACTCCCCAAGTGAGCACAGCGGCCGGTGCTGAGCTGATCCAAAGCCAGAAACCAGGGTCTCCCATACAAGTGCAGGGTCCCAAAACCCCAGACCATCCTCAGCTGCTTTCCCAGGCCCACCAGCAGGGAAATGGATGGGAAGTGGAGCTGCCAGGATTAGAACCGGCGCCCATATGTGATCCTGGTGCATTCAAGGGGAGGACTTTAGCCACTAGACCACGCTGCCAGGCCCCCTAGATTGATTTCTTCATGCTCTATTTAAAAAGAGTGATGAAAGCTATACTTAAGGTAAGTGGTAACCAATAATTGGGTTTATATATTATATTTATTTCAAAACATAGGTATATCTGCAGTTCTTTATTTGAAGTACAAACGGTTGTAAATACCTAAAAGTTTTCTCTAAGTATAGCAAAATCTGACCTGAGCTGATGTGGAAATTTTTTGGCGCCTGAATTAATTAATCCGACTTCATGCATTTCACTGCAAAATTACCAATTTGGGTACAAATGCTATGAGACACCACTAAAGCTGTTTCATGAGTTCATATATGTAAATTCACTGCATGAGCTTTCTAAAATCTGAACTTTTAAATATATATATTTAAATATATAAATATAAATATATATACTTTTTTTTTTTAGAGAATCACAGAGGTGAGGAAGGTTGGGGAGGAGTGGCAGAAAGAGACCTTCATCTACAGGCTCACCCTTCAAGTAGTCACAGTAGCCAGAGGTGGGCCAGTCTAAAACCAGGAGCCGGGCACGACTTCCAGGTGTCCCACAGGCATGCAGGGTCCAAGGACTTGGGCCATCCTCCACTGGTTTTCTAGACCATAAGCAGCGAGCAAAATCAGAAGTGGAGCAGCCAGGCCTCAAACCAGTGCCCGTATGGAATGCTGGTGCTGCAGCTTGATGATTAGCTTGCCACCCCACCAGTCCAAATTTAAATGACTTTTAAATTTTACTTGTAAAAAAATTGTAAAACATCTTTTAGGTTTATTATGACCTATTGTTGCTTTATCACTGTAAGACATAAATAAAATATCTTAAGTTCAAACTTTCAGTATACCTTTTAAACTGCTATAACACATGTGAAATATTATAATTCTTTTACCATTTTTGATAACTAAAAAATAGAGTAGTATTATGTGTCACGGTTGAAGTATTTTAAAATACATATTGTAACATGCTAATAATCTAAGTTAACTGTCTTGACCCGAAGTTAAACATGATTATTTCCTTGAAAAGCCCGTAATTTGCAACCTTTTTCAGGATTTGATTTACCAAAAAGTAACACCATTTTTCTTAGTAACTAAAGATTCCTGAAAAGCTAGTAGAGTTTTGTAACATGTTCTCTATGATCTCACTCCAGAGTGAATGTTTTAATTATTTTAATTCATCGTTAAGTCACATGTGTTTCTCTGCAACGCAGTGGATTCTTCAGGTATATTTTTCCTATATAGGCCAATTTTGTTTTAATGTAGAAAAGGAAAAAGTTTAGGATACATGATTATTGACTTGAAGGTTTTAAAGAAGTGTGTGTGTGTGTTTTTCCTTGCATGTGTAGATATCAATATGATGGATATTCTCACAACACCTTCCATGGCTAAACCCAGAAAAGATTATTCAAGAACGCCAGGACAAGTATTGTCTCTCATCAGCTCTTTGGGATTTGTGAGTACTTAATACAGAAAATTTCTCATAACCTACTGTTTTATTATAACTTTAAAATGTACAGTCGAAGGGGTCAATGCAGTGTGAAGTGGGTTAAATTGGCCTGTGATGCCAGCATTCCATTAGAGCACCAGTTTGAATCCTGTCTGTTCCACTTCCTGTCCAACTCCCTATAACGTACCTGGGAAAGCAGTGGAGGATGAATCAGGTGTTGGGCCCCTGTACCCGTGTGGGAGACGTGGAAGAAGCTCCTGGGTCTTGGCTTCCACTTAGCCCTGCCTAGTCATTGCAGCCATTGAGAAGTGAACCAACAGATGGAAAATATCGCTGTCTCATTTTCTCTTCCTTCCTTCCTCCTTCCCTCTCTTAACTGACTTTCAAATCAGTATGTAAGTCTTTAAACAAATAAAAATAAGATATACAATCTTCTCCCTTTAAAACAGATTTTATCAGAATAGAGATGGGTGTTGTGGCACAGCAGGGTATGTTACTGCTTGGGAGGTCTAGGTGCTGGTTTGTGTCCCAGCTCCTTGGCTTTAGATTTAACGTCCTGCTAATGCACCCGGGAAGGCGACCAGTGGTGGCCCAAGCACTTGGCTGCTTGCCACCCACATGAGAAACCTAGACAGAGTTCCAGGTTCCTGAATTTGACCTGGCCTATCCTCATTTGTTGCAAGCATTGAGGGATGAAAGCTCTCCTTCTCTCTCCTCTCTTTCTGTCTGCCTTTCCAATAGATAAATAAATAATAACTTAAAAACTGATCCAAATAAATTTAGGGTCTTTTGTAAATGTATTAATTTGAAATACAGGATAGCAGAGACAGTTGATAGACAGGGAGAAAGATATCTTCCATCTCTTGTGTCACTGCTAAAATGGCTGCAATGACCAGGACTGAGCTAGGCCAAAGCCAGGAGGCAGAAATTTTGTCTGGGTCTCCAACATGGGTGACGGGAGTGCGAGTACTTGGGCTGTCCTCGAATGCTTTTCCAGGCACGTTAGCACAGAGCCGAATCAAAGCAAAACAGCTGGGACTCAGATTCATGCTCTGATATGGAATACCAGTGTCACAACAGGTGGTTTAGCCTGCTCCACCACAAAACCTAATTCAATACCAAGTGTAAATGCGATCGTATGTCTACTTGAGTGGTACAACTCTCTATACATTCTTGGGTAGTTTGTGAATGTAACTATCTTAGCAGTAAATTCTCTTTTCTCTGCTTAATAGTTCACACCGGTTACAGGAAAAAACCAAGACTCCGCAGACACCCTCTCACCACACCTGTCCAGAACACCACCGCTCTCTCACATGGCAGGCTGTTCCATGTCTACAGATCCAAAGGACACAGATCCTCACCCTAGCAAGATACTAAAGTCATGTGAGTATTAAAGAAAAGATGGTTTCTTCCATTGTGTCATTTGACTTTATTCATTTGAAAGGCAAAGTTTGGGAGTGCAGGAGGGGCAAGCCTTTATCCAATGGTTCGTTCCCAGGATGGTTGCAGAAACCCAGGGCTGGACCAAGCTAAAACCAGGAACCCAGAGCTTCTTTTATGTCTCCCACACGGGTACAGGGTTCCAGGCACAGGGTTCCTTCACTACTTTCCTAGGCCATTAACAAAGAACTGGATCAGAAATGGACAAGTCAGAAGTTGAAACAGTGCCCATAGGGCATGCTGGACTATATTCCATGCCTTAACCTGCCACTCTACAGTGCCAACCCACCATTGTGTCTTTGGAGAACAAAATTTTAGGGCCTGGCACAGTAGCCTAGTGGCTAAAGTCCTCACATTGCATGCACCAAGATCTCATATAGGTACAGGTTCATATCCTAGCTGCTCCACTTCCCATCTAGCTCCCTGCTTATGACCTGGGAAAGCCTTGGGACCCTATGCCTGCATGGGAAACCTGGAAGAACCTGCTGGCTCCTGACTTCACATCAGCTCAGCTCCAGCCAGCCTTGCAGCCACTTGGGAGTGAACTAGCAGACTGGTGTCTGTCTTTCCTTCTCTCTGTAAAATCTGCTTTTCCAATGCAAAAATAAATCTTAACAGAAAGAAAAAAAAATCTTCAAGTTTTTAAATGTCTAATAACCAGTAATTTTTAAAAGAATTTTTTAAAATTTATTTTATTTTATGATTGGAAAGACAGATTTTCAGAGAGGAGAGACAGAGAAAAATCTTCCATCTGCTGGTTCATTCCCCAGGTGGTCGTAGTGTCCGAAATTGAGCATTTCAAAGCCGGCGCCTCTTCCAGGTCTCCCATGCAGGTGCAGGGTCACTAAGCTTTGGGCCATCTTCTACTCTTTCAGACCACAAGCAGATTGCTAAATGAGAAGTGGAGCAACTGGCACATAAGCTGGTAAACATATGGGATGCCCGCACTTAAAGCTGGAGAATTGGCTTGTTGAGTCACAGCACTGGCCCCTAGTAACTTAAAGATTGTAAAAAATTTGATGAGTCTGTGACATTTCTTTTTTATTTTTTGTAAAGATTTATTTATTTGAAAGACAAGTTTACAGGGAGAGGATAGACACAAAAAGGAAGAAAATTAATGTGTTGATTCACTGCCCAATGGCTGCAATGGCTGGAACTGGGCCAGGCCACAGCCAGGAATTAGACGTTTCTTCCAAGTCTCCCACTTAAGTACAAAGGCCCAAGAATTTGGACCATCATCTTTCCCAGGCTTATTAGCAGGGAACTGGATTGGAAATGGAGCAATCAGGGCTCAAATCAGTGCCCATGTGGGGTGCTGGCACTCAAGTGAGTAGCTTAGCTTGCTGTGCCACAGCATGGTCTATCAGTGGCATTTGTATTTTTTTATGTAAATACCATTTCTGACAGAGTATGTGGCAGATATCGCTTAAATGACGTCCCACTGTAGGGATGTCCTTAAGTTATTTATGCTACAAAATAACTGATGATTTTCACTATGATGAGTCTATGGAAGTCTCAAATGGAGAAGATGTATTACCTGCAGTGTAATTGTGTGTCTTTGCAAACTTCTTTCCAAAAGATTTTGAGCAGCTAAAATCAAAAAACTAGAAGTAATGATGTCTTTGCACACAGTAAAGAAATAAATTGTAGGGCTCGGCACTGTGGCCTAGTGGCTAAAAGTCCTTGCCTTGAATGCACCGGGATCCCATATGGGCACCAGTTCTAATCCTGGCAGCCCCACTTCCCATCCAGCTCCCTGCTTGTGGCCTGGGAAAGCAGTCGAGGACAGCCCAAAGCCTTGGAACCCTGCACCCATGTAGGAGACCTAAAAGAGGTTCCTGGCTCCTGGCTTCGAATTGGCATAGCTCCAACCATTGCGGCCACTTGAGGAGTCAATCATCGGACAAAAGTTCTTCCTGTCCTTCTCTCCTCCTCTCTGTATATCTCTGACTTTGCGATAAAAATTTTAAATATATATATATTTATATTTATAAATATATATTTATATATATATATAAAAACAAACATGCAGATATTCTTTCTAACACTATTCTTCGGGAAAAATATTCCGTCTTTCTTGCATTTCCCTTCTTGGAAGAGAGAAAGCAAGACATAACATACATTTTTGTATACAAAGGTGAAAAAAATCTGCATACATATATCATTATTTTTTTGGGAGATTTATTTATTTTATTTGACATAAAATTAATTTGGTTTCAGAGGTTGCAGAGAAAGAAGACAGAGCTCTCATGGCTCGCAATTTTTGTTCCAAAGTGCACTTGCAAAATGGTAAAGCTGTTAGCAAACAAACTGTTATCTGAGATAGCTGTCTTCCTGCAAGGGAGGAATTTCAGACATGACAAGAAAGGAGCAGTAAGCCAGGAAGATTTAGGGGAGATGCAGGGACACAGGCCACCTCAGTTCTACTCTCACCAGAGAAGAGGTGATTCAGTGAGCAAAGCAGGATGCAGTTTAGTCAGAAACCTGCTGCTGATGCGATCAGCTGGGGAGCTTTCCACAGAGGAGACCCCCGTGCGTCCTGATGGTAGCGCAGTTGTCTCCTTGGCCTCGGGAACTGCAGAGTGGCTGCTCTCAGCACTGTTTAATTCTGTGCAGTGAAGGAGTCAGTGTCAGATCAGCACTGCTCAACTGCACCTGCTTAGTGTTAGCCAGGCACACATTCTCTATATTTATCATTCACACGTATAAACACTTAAGCTTCTTATTAGAAGAAAGCCACAGTGTTAATTCAGTACAAGCTGTGTTTGGTAAATCCAGTCAGTCCAGAGTCTGACCTCATCAGTAATGCTGTCAGTGACTCAGCATCTGTCAAGAACAATTTCAAATTGATCCTAGATCCTCAGAATGGATTTCTTACTGATGGCGATTTCTCTGGTCCTGAGTTTTTCTTTTCCAGTGTAAGGGAGGTTTGTTCTGTTCTAACTTTCAGAGTGGTACTTGTATCATTAACAACTTATGTATCTGAAGGTGATGGGAAACCTGGCAAAGGCACCTGCAGCCGTCTTTGTGGCCTGGATAGTGTCCACAAAGACAGGGTTTTGATATTAATTATCTGTAAAAATTCAGGAAAGAACTAAGAAAGCAGTGACATAATCTTGAGCATTCTCTTCCCCTGCAGGTCTTGACACCCTTGCCTCCAACCCAGGAATGCCTGTGAAGTGCCTGACTTCTAACCTGTTGCAGTCTAGGAAGAGGCTGGCTACGTCCAGCACCAGTAGTCAGTCCCACACCTTCATGTCCAGTGTGGAGTCAGAATGCCACAGCAGCCCCAAATGGGAAGATGATTGCCAGGTGAGAGGAGAAAGAATCTTAACCCAAACCTCTTAGGTCTGTCTGGGTAATGCTAGAGACACGCTACCTTTTGATGCTTTCCACAAGAAATGGTTACATGAATGACACTCGGGGAATTATCCAGAATTCTGCATTTCATTGTACATCTTGTCACATTCGTCTCAAATATTTCATCTCTTGTCCAGTTGTGAACTCACTCTTGTTTGGTTTCTCATGAGGTTCTGGCAGTAAATGAATAGTGAATGTTTGGCCTCTAGACAGCTGGGTGGACTTTATTTTTTAAATTCCCTACCATGATACAGAATGTAGCTTGTTTTAATCTACGTCATTTTAAAACCACACTACCTTCCTTTATGCTGCTTTCCACCAAGTGGGAGTTTCTTACTTGGTGAAAGGATTACACTGCAGAAATAACTTTTAGATCACAAAGGTAAGGTGGATTTCACTTAAAATGGAATCTGTTTTGAGGAGGTTGCTCACCAAATGAATGGAATTAAGAGTATGCAAATATATATTTACATATTCTAACTTGATAGTAAAGGTGATAGAGAAAATAATAATTATAATAAAGTCTCCTTCAAAGAATCCTGGTAAAACAAATCATGATTAGAACCAACCTTCCTTTTGATAAAAAGTTTGAATTATATTTGTTTCTAATTCTCAGTAATTTGATTTTCATCCTTATTGTTTTATATTGTATTATGTGATCTAGATCAAAATACCTTTAGTGAAGTTGGGGTTTCTCCATCTTTTTCCTTCTTTTGGACTGCAGTTAAGAATATGAAGAGATTTTCATTCCTGGTACTATTATTTTACCTGTTTTTATTCAAAACCATATTTGATGCTATTCCAAACATTCAGTAGTCTGAAAATTTCATAGAAGATGCATCTTATGAAAAGCTTTTCTCGAATTTTGAAGTTTTCAGCACCAAGATAAACATCTTGTCATTCCATTGCTTCATGAAGTACTCTTGTACACACGGTCTCGCCTTCTCCCTCCCATCTCCGCACCCCAGAGCAGGGCACTGATGGAACATGCCAGTGCTCCTTGGGTTACAGCACACCCTGCTTGCAGATTAATAAATCATATTGGAGAGGTTTTGTTTTGCTTGAGACTTATTGCTACCAAAAAAAAGCATAGCTAATACAGTTTTATATTCACCCATCTGTGATAGACATTCTTAGGAGTTTATAGAAGACCGAGTCAAATTGAGTCATGTTAGAGAATTCTTGGTCGCCTTATACCATTTCACAACATCATATATCTGAGCATCCACAGATGGTTGGAATGAAGCAGGCTTCTGGAAAAGCATTTTGTTATCATTTTTTTATCCTGTTGATAATGGATTTTAATTTTTGCTCTTTTTGATTTGTAGTTGTTAATTGCAATTACTTTAGCTTCAACCTTATCAACTTGGCTTTATTCTGCTTATATGAAGTAATGCACATATTCAGGAACACTCTTTCGTTAAGATAATTTTTTTTTTAATTTTTGATGACTTTTACGTAGTTGATTAGGATGATAGGGGTGAAGGGCTATAGGAAGGTGGGTGAGACCATTATTTCTACATACTTTTTTCTTTCCTGTATCTGTGGGAAAGGAGGAGATAAGGGGAGAAACCACACACAGCCTTCCCAATGCCTCTGTACCCTTGAATGGACGACAGCCACTCAGTACCACCTCAGGGTTCCTGATGTGGGGCTTGTTCCGAGGGTCCTGCTCAAGAGGTTTTGATAGTTCAAAGTTCTGAATTACTGCCAATCGCGCCACTCCAAGCATGATGAAATCTCTCCAGAATCCACTGGCTGACATAATCTACTTTAGAGTCTCCATTTGCCCAGATATTCACTGCCAACTCTTGGCTAGATTAGTTGGTCAATTTATTCTGTCCTTCATCCTCTGTTATGGTACCAGGTGTCTACTGCTCTATCTAAGCCACTGAGCAGCCCAGCTCTGACACATGCACTCCACGGTCAGACCATGAAGCCTGCAATTCTTTCCGTGGTTGGGATTCTGAGTCCAGCAATTCAGTTGGGGGGGATCCCTAAAGAAACTTCATCTGAGGTGATCCCAGACCTGATTCTTGTATGTGCTTGCCAATACAGGGTCTGGTACAGTCTATCGCCCAATCAGCTTTTGCACATGCTGGTGATTGCAACTGCTAGGTCAGTTCTGTCTCCAGCCCGGTCTTCTATGCAGACTAATAAAGGGTGTTGCAGCCCAGTCCGATCTTGCCCACCACACACTTGCCCCTCATGCAAACTAGTGGGAGCTGCAGCCTAGTCAGAGCAACCTGCACTAACCCCCATCAGACCCACCCCCTGCCCTGGGAACACCCCCTGCCCTGATTCCAATGCTTCCCAGTATGTATAGCAGACTGACCCAGTATGTCCCACATCCTATTCAGCTCTCATATATGTCAATAGGCATATTTCAACCCGGCCTAGTTCAGTGGGCCTAGTTCAACCCAGCAAACCACACTATCCAGCCCACATGTGTGCCAGTGGGTAGCACTCTCTTTCTAGCCGTCCCTGCCCAAGTTCTGGAACTCATTCTCTCTAGTTGGAATGACAGCTCAAGAGGGAGGTGCCCACTATTTCCCTTTTGGGCCCACTCCACTCCCAAATGTTGCACTCTTCAGATGGTTCTGCAGTTTAACTTGACAGAATTTGCCCCTCTTGCCAGCATCTGCCAGCTGATGCCACAGCAAAGCCCAGCCAACCCACATCCACTCTGGATTATGCATGCACCAGTAGCAACAGTCAACCCAGCCTGACTTGACCCTGATCCAGCTCACACGAGGCCAACAGGTGTTGTAGCCTAGTCTGCCCCATCCCAATTCTCTTTATGGCCCATAATTTTGTGTTGACCAGATGATAGGCCCTATGCAGTTTGTAATTTGAATTAGGACCATCCATGCCTCAGTTGCAGAGCAGGTTTGCAGAATGCAGCCTTATGAGCAGTTCCAGGTTCTGTGCCTCACTTGCAGATCGCAATGATTTGCCTCCCTGCGACCCAGATAGGATTAAAATGGGGACTCAGGCTCAGGCCTAAGGGAAGTGGCTCCGTAAGAGGAGCTGGGCAGGAGTTTGCATTGGGCGGGGAGATGTTTCCCAATCCAACATATAGCACTCCATTCTGTAATTCTGTATTTGGCTTTTGTTTGGCCTGGTTGTTCCATTTGAAGTGTTTCTGTGTTCAATCCACTCAGAATAATGCTTTTGCTCACTGTCACCCCCTGCCCCATGAAGGTCGTGTGTGTGGCAGCCTTGGGACTATTCTGGATAGGCATGAAGGTTGGGGAAGTGTCTAACAGGGCAGTAGGGGATTTTCTGTGGTTCTGGTCTGGTCATTCCTTGCCCCTGCTTGGTTTAGGACTAGAGACAGAGTCTGATTTCTCTCCTGCCTCAGCCTAATTTCAAAATCAGTAGTGCAGAATAATCAATTTAAATTTTAGACCAGTATTTGATTCTAATATTGTGTATAAGCTTATACTATATGTATTTATGCTTCTTTTTAATTCTCTATTACTCTCTTGTTCCATTTGAAAGTGGGAAGAAAGCATAGAGTTGGTGGGGTCACTTGTCCAACCTAAGTGAACTGAGGTTAAAATGTCAAAAAAAAGAACCTGGCATTGTGAAGCAGTGGGTTTAGCCTCCATCTACAACTCCGGTATTCCATAAGAGTGTCAGTTCGAGTCCCAGTTGCTCCCCTTTCCAGACCAACTCCCTGCTAATGCACCTGGGAAACAGTGGTCAATAACACAAATACTTGGGTCCCTGCACCCTCATGGGAGATCCAGATGGAGCTCCAAACTCCTGGCTTGGCCTGGCCTAACCCTGCCCATTTAGGGAGCAAACCAGTGGATGAAAGGTCTCTCTCGGTCTGTCCCTCTGCATAACTCTGCCTTTCAAGTAATCTTCAGAAAACTTGTTTAATATCAAAGAGTTTCAGCATTATGTAACTAAAACTATATATTTTCCCTCCTTAGGAAAGTGAGGAGGCATTGGGCTCTGCAGTGATGAGTTGGAATGCAGTTGAAAAGTCATGTTCAAAATCTACAAATGCTACTGGAACCCAAGGTTTGAATAGAAAGGAACTTGAATTAGCACTTTCTCCTATTCATGGCAGCAGTACCATTCCTGCTGCTGAAAACTCCTGTGTAAACCCGGACAAGAAATGCACCTCTGGTGAGGCTTCCTGGGAAGCCAGAGAACCGGATGTGTATAATGTAAACATGACCTCCGACACAAGGCAGGCTGATTCCCAGCAGTCGGATCAGTGGGATTCTGGTGGTCTCTCTGAAGAACACCTCGGGAAAAGAAGTTTCAAAAGAAATTTTGAGTTGGTGGACTCCAGTCCTTGTCAGGAAATCATACAGAATAAAAAGAATTGTATAGAGTGTAAGCACAGGAATGAAATGTTAGATTTTTATGCAAATCAGAGAACAGGCTTAACAACTGAAGTGCAGGACCTGGAACTGTCAACGTGCAGAAGTTGGGAAAATGACTGTGCCAATAAGGAGAACATGGGCAATTCTTACACTGATAAGCAACAAACACCAGACAGATTACCCATACCGATGATAGCAAAGAATCTGATGTGTGAACTGGATGAAGACTGTGAGAAGAATAGTAAGAAGGACTGCTTAAGCTCCAGTTGTCTCTGCTTGGATGATGATAGGACTTCCAAAAGTATCTGCATGGATTCTGATTCTTCTTTTCCTGGAATCTCCATGATGGAAAGTTCATTGGAAAGGCAGTCATTAGACCCAGACAAAAGCATCAAAGAATCCTCTTTTGAAGAATCAAATATTGAAGATCTACTTCTTGTGACACCAAACTGCCAAGGACATAATTTTCCAAAAGGTGATGAGAATGCTACCATTCAGGACAGCAGCCCAATGATGCTAGCTCCTCCCTCAGAGGCACTGAAAACTCTCTCTAAAAAGAATGCTGTCGCTTTTCGAAGTTTCAACAGTCACATTAACGCATCCAATAACTCAGAACCATCCAAAATCACTTCTTTAGACACAATGGATATTTCGTGTGCTTACAGTGGTTCCTATCCCATGGCTGTAACTCCTACTACTCAGAAAGTGAGAGCCGGTAGGCCGTACCAGGTAGAGTGTAAACTTTAACACTTTACTGTTTGGCTTCTTGAAAACTGAACTTCTAGGATAAAAAGTTGTCTCTCAACTAGATTATATGATATTAGTTATATCAATTCTGTTTGTTAAAAAATCCATGGTTTTCATGCAGAAAGATAAAGCTAGTGGTAATAATGTCATTATTAACTGCATAATAATTTGTGTATAACTATGTACTTTTCTTTCAAGATTTAGTCACATGTTTTCACTTGACCTAAGCAGTGCTATGAGAGTACTTCAAAACACTCATGACGGGGTCAGTGCCATGACACAGTGAGATAAACTGCCATCTGTGAATCCAGGATTCCACATGAGTTCTAGTTCAAGTCCCAGTTGCTCCACTTCCAGTCTGGCTCTCTACGATTTGCCTGGAAAGCAGCAAAAGATGGAATAAGGACTCGGAGGCCCAGATATCAGAGCTCATGACTCCTGGCTTTGGCTCAGCACAAGCCTAGCCATGGAGACCATTTGTTTAGTAAACCAACATTTCTGTCTAATTCTACCTTTTAAATAAATAAGTAAATATGGAGGGGAAAAAAAGTTCACAGAAAATGCATTTTGCCTAGATTTTTTTTTATCCAAAAATAAACATATTTTAACCTCCATTCTCTGAACTTTTTGAAGTAGTTTTATATAAGCTACATTTAAGATCACTCTACCTTACTGCCTGCTAAGGACATTTGTTTGACTTTTGATAGATAAAAAGCTGGAAAACATGTATTTCTAGTGTTATTATTTTTTAATTTAGACATCTATAAGCCTCCAAATTTCTTTGATTTCTTCCTGTGGAGAAATCATAATGCAAAAAGTATAAACCTTAGATTGAAATGAAGGGGCTGAGGAGTGCCTCGGTTTTTACTGGCGAAATACAGAGGATAAGGTGCCTATCCCGGCTGGTGTCTCAAGGGAGTGAAATGACACATTATTTTTAAACTTTCCATTTAGTCCAAGAGGAGATATTTGTATTTGGTATGTCACCTTGTGTATTGTCCTGATAATTCAGTCATTAGCCATAGCCTTCCTCTTCAGCTCCTCCTCCTTCTTCCTTTGTTTTTGTTTTTGGTTTTAGATTTGTTTATTTTTCATTGGGAAGTCAGATTTACAGAGAGGAGAGACAAGAGAGAAAGCGCAATCTGCTGGTTTACTCCCCAGATGGCCGCAACAGCCTGGCTGGGGCTGAGCTGAGCCAAAGCCAGGAGTCTCTTCTGGGTCTCCCACGCAGGTGCAGGGTCCCAGGTTTTGGGACCCTGCACCTGGCTTTCCCAGGCTACAAGCAGGGAGCTGGATGGGAAGTTGTGCAGCCAGGATACAAACCGGCGCCCATGTGGGATCCCAGCATATACAAGGTGAGGATTTAGCTACTAAGCTACTGCACTGGACCGCCCCCCATTGGCGCTTCTTAAACTTGTGTTAATCTATATAGTCAAATTATTTTTCCTGTGGATTTTTGTTTCTTGCATATCCAGATCTTACTGAAAGAACTGATGTGCTCTTATAAGCTATTGGACTTCATTAGATATGAGAACATTTTCCAGTTATGTAATTATGAATTCATTTTTTAAAGTAGTCCAGAATTGGAATGTATCTTTTAAGCTTAGAGGGATATATTCTAGCCCAACTGACACTTTACTGTGAAGGAAGTAAAATTTGTTGCCTCAAACTCTTTTTTCATATTGGCAGACCCCGAACCAGATTAAGTCGGGAACTCCGTATCGAACCCCCAAGAGTGTGAGAAGAGGGGCACCCCCAGGGGACGATGGACGCATTCTAGGAACCCCAGACTACCTCGCACCTGAGCTGTTACTAGGCTCAGCCCACGGTAAGGCGTTCATGTCTTGAATTTTTGAAATATTACCTATCACTACATTATCTTCTAAGATAAAACTGTTCTGCATTTCCTTGGCACTTATATTTACCTAGAGTAAAGGAAACTGAACTCAAGCGAGATAGTCTTTGCTCAAACAAGTGACATGTATTAGAGGGGAAATGAGCCTTGCTCTTCGGTTTTCTGCAAGTACAAGAGTGAACCCTGATGTGTGCGCATCTCTGGACCTCGGCCTTTGCGTCCTTCCAGTGATCCCAAGGAGCCCTGCCATCCACCCGTTTTCTCTGTGTGTCTGCACGTCTGCTGTGCAGGACCCAGACTTATTTTGAACTGCAGAAGGTTATTCCTACAGAGAACTTAGTCTCCCATCCTCCCCTGAGGGTCAACCCAGAAAGGAACTATCTTTAAAACAGCAGATAAGAATGTCAACAGTGACATTAGCCCCCCTATCTTTTCTTCTTTCCAATTTCAGAGAAATTTTTTACTTCCTGCATTCTGAGATGAACCGTATTTGTTTCCTAAGGATGCCATGTAACAAAGTGCCATAAGTTGGATGGCTGAGAACATCAAAAATGGACTGCCTCAGTTCTAGGTGCTCAAGCTAAGATCCAGTATCACCAGGACTGTGCGCTCTGCAGCCTGCAGGGGGAGCCTCCTCAGGGACCTTCTCTCCTCCCATGCTGCTTGCAGCTGCCGTGGTGCTGTGGAATTGCAGGTGCAGCATCCCAGGGTTGCAGGTGCACCCTCTTCCTGCATTGGAGACCATGCTAACTCAGACAGCTGACTCTATAGAAGGGTTACCATCAGCTGAGACGCCCTAAGTTTATCCTGTTAATTGTAGCTCAATCCCCACCCCCTCTGATTCCAAGTGGCACTGTGTTTCCGGGTCCTGAAATTGGAATATCCATGCACATGGTTTATGGATGACGCAGTTGAGTCTGCCTCCTTCTGAATCTGGTTGCTCGTTGCTCAGTCTTGCCTTTCAAGATCATTTTTCATCTTTCCTCTTCTCACATCCCATTTCTGTTTCTCTGAGGGCTTTTTTCCTCAGCCTCAAAATCAATGTCTATCCATGCCGTCACCCCACTTCACCCCATGCCGCACTTCTAAGAGGCTGCCTCTTTTGACTCTTCTCTGACAGTCCCTTTACATGTCCTACTAAACTGGAAATTCCTAACCCACCAAAGATGTTCCTGTTGTCGAATTTTGGCAATCTCTTCCCAATATCATTCCTGATACACACATTTCATTATTGTCAAACCTGAAGGACGGTCAAGCCTCTTCTATGAAATGGCACAGCAGGGCCCAGCGAAATAGCATAGCGATTAAGGTCCTCAACTTGAACGTGCCGGGAATCCCATATGGGCCCTGGTTCTAATCCCGGCAGCCCCACTTCCCACCCAGCTCCCTGCTTGTGGCCTGGGAAAGCAGTTGAGGATGACCAACCCGCGTGGGAGACCTGGAAGAGGCTCCTGGCTTAGGATCAGCTCAGCCCCAGCCACTGTGACCACTTGGGGAATAAATCAGCACATGGAGGATCTAGAAAGATCTTCTTTGCTTCTTCTCTCTGTAAATCTGACTTTCCAATAAAAACAGATAAATCTTTTAAAAAAAATTAATGGCATTGAGTTTGCAAATACCCTAGAGTTATCCTCCTCTATAATGTCAGGCATCTCTAATTACTTCAACTAATACAATGCAAATGCCATATAAATAACTATACTGTGCTTAGGTAATAGTGCCTTCTCCCCAAAAGTCTACTCGTTGAGTAGAGAAGAGTTTTCTCAAACGGCTTCTCTCTGGGACTAGCCAGGGATGTGCAGCCCACAGACACAGGGCTTTCCTTCCCGCATGTGTCCGCCCAACATCTCGTCATTCATGCGGCCTCAGTTTCCCCTCCGTGTTGATGATCTCCTCATTGCTGCTTTCTCAAAGCCAACAGCTGTGGCCGAGTGACCCGGTCCGTATTGTGCTGGTCTTTCAATGTTGCCTGCCCAACCTGCACTTGCTATTGATTTGTTCTTCCTCTGTCCTGCTCCCTGTGTCCCCACCTTCATGTTAACTCTGACGTTGTCCCCACACTCAGCTATTTAAAGACAGGGAATTACATCTTAGAAATTAGAGCATTTCTCATTTCCTTTTCATCTCAGTCTCTGTTCTCTATCAGAGCTGCATCTTTCTCTTTGATTAGAAGGGAGTTTCACAAAGTTCCTGGCAAAGTAGAACTAAAAGATGTTTAAATTTCTTTTTAAATCCACTCATAGCTTTTTCATAATATGAGTGTCTTCCATATAAGTTTGTGTAACTGCACACCATGCAGAAGACTCAGTTGTTTGGCACCAAGACAACTTACTTTGTAATTCCATTGTCCCACAGGCTTTTTGAGGTGCCGTTATATTAATAGCCCTCCCTCTGGCCTCCCTGATGTACTCTGATGTCTGTCATCATGGCTCTGATGTCTGTTTCTCCCTAAGCCATATGTGGTCCATTTGCCTTCCCTCAAAGACTGCTGGCTGCCTCTGTGTTGCCTAATCAAATCCAACCTTCTGACCCAGACATAAAACCACCTATGTTCTCATTCTAACCTCAGCTCTCATCAAATCTTTATATGCTTTCTGCGCTAATTTTCAGATCTTCTTTATAAGTGTGTGAAGGAGCTTCAAGAAGTTTAAAGAAGGGCCTAGCATGGTAGCCTAGTGGCTAAAAGTCCTCGCCTTGCACATACCAGGATTTCATATGGGCACCGGTTCTAATCTGGCTGCCCAGCTTTCCATCCAATTCCATGCTTATGGCCTGAGAGAGCAGTTGAGGTTGACCTAGCTTTGGGACCCTGGACCTGCGTGGGAGACCTGGAATAGGCTCCTGGCTCCTGGCTGCTGATTGGCTCAGCTCCAGCCATTGTGGCTGCTTGGGGAGTGAATCAACAGACGGAAGATCTTCCTCTTTGTCTCTCCTCCTCTATATCTGACTTTCCAATTAAAAAAATGAATAAATCTTTTTTTAAAAAGGCTCAAGGAAGATTGGATTTTAGGAAGTATGAAACTTCCATGAACTTTATTTTGTTTTCATTTTATTGCAGAGAGCAATAGAGACCTCCTGTGTGTTGGCTCACTCTTCAGATGCAACAACAACCCAGGGCTGGCCCAGATCAAAGTCAAAGGTCCCTCCCTCCTGAATCCAGGTTTCCCAGGGTGGTGCCCAGGCCCAGGGTCTGCATTTGCAGGAAGCTGGGACCAGAAGCAGAGCTAGGCCTCCAGCATGGGCTGCAGGCTTCCCAAGCCACTGTCAGAACGGTCATGCCCCATGCCCACATCCTGAACTTTCCAAAGTGCCCTCGTTTTGCCTCAGTTGAGAAAAGCCACTCACTGTCACACTCTCGTCAAATTTCTTCTCATATCATCCGTTCAAATGTCACCTGTTCCACAAAGCACCCATTGTTTGATTAAAGAGAAATTGTTTAAATTTCATGTATTCCCATTGCATTCAATTAGCCATTTTGTCTGCACTGAAAGAAAAAATTTTAAAACCTTAAAAAAAAAATCTCTTAAGGGCAAAGTGTGAATTTTCTGCCTTCTCTGTCACACTCCAGTGCTCCCTGGGAGCACTCAGTAATGGTTGCTAATAATCTCAACAGTGCTAGAAATACTGAACAGTCCCCTCTTGCTTGAGTCACAGAGTTGCAGATCTGTTGAGTTGCAGATCTGTTTCCTGTTACATTTTGCACTGTCTGTTGCTTAGAAGACAGTGTGAAAGGAACCTTAAGACCAACAGATTATGCAGGCCTGGGCTGCGCTTGAGGGACCTCAGCCAGCACACTTGCTGAGGCTCCCCTCTGATGCTCTCCACGGCCTCATCACCAGTCGCACTGACTTCCGTACCTCATCTTGCCTTCCCATCAACACCTTCTGCGTGTTTTTGTGCAGCTCCTTGAATGAGTGGTAAAATGATCCTTGTCGTCTTCTGGAAGAGGCAGCTTCATCCTTGGGCTAAAACCTTTTTCTTAATGATATTAGTATGTGTCCATATGAAATATGCATAATATTTGCTGCCTGGTTCAATGAATAATGAGGGAAGGAGCCCACCATGTTAATGTAATGTGCCTAACTCCTGTTTTCTTAAACAATGCAGGATTTCAGAATTCAGGTAAGTAACCTTGTCAAGTGAATGTGGCAAAGCATAGTAAGCTGTGCGGTCAAAGTATAATGAGATCACACTGCAGAAAAACCATTCTCAGCTCACTGAGGAAACAGCACAGCTTGGACTGTCTCCAGGTACTGAACAGGAAAACATTCCGAGAGGTGATTCTTCTCTGGGAGAAAAAAAAATGCAGGCATGTGGCATTTTAAAATAGTTTTTCAAAATGCAGAGTGAAGACACCACATTTTTATAACAGAGGACCAAGTCTCCATAAATATATGTATTAAAATGAGCACCTATAGAAGACCGTGATGTGCCTGAGTCTTGTAATGTCATCTAACTACATTTTAGCATCATTAGCATTTTTAAAAATACAAAAGACATAACAATGTCAGTATATCACTGTGAAATTACAGTTAGAAAGCCAGTAAACCAAGCTTGGGTCTTCTTATTGGCTAATAATACACAAATGCTATCATTTGCCATAGTAAGTGATCTAATTAGACTTTGACTTGAGTATATGGGTATATGTGACAAGCCTGGGGAGAAATCCTGTGCATAAATTAACATGAGTACTTTTTGGCTGAGCTGGGAGAAGGGCCCTGATTTCTATCCTATGTAAAATAACTAAGTGGAAACCATTTTTCCCCTGATTTCTGCATACTTTTCTTTGGTTATATTATCTAATCCTTGGGAATAATTCTCTCTCAGCGCTTCAGAGTCCTACTAACTGAGGTGGCCAGTACGTTATCACGGTCGCTCCCATCAACACAAACGCTTGCAGGCTATTTGGATCCTTTGGCCCATCCGTGGAAGGCGGGGTTAGGTGGCTCAGGTGCTGGATGTGCTTGCAATTATTTTCCCTAACAGCAGATTCCACAGTGCTTTCCTACCTTAATGAGGGCTGTGGGTGCTCTTTGTTCAGATATAGAGGAAGACTTTTTCCTTGTCATTGACAAGGACAGCCAGTGTCCCCTTCTGCTGGTTCACTCTTAAAATGCTAGAGGCCAGGAATTCAATCCAGGTCCTGCCTGGGGGTGGTGGTGACCCATCTACATGAGCCATCACCTGCCGCCTCCCAGGGTGCACTCAGCAGGAGGCTGGAGTAGGAAAGGGAGTATTCAGGACTCAGACCAAGGACTCAGCCGTACGCTGTGAGCATCCCTAGCCAGCACTGGAACCACTGCACTGAATGCCCACCCCTTCCACTTGTCTCCAAATGTCAGCTGCTTAAGCACAGCCATAAATTTTGTGAAAATGTCTTCTTTTTAACATACTTATTTACTTGGAAGGCAGTGTGACACAACAAAGGGGAGCAATGGAGAGAGAGAGATCTTCCATCTGCTGGTTCAATCCCTAAATGGCCACAACAAGCAGGGCTGGGCCAAGAGCTGTGAGCCCCATCCTGTTCTGCCACGTGGGTAGCAGGGATGCCCAGGACATCCTCCGCCACTTTTCGAGGCGTGTCAATAGGGAGCGAGATCAGAAGCAGAACACCAGGAGCCAAGCTGATGCTCTGAAGTAGGATGCCAGTGCTGCAGGTGGTTGTGAAATCTTGTTTAAAGAGTGATTTTTAGACAAAACCAGTACTAGAATAGGATTCTATTCTAAATTTATATTAAAGTAATTTTTTAAACTAACTTTTTAAAATAGCTAATTTAAAAAAAAAAAAAAAGATTTATTTATTTGGAAGGTAGAGTTAAACACAGAGAGAGAAGATCTTCCTTCCCGTGGCTCACCTCCCAGATAACTGCAACAGCCAAGGTTGGGCCAAGCTAAAGCTAGGGACTTCATTCAGATCGTCCATGAAGTTGCAGGGGCCTAAAAACTTGAGTCATCCTCTGCTTCTTTCTCAGACACGTTAGCACGGCTCTGGATTGGAAGTGGAGTAGCCAGGATTCAAATGTACACCCATCTGGGATTGATACAAGCCCCAAATTAAATTTAACCTTTGCTTAAGAAACACCTTATTTGAGCCAAGCACTATAGTGTAATGGTTACGGTTCTCTCCTTGAATGTGCTGGGATCCTATATGGGTGCCGGTTCTAATCCCGGCAGCTCCACTTCCCATCCAGCTCCCTGCCTGTGGCCTGGGAAAGCAGTCGAGGACGGTCCACAGTCTTAGTACCCTGTACCGTTTGGGAGACCTAGAAGATCCTGGCTCCTGGCATCGGATTGGCTCAGCTCCAGCCGTTGAAGCCACTTGGAGAGAAAATCCTCATCATCTTCCTCTCTTTATATCTGCCTTTTTTGATAAAATAAATCTTTTTTAAAAAAGAGAGAGAGAGAAGGAAAGGAAAAGAAAAAAGACCGTAATCAGGCCCGGCACTGTAGTCTAGCAGCTAAAGTTCTTACCTTGAATGTGCCAGGATCCCATGTGGGTGCAGGTTCTGATCCTAGCAGCCCCACTTCCCATCCAGCTCCCTGCTTATGGCCTGGGAAAGCAGTCAAGGATGGCCCAAAACCTAGGGTTCCTGCACCCGCGTGGGAGACCTGGAAGAGGCTCCTGGCTCCTGGCTTTGGATCAGGGCAGCTCCAGCCATTTGTGACTGCTTGTTGAGTGAATCAACATTGGAGGATCTTTTCTGTGAATCTGGCTTTCCAATTAAAAAAAAAAACAACTTATTCGTAGACAGAACTAAGGAAAGACTATAAACCAGCCTGTAAGAATATGTTTAAACAAGGTGTTTAAAACATCTTTGAGAACCCAGCACGATGGCCTAGTGGCTAGATCCTTGCATTGCAAGTTCTAGGATCCCATATGGGTGCTGGTTCTAATCCCAGCAGCCCCACTTCCCTTCCAGCTTCCTCTTTGTGGCCTGGAAAAGCAGCAGAGGACAGCCTAAAGCCTTGGGACTCTGCACCCACGTGAAAGACCCAGAGGAGGCTCCTGGCTTTGGATTGGCTCAGCTCCAGCCTTCCATCTAGGGAGTAAACGGCAGAAAGAAGATCTTTATCTCCCTTTCTCCCCCAACCAAACCTGCCTTTCTAAAAATAAGTAAATCTTTAAAAAGTATATTTAAATAGAAACATTACTTTGATGGTGTTATTCATGAATCAGTTTTACCCATTTAAGAAGTTATCTCCTGCACGTGGCACAATAGCCTAGTGACTAAATCCTCGCCTTGAATCCACCAGGATCCCATATGAGCACCGTTTTGTGTCCAGGTTGCTCAGTTTCCCATCAACCTCACTGGTTGTGGCCTAGGAAAACAGTACAGGACAGATCAAAGCCTTGGGACCCAGAAAAAGCTAGTTTCTGGCTTTGGATTGGCTGAGCTCTGTTCATTGCCGGCACTTGGGGAGTGAACCAGTGGGTGGAAGCTCTTTCTGTCTCTCCTTCTCTCTGCAAAATCTGACTTTCCAATAAAAATAAATTTTCTTAAGACATTTATGTGATCACTTTTTTTTTTTTTAAGCCAGGAGCTTCTTGGTTTCCCATGTGGGTACAGATTCCCAAGACCTTGGACTATCCTCTGCAGGCCACAAGCAGGGAGCTGGATGGGAACAAGGCCACCAGGATAAGAACCAGTGCCCACATGGGATCCTGGCACATGCAAGGCGAGAACTGAGCCATTGTGCCTGGCCTCCTAATTACCTTTCTAAGCCACCACTTAAGTGACTATTCCTTGCTAAGCTATCCTCTGTGTTCTTTAAAGAAATAAATTCACATTAAGACACCCTGTAATCAGCCCTGTGAAGTTGCCAGTTCATCTCAGACATTATGTGAAATCAGATATTTGGAATCATCCAGGTATTACAATTTCCTAATTTCAAATTGAGAAACTGCTTATGTCAGAGAAGAATTTTCCGGTAACACATGAAGATGATGACTTGCCTTTCTCTGCTTGCAGGTCCTGCAGTAGACTGGTGGGCACTTGGAGTGTGCCTGTTTGAATTTCTCACGGGCATTCCTCCCTTCAATGACGAAACACCACAGCAGGTGTTCCAGAATATTCTCAAAAGAGGTAATTCTTGTTCTCCTGTGTAGATGCACTTCTCTGTGTGACTGAGCCGTGGCTAGCCAGCTTCTCTGGATGCTTGTGTTTGCAGACATCCCGTGGCCGGAAGGGGAGGAGAAGCTGTCTGAGCAGGCTCAGAGTGCAGTGGACATCCTGTTAACCATCGACAGTTCGAAGAGAGCGGGCATGAGAGGTAAGGTTCTGTCACCATTGGCTGTGCCAGGCGGTGCAGATCCCCAGCAGTGCCGTTTCCGAGTCCCCTCACAGAGAACCCGACTGCTGCACTGGGGAGAAGGCGCTTCACTTTATTCCTGCTCTCTGGGAACACATACATTGATTTTTGTTTCACATTAAAGTTCATCACAGTCAGGTTGCAATACTCACCAACCATGTTTTACTCATCTCCAGCAAGTGTCTGGAGCACTCTTATCTGAGCAGTGTCTTGGGGTTTTTTTTTTTTTTTTTAAGCCTGATAAAGTTAACCATCAACAAATTCAGGAAATTAGGGAAGCCTATAAGTCCTATTGCATCATTTCTGAAACCATTATTCATTGATGAATAGATTGGGCCGTAGATTGCCTGAGAAACTGTATAAACCTGGTGTATTGAACCATTTGAGAGTTTTCTTAGGGGCTTTTTTTAGCCAACTCATTACTGTACACCACACACTGACTTAAGGATGTATACTTAGTATATTTATCATACTATTTATACATAGTCTAAAACTCAGCAACAGTTGAATTATTAATAGGATTCTGGAGATCAGACTACTTTATTACATCGCTAGCTGAAGAAGGAATTAGATCAAAATTAAGAATGAGGTAAAAGTAAAAGCTCAAAGAAAAGAAAAAAAGTTGATAATAATCAATACTTACCTGGCAGGGGAGATAGCATGATGAGGCAGGTGGTTTTCCCAGGGTGAGGCTCATCCATTGCACTTGGGGTGTGCTGACCCCTGCAATTTTAAGAAGTAAAACTCTGGCTGTTTTATGTTGGAAGTTTGTATTGTTGTGGTTTTTCTTTTTTTTTTAAGATTTATTTATTTTTATCGCAAAGTCAGATATATAGAGAGCAGGAGAGACAGAGAGGAAGATCATCCATCCAATGATTCACTCCTCAAGTGAGCACAATAGCAGGCACTGTGCCCAGCTTCCTCCCAGTCCAAGCCCTTAAAGACTTGGCTGTCCTCCACTGCTTTCCCAGGCCACAAGCAGGGAGCTGGATGGGAAGTGGGGCAGACGGAACATGAATCAGCACCCATATGGGAATCCTGGTGCTTGCAAGGTAAAGATTTAGCCATTGAGCCATCGCCCTGGGCCAGAATTTGGTTTTTGATTGGTTTGGTAAAGATGTATTTATTTGAAAGTCAGAGTTAATGAGAGGGGGCAGACACAGAGAGATCTCCCATCACAGGTTCAATCCCTAGATGGTCACAATGGCTATGGCTGTGCCAAGCTGAAGCCAGGAGCTTTATCTAGGTCCCCCAAGTTGGTGGCAGGTGCCAAAGCAGCACTTGGGCCATCTGCTGCTGCTTTACCAGGCCTATGGCAGGGACGTGGATCAGAAGTGGAGCAACCAGAACACAAATGGGTTGCTGGCATCACTGGCTGTGGCTTAACCCAGTGTGCTACAAGGGCGGCCCTGAGAGTTTTTTATGTGTGTTCAAGGAAGCAGAGCACTCCTGGCAGTGATTGTGATGCGTGGATGTGATGAGAAACTGAGGTCCTCATCATAACTACAAACATTCACTTAAACTGAATCCACAAAGGAATTCTAACTTCAGGTGTCCAAATGACTATTTTTTAACTAAAGGATACCCCCATAATCTGTTTCACTGTGTAAATTGTTCATTAAGGAATCAAAAATCTGTGCTGTTTTTCTAACACTTCCATTTACTTTGAGCAAATTACATTACATGATAGTGGCTTCAGTTTGATAGAACTGACAGTTCATTATGGTGGAGACTATCCTGTACATGGTAGGATATGTAACAGAATCCTTTGCCTCTACCTGCTAGATGTCCCCACACCTGTGACAGTCAAAAAAGTCTCCCAGTATCACTAGGTGTCACTTAGCAGCAAAACCACATCAATTGGAAACCTCAGTCCCAGAGTAAATTTTTAAGTCATCATTGCTCAGTTGTTTATTCTGAACATCAACACAAACTGTCCAAATGTGAATGATTTTTGTTGTATTATCTATCCCTCTTCCTTAACGGTCTTTGAATAGTAATGCCCCAGCCCAACATCCCCAGTCCAGACACATGGTCCAATCCTAGGTAGTCATCTTGCGTGTTTTCGTTGAGTGCTTCCCCACATCCCCCAGAACTGATTAGTGCCTTGTACTTCCTTTTTGGCCAACAAGAAGTAAAGGAGTGGGCATTTGGCCGAATGGGGTAAAGGTTTAGTTGTAACGAAACTCCTGCTGCAGATGCAGTAATCTTAGGTTCAGTTCCTGGCTTCGGCCTCTGGTTCCAGCTGCAGAGCCAGCGGGGCAGGAGGTGATAGCTCAAGTGATTGAATCTCCTGCTATGCACAGAGACCTCGACTGAATTCTGGCCTCCCAGTTTCAGTCCAACCCCATTCCTGGCCACTGCAGCCATTTGGTTGAAAATTGAACAACCAGAAAGGAGTGTTCTGTGTGTGTGTGTGTGTGTGTGTGTGTGTGTGTGTGTCTCAGGTCAATAGATTTATTTAAAAGGAGGAAGGGATAGAATGGTGAAGTGGTATATGTCTAGCAACCAAGACAGCATAGTCAAATAAGCATATTCCTATTTTAGTAGCTACAAGGAAATAGGAAGGATAACTAGTACCCACAATGTAAAGGCATAAGCAGAGCTGGACGCCCGGCACGTAGAGCAGCATGTAGCCAGCCATCTTCCTAGTCAGTTGTTGTGCAGAAGCAAGCACAGAGTCAGGGACATCACCGATACATGAAGTGCCAGTTGGCATCTTGATGAGGGAGGGGAATGCACTTAGCCTCACACTTAGGACACGGGCATCCCACCCGGAGGACCCGGGTGTGTCTCCCCACTCTCCCTCCACACTCCAGCTTCCTGCTAGTGCTGACCCTGGGAGGGAGTGCTGAGGGTTCAAGTCACCGGATTCCCGCCATCCTCCTGGGATCTGGATTGGGTTCCTGCCTCCCAGCGTCAGCCCCACCCCACCATTGAGGACACTTAGGGAGCAAAGCAATGGATGCAAGCACACTCTACCTCTCAACTAAATAGATTTTAACAGGCAGGCTTACTGGGGTACAAAAAACTTTGAATTCCGTGCATAGTTTTTTCATAATATGAATTTTCCATGTATTTTTTGGAGACACCCTTTAGGTGCATAGATGTCGGCTTCCTCTCCCCACCTGACAAACTGAGCTTTTTTAGTTCTACTTTTCCATACACTGGCAAATATGAGACTTTCTCTGTAAAGCAGTACTGATTTTGAGTAACAGTGTCGTAACATTGTGTTTTGCTTGAACTCTTTCTCAAGAGCTGAAACTTCATCCACTCTTCAGTGACGTGGACTGGGAAAATGTACAGCACCAAGCGATGCCCTTTGTGCCCCAGCCGGATGGCGAGACCGACACGTCATATTTTGAAGCCAGGAATACCGCTCAGCATCTGACTGTGTCTGGGTTTAGCCTCTAGCACATACTTCTTCCTGAGGCCTCACCTGCGTCACAGAGGCGGCTTACAGCACGTGTGCTCTGCAACACTAGGCTTATCTCCATGGGGGAGAGGGAGCAAGGCATTACTTGGGTCACTGACTTTTAACTCTGTGTTACAGCTTTCACAAATTTAAACAAACAAAAAAACTAATAGAATCAGTAACTTACCTCACTCTCAGAACTGTATATAAATTTTGAAAGCATTCTTCATCTTATTTATTTTGTTTATGGCACTTTATGAATAGCATCAATAAAATGAGAATGCCAGCAGCACTGTCTAAGCGAATGACAAGCTTAGTTTTATTTTCTCTTCAGTGGATACTTTCAGTTTTAGATGAAAACAGCCACACACAAAAAAAAATCATAGTTTCATTGAAATGTAGCTTATTTGCACATGGTTGCCTACAAACATTTGGTCTCAAGGGCAATTGTTAAGGCCACGTTTGTGACCTCAAATGGAGCTGGAAAGTTCCTGTGCTCAGTAATCTGACTCCTTCAGAGGAGGAGGAATGAACAGTACTAAGGTCTTAGTTCACCTACATTTTTCTGCCTTACTTGCTTTGGACACTTCCTCTGTGTATTTAAAATAGTCCTTGAGGTAACGGAATGGGGTGGACCGGGCAGGACTGAGCAAACCTTAGACCACAAGCGAAACTAGAAACCAGGTCACGCCGAGCTAGGCTGTTGTACCTACTGGTCTGCATGAGCCAGGAACACTAAGCCACAGTGTCTAAGGCAGAGGTCGGGACAGGTGAGGGGCTGAGCCAAGCTGAGTCAGAGCAACCACTGGCATGCATGTGATCTATGGCTAGGAACAGCCGTGGTTGGGAAGCTAAGGCGACAACTCTAGCTGGGTTGAGGTTCCCACCAAGGGGCGCGTGGCCTGAATTGGGGGCTGTGTTCTGAACGGGAAACGGTTGTAGTCTCCCTTGGCACAAGTGTGGACTGGGATTGGATGCACCGATCCAGGCCAGACTCCAACACTGTCTGGTGTCCTGGAGAACCGGGATAGATGTGGGATGGACTAGGCAAGGTCTCAACCCCTACTGAGCCATGTGTGAGCCATATGTGGGTTATGGATGAGCCATGGCTGGGCTGAAACATCCAACAGTAAGAACCAGTTTGGATTGAAGGCCAGTCAGGAAAAGCCACTGTTCCTGCTGGGACAGGAGGTGAACTGAGTAGGGCTGGGTATGTGCAAAATCTGGCATTGGGAGGGGTTCTGATGGAGGAGCCCGGGCAACTGCTCTAGCGGGACACAGACCCGGCAGGTAAGCGCAAGAAACATGATAGGAAACAGCCCAGAACAGGCCATGGAAAGTTACCCACTGGCATACATTTGGCATGGGTCAGGGGAATACCAGGCTGAATCTGTTCACATCATCCACTGGCAAATCCAAGTACCAGAACAGTGTGGGTCGAGCCAGGTTCGGTCGCAACAAAAACTAGTACACATTACAGAATGCCAAGGTAAGGCTGCCTGTACCGGAAGTGACTGCAGCACCCAACCAGCAAGCGTCAGAACCAGGAAGGGAGAGGATGGAGCTGGCAGGGGAATAAGGGATGGTTCTTTTGCTGGACAGCTACTTCCGCAGGAGAGCATGAGCTGGGATGGGGGCAGACCAGACTAGACAGGGCTACAACACCTGTGGGCCTCATGTGGACTAGATCAGGGAAAAGCCAGGCTGGGCTGATTATTCCTACTGGTGCAAACAAAATTAGAGTGGGTGAGGGTGGTTTGGGCTTAGCCACAGCATCAGCGGCAAGAAGTTGGCACTGGGGGCTAGTTCTGTCAAGTCAAACCACAGAACTACCTGGAGAGTGCATAATCCAGGAGTGGGAGAGGACTGGGAGGGAAATAGTGGGCTCCTCCCTCTTGGGTCACCACTTCCACGGGAGGGCATGAAATAATAGTCTTACCCACTTTCCTACAGCCCTTTAACCTTTTTACACTAACTGTGTAAAGATTGTCAAAAATATAATAATAAAAAATTTTTTTAAATAGTCCTTGAAGGGTTAGGTGGGAAATCCTGCAGCTTGCTGAATTTCAAAGAAAAATAGATGCTTCACATTTTACTTAGTCATTTAAAATGTACAGCACTCAGGCAGAATGATCTTTAGGAAGCAAATTTACTTTTACCTCATAAATATGATTAGTAGTGTGTCAGCAGGTTTCAGTTAAGATACAGACAGACACACACACACATATTCACACACACATATTCAACCTTACGGGTCATACCTTAAATTCACTGAGCTTCCATCTTGAACAAAATTCAAATGTAAAAACATCAGGGAAGTGTTTTGCTAATGGTGTCACCTATTAAATACTGGTGTTCCTTTTGCACATTGGCTTTTGTGTTTTTACTTCCCCACATCACGTATTACACTATCACCGTGAAAGATCCACCATTATAGCCCACGCTGTATAACTGAATCCCTCGGCCAGTATTTTTATTGGGCTTGTTTTAGTGATGACTCCTTGGATGTAACGCTCATAATAGTCACTCTGTCTAATAAAGTGTTCAAAATAGGACTGTTAGCGTGTCATGGAGGGGCTGTCGCTAGAGATTTGCTATCCCACGTTGGAGCTGCTGTATAACCACAGTTTAGAACTCTCTGGGCTGTTTCCGGTGGCCAGGGGGAAAAAAAAGTCTTTGTTTTTATTTTTTTTTTAACAAAGTACAGATATGCTCAGAACCCCAAGAAATAGTATAAAGACTTCTTTCTGTTTGCCTCAGATCTTTGTATTAATAGCAGCCCAACCATGGATGAGTTAGTCTAACTATGTGGGAGGAGAATGGGGCAATATTTTAGAAGGCTGTATTTCTAAAAGTGATTGTGCCAGCTCACCTGGATTCAAGATACAGATTCAAGGACTCAGCAGGACTTCCTAATTAACGAGAGGAGGAGCATGAGTGAATGTGAGGATCCAAATATGACACCAAATTTCTGGGCTGGGTAGCTGTGCCAGTTGTGGGGTACGTCCTGAAATGGAATAAGGGACAGAAGGGGTAGGCACATAGGTCCAAAATATGTGACACCCAAGTACAGAATTTAAGAAACCAGCTGGAGACGCCAAAAAGATGTTGTAGTTTCTAGTTCTTTTGCAGGCTCATCAAACTGTGGAGTCTAATTCTTTAAATATGAGCCAGTCTTAGTAACTTGCTTCTAATGAAGACAATGGTAGAAATAACTGCATAAAAAAAAAAGAAAGAAAGAACTGCATGGCCTCTAAAACAAGTTAAGAATGACAATGCAGCTTTGTAGCTCCCTCTTGAGACCTGTATCTCAGGAGTCTGAGTTGCTATGCTGAAGCCAAAGTGCTGGGAAAGCTGCTTGGAGACGCCACGTGAAAACTGACACTTGTAGGTCCCAGCTCTGCCAGCCGCCAGCTGTTTGTGTCATCACACAAGCTACTCCCAACACATGAGTGAGTCCAGTCAGGTGACTATGGTGGGGCCCTGTTAACACCCTTCAGACAATCCATGAGCACAATCAATGCTATTGCACCAGTCTGCTGAATCCAAGACTTAGAAGTAAACTAAACAGGACTAACTAATGGGATGAGGAGAACAAGAGAATAGGAGGAACCAAGTTGGACACCTTGAGCAACTGGGTAATTTTCTGCCTTTTAAGTTTTGGTGTAACTGGTTGTCCAGCCACAATAACCAGAGCACTTCAAGCACAGAGAAAATGGGAAAAGAAACAATAGAATCAATGGGAGAAGTTAGATTAGTTCGATGCACTTTGCCTCTAAGCTCCCCTTCTTGATCCTCTGCCGAGAGCAGCCCCCCTTGCATCCCACCTCACAGAGCATAAACAGGAGGGCTGCCAGGCACAGGCAAAACGAGGAACACGGCGCTCCAGATGGTCTGCCCCAGAGTGCTGCTTCACCCTTGCCCTGTCTGCTCTGCGCCTTGGGAATCTGATCCCATCCTCTGGCTTTCAGGCAGATTTGGCCAATGTGGGGGCATTGGCAGTGGATCCCACAGAAGGGTAGAATGAGGTATGGGTACTGACGGGCAGAAACGTCTGCACTGCCCAGCTCTGAGAAGCTGAGTTCCTGCTGTGCTACTCAGCCATTGGTGCTTTATTAAAGGAGTCCCAAAAATTAATATTTACAATAAAACTATTCCTTGTGGTTCCATTGTACCCTGCCCATTACTTATAACCATCTCTTTATTATACTCTTCAAAAATATCCAAAGTTGTCATTTCCATTGTCATTTCAGTAGTAACACTGAAAATGGGCCTTACACACAGTTTTAAGTCCACCTCAGAGTGGCCTTAAAGTCACCATTAGCCCAGAAATTTGCTGTCAAGCTTCGCTTGGGTAGTTGATCAATTTGTTCTGCCCTCTTTCCTCAGCAAACGAATGGGTGCTGTGGCCTAGCCCAACCCTGCCCAACACATGCTTGGCTGATAACTCACTGGGCCAGGCCCCAGCTCTGGTTCCTGTGCTTGCCAGCATGTTCAGTGGACTGGTCCAGTCAGCCCCATATCCCATACAGATCTTGTGTACATCACTGGGCATTAAGCCTAACTCAACCCAACCAACTCCACTCTCTCTAGCCCACACTTATGCCAGCAGGTGCCATCCTGTCCATCCAGGCCCACCCCCGCCCCCGCCCCGGTTCTCATGTTCACTGGTGGGAGTTGCAGCCCATCCAAGAGGTGCCCACAGCCTCCCTGCTGGGCCCACTCTATGCCCTTGATCTTGTACACTCCAGGCGGGTCTGCAGTCTAGTTTGATAGGACTTACCCCTAGTCCCAGCATTTGCCAGGTGATGCTGCAGCAAAGCCCGACCAGCCTGCTCTTACTCTGACTCATCCTACACCAGTGAATACAATCGGTTAGCCCAGCCTGGCTCGTCCCCCTTAACCCAGTTCATATGTAGGCCAACAGGTGTTGTAGCCCTGCCCAGCCTGGTCTACCCCCAGTCTCGGCTCTCATACTCACCAGCAGCAGTGTTCCAGCAGGAGAGTATCCACGTCTTACCTCTGCATTTCTGGCAGGAGCTATAGCCTGGCCCAGCACGGTCTGCCCCAGTTTCAGTTCGCACTGGTGGGTGCTGCCATCCAACCCAGCCTATCCTGCAACCTTTTTTGGTTCTCAGATCTGCCAGTGGTTGTTATGAACTGGCCCAGCTCACATACGCCTGCAAGTACTACAACCTGGCCTGGTCTGGACTGCTCCCAGCCTTGGTTCTTACACTTTCCTACAGGGACCGTGCTCTTACAAAGGAGTTCCTGAAGCTACTCTATCAGGTCTCTTCCCAGTGGCCAGATCTCGTGCACACCAGTGGGGTCCTTGGC